TAGGTATCGTGACGATACGAGACAATAACAGTAAGCAACGAGCAGAGCTAAGACACCACACGCAATATTCTCGAGTAATAGACGCGCGAACACGATGGAGAATCGATCGTTGAGCGCGTTACAGACGCATAGAGATTTAAAGGGTCAAACGCTCGGCCGGCATGACGTACTCGTTAATTACTAAGTTTCACCGTGTGTAAGTACCTATCTCTGTTCGTCCTGTCATTGTTGATTCATATGCACGCATGTCGGCCGTCGTTGAGTTACTCTCGAGTCGAAATCATGATAGCAATCCTGATGAACGTCTTTTTTACGAGTCAGTTTTGCAAGGTCGACCGACGAAAAAGGACAAAAAACGCTGTTGCACGCTGTTCGCGGTACGCTACGCGGTTCGTTACGTATCTCCTACAAATAGGTACATTACGCATTTGCGCGTCATGGGCAACGCCGTTATATATACACATGCCTACGTGTTAAGTATGATATCTGTATACAAATAAGCGTGCGCGTGCGTCCAAGTTCGCGACCGGTAGAGACAAGAGGACAAGATGTGCGTTGGTGGAGCGGGCGCAGACATAAGAAACGGGATGGAAACTGGTGGTGGTGGATGGGCGGTCGGAGAAAAGCGCGAAGGGACAAGGGGGCGCCGAGCGACGCAGAAGGAAAAACACATGTAGCGCAGGTGCGTACGACGTACGACGGAACGAAGCGACGACACTTCCCCCCGCGTATAACCAAACATTTTTCCGAGCTCTATTTTTTCCGAACAGTGCATTATCCTTACGTGTTAATTTCTCAGCAGAGTATATGCAGGTGTATGCTCTTGTAAGTAGCATCGCGTGTTAAACATGTGCCATTAAAACGGACGGCGCCGCCGCACGCCTGAAAAGGAGATACAAACGCTAAAACGCTGGTCAAGCGGCTCAAGGAAAGGGATACAAGGTGCCGTATATGTCTCAAGTTCATGATATCTTATAATTTGCTCCGTGATTTTCGGAAACGTGAGCAAAACAATCGCAAAGCAACGTTTACGAGGCGAACGGCAGCAGTCTATAGGCACAGATATCTTGGGCGACCATGGACGGCAGCGACATGACAGAAGAGGATCGAAAAAGGAAGAGAAGGAGAGAGAAAGATAAAAAGAAAACAACATATAGACAGGCCAGAGAGAAAGAGAGAGGCAACGAGCGGTAGCAGCAGGTAGCGAGGTAAAACGACAGAGACAGATGGACAGATAAACAAAGTGTACGTTCGAAATTTCGGTGAGAAAGTTCCTACCTTTTGAATAGAGGCAAAGAGTAGCTCTTTAGAAGACGCTCGCTCGCTCTCGCTCTTGCTCTCTCTCTCTCTCTCTCTCTCTCTCTCTCTCTCTCTCTCTCTCTCTCTCTCTCTCTCTCTCTCTCTCTCTCTCTCTCTCTCTCTCTCTCCCTCTCCCTCTCCCCCTCTCTCCCCTCTCCCTCCTCCCCCTTCTCTCTTTCTCTTCCTCCTGTCGTTTTGTCTCATTAAAGTAACGTGACAGCGCAGTGGCGTAGTGACGCCATTTAGTCAAGCGGCGGCCAGCATGCTCTCAAGAGACCAATAACTCATCGGTCGGCGACTCGCGGCAGCTCACCACTGAGAACACCGAGGTCGCTCTGTGTGCCTCGAGCGAGACACTGCAATGTCCGGTAACCCCGGCTATCAAGTCGGCTCCGATCAAGACGTTTGTGCGCCCGTCGACGCTCAGAAAAGCCGGATAAGGTCCACGCGCGTCAATATTACTGTGTGATACACACTCTCGTGCATCTGATGAATGCCGAACGCGTGCTTGTGATGACCGCGACTTGTGAGTCCCTCTCTCTCTTCCTCCCTCCCTCCCCACACTCCTTTTCCTCTCTTTCTGACCAATGTCAGCTTTAGAAATAATTGAGAAAGAGAGAGAGCAGGCATTCTAGCGGGTTTTAACGTCGAAAAATATCGCAGAAATGCGTCACGCTTTTTACATTATTATTAACATTCGAGCATATCTTTTGATCGTGGCAATTGTTATATTTATCTTACCATTTATCGTTCGTCTCATGTACGAATATTTCATCGGGCTGGAAAAGAAAGATATGCAGACATGATTCGTTCAGGATATAGACATGGACCATGCAGCGCTGCCCGTGACAACGCTGCGTCGTGATACTTTGTCAATGCTTCGTCACTAACGTCAAGGACATTACGAACTTGAAATCGCCACTTGATTATCGCCAGATAATAATGGCGCCATTTGCTGACGAAAGAAATGACAGGAAAAAAATAAGTGATATTATCGACAATAAATTAGACATGATATTAAATTATAAAGGAATTGTGAAAAAGTACTCGCAAATCGCAAATCGTTGTAGCTCTTTGTAACTCTTCCAAGGCAAGAAATTTATCCTTCAGCAGGTTAGAGACAGTACATTTGCGAAACGTGTTTTATCGATAATGATGACGTATCGATTCCATTGTAAAGCCAGCGGCACACGGTGCTTGTTTTCGTGCTGGATTGCTTGCTGGATGAAAATACTGCGTTCTGATTAGTGCATTTCCATCCATCTTCAGTAATGTACCAATCAGAATGCAGTATTTTCATCCAACAAGCAATCCAGCACGAAACAAGCACCGTGTACCGCTGGCTTAAGATTGAAATAAATCTAGACGGCGCGATGCAAACGCGGATTGTTGAAAACGTCACACGCTTTCTTAAGCCAGCGGCACACGGTGCTTGTTTTCGTGCTGGATTGCTTGCTGGATGAAAATACCGCGTTGTGATTGGTATATTTTCGAAATTGGATGAAAATGCACCAATCAGAACGCAGTATTTTCATCCAGCACGAAAACAAGCATCGTGTGCTGCTGGCTTTACTATGGCTGAAAATTTATAACGTGCGTGACACAAGTTATATATTTTCAGTACTGGCAGTGAATTTTGGAACACGGCCTAAGTAATTACAGCTGCGTTCCGAAATTCACTGCCAGTTCTGAAAATACATAGTTTGTGTTACATATACTATAGAATTTCAGTACTAGGAGTGAATATCGGAACGCAGTCTACGTTAAACGAATATGATAAAAGCCATTCCCGATATTTCGGAAATCGCAGCACGAACAAGAACCGAAACAAGAAAAGAAAATAGGCGTAGCAAGTATATGCATTAATCGAAGACTTTACCGGCAGCGCTTGAAAATGGGTATAGCCACCGACGAGGTAATAATTCGTGAAACACTCTGTACATATGTCTTCGACCGCAATTTTAGTATTATTTCAACTTTGAATTATTAACTCAAGGAATGCCAACGTGTGTATATATTTAAAATAAAACTTATTCTAAATTTTCTCGCAATCCTAGAAGACATACATATATACACACACACACATACACACATTCGACTTGTTTTCCGTATTGATAATCTTTTGATACTTTCCGATATCTTTTTCCCATTATTCCATCTGCTACCATCCATGTTTATTTCGAGATATGTTTCATATTCCGGCCACGGTATTCGTAAGAGGACGCTGATGCACAGCGAGATTTCTCTGGTACGCTAAATTTCACAAGACCAACATCTTTATTTGGTATATTCAGTACTACAACCGCTCACTGAGCGCTCAATGAGCTATATTTGATTGGTATATTCTTTTAGATTTAAAAATATACACCAATCAGATGCAAGAACTCACTTAGCGCTCAGTGAGCGGTGTAGTACCGAATGCACCCATTGGCCGCATTTAGTAGAACAAAGTGATCAGTGTGCCGCTGGCTTTAACTATGGCTGCATTCAGCAGACTCAACAGTTGGACAACATTACTAGATTTTCCACTGAATCTCGCTCCTGATTGGTAAATACTTCTGGGTCTATGAAGAATCTAAAAGAATGCTCCAATCACAGACAATAATCACTAAGCGCTCTCTGATCACTTTGTTCTACTGAACGCGGCCAATGTATCCCGTCGGTTGTACAGCGAATATAGTTCCAGCTCAAAAATGGCTGTAGATAGCGCATAAAACGTAAAGCGTGGTCTACAATGGCCATAAGCAGTAAGAAGAAAGCGTGAACAGTAAGAAACGGACCAACCACAGTTGATTATTTTTGTCATAATCGACTGTGATTGATTTATTTCTTACCGCTTATGCTTATTTCTTATTGTTTACTGCCATTGTAGACCACGCTTAAAAGCTGAAAATCGATGTTAGCCAAAATCTGGAATAGTCCAATAATGTATGATTCCTAAGGAAAGATTCGCATCTTGACAAAAGAGCATAAGGCAACATCCAGTCAGAAATCGCGCTGATAATCTGTCTCTCTTTTTCTCTTTCTCTCTCTCTCTATCAGTGCGACTTCTGACTGAAAGCTGCTCTTCTATTTTCTGCCAAGGTGTGAATCAGGCCTAAGTATATACGTCATTGAGGATAGCCGCTTCAGTGCTTTCAAGGCCCATCTACAATGGCTGCAAGAATAAGGTTGTAAGCGTAAAGCCCGTATCAGACTACGGATTGGGATTGAGTATTGGATTAAAATTTAACCAATCAGGAGTAAGTTTACTATATTTGAGATTATTTTCTCTTTTTCAATTGGTCAAATTTCAATCTAATCTCAATCCCAATCCATAGTCTGATACGGGCTTAAGCAGTAAGAAATAGACTAACCACAATCGATTATTATAAGAATAATCGATTGTGGTTAGTCTATTTCTTAAGCCAGCGGCACACGGTGCTTGTTTTCGTGCTGGATTGCTTGCTGGATGAAAATATTGCGTTGTGATTGGTGCATTTCCGAAGATGGATGGAAATGCACCAATCAGAACGCAGTATTTTCATCCAGCAAGCAATCCAGCACGAAAACAAGCACCGTGTGCCGCTGGCTTTACTGCTTACGCTTAAAACCTTATTCTTGCAGCCATTGTAGATGGGCCTTTAGGTTTCTTTTCTCATATGAAAACGCACCTTATAATTGCCATCTATCGCCGTAACGTGTTGGCAGCCTTGCGTGGAAGCGTCGCGTCGTATCGTCTGCATCGCGCTGCAAGTGACAGTTCGTACGTGTTATTGACAGTGGATGCGTAACGCGACGCGACGCGACGCGATGCGATGCGATGCGACGCGAAATGCAATTCGTGAAAGAACAATTCATCCGATGAACGAATGATTACAACGCACGTATGACGGTGGCGAGCGCGCGCGAGCGATGCCGTGATACTTCGTGCACTGCGCTGTGAAAGCCGAGCGTGGCCGAAGCGAGCGACGGCGCTCGCGATCGAACTTCATCTTCACTGACGGTGCGTTCGAGCACTGCACTGTGCCGCCTCTGGACTTGTTCGTCGAATATTCTTTGCGATTTCTCGCGCTTATCGTTTCGCACCGTCCCGATGTGATCGGATCGATCGTCGTCATCAACGGCTTGTCGGCGGTCTCGTCACTCCGTTCGCGGCACAGGCTTATGCCTTTTCAACGCTCGTGTCAATTTCCCCGTTCACGACACTATCAGCGCTCTTCTGCCACACGTTGGTAAAATCGTCATGACAGTCGTCTGAACATTCTCGCAAATTTCCACGTTGTTTCCTCGATGTACAGCATGTTGTTCTGCCACGACGATTATATCATACTCGCCAACGAGGAGTCAAATAGTCGGTGTGCGCGATTGATATCTCATCAAAGTATTTCTTTCGAAAACACATCTCGTCGCTTACTGACAATCTATTGCCATTGTATATTCTCTCACTGAGGATTTCCCGGCGATTTCTCACGCAATGTCAACACATTTCGTTCGATAGGATTAATTCTCTACCAATCTCCGATAGGAAGAAATTTCTACTGATTATTGATATTTCGAAAAATGCAAACATTCCTGTGATTTATCGCGAATTTCCCTTAACAAGGTGAGTTTTCACAGAAGAATCATTCGTGAAAGCTTATGCTATGTAGCAGATTTATTGTATAACAAATATAAGAATCATTTTGAATCTTTTATTGTGATTATATAAAATATGATGCAAATGAAGCAGGCATTATAATGTTCACACTTGCACTTGACACCATATCAGTAAACATACTTTCATCAATATTTTGTGTAAATGTAGCTCCTGTATGTGCATGGGCCTATATGTAAACTAGTCTAGTTTATACTATACATATGTAATATGCTATATTATATATACATATACATATATATTTATAACATTTTCTTATAAGTATGATATTCATAATATCCAATTAAAGACAATATAAATGTGTGAAAAAAGGGAAAAAAAACATGTGAGATTGAGTCGGATATTGATGGAAAACAACTGAAAATATAATCCATTATAAAAAGTTAATATATATATATATATATATAAATTTTTTATATCAGGCCGACGCTTTATTGATGCTTCATTTGCATTGCATGTGTGTGTGTGTGTGTATATATATATATATATATACACATATAAACAATGAAAAATCATTGATAATAAATTTTTGTAGATAATCGCTTCAAGTAGATTTCAAGTTAACAGTTATTCAGTTTTCTTCTTTCTGAAATCAATAACAAATTTTACAGAAAGAAAAATAAAGAAATGCCGTATGAAGACATTTAATCGATTCATTCAGAAGCTGCAGTCTTATATTCAGAAACAAGTGTCTCAACGGAAAAGAAAATAAGGTGCAGACGATAACAGAGAATTCGGTATGATCCGTGGTGGAGCTAGAACCCGCTCGAGAATATTAGGCGGGGGGGTGGAGGCATGGAAGCCGAAACTGGTCGGCCGTCTCTTCAGAGGCTCTTCAAAGGCACCTTGCCGTCTCCGGGAATACCCGGATTAGATGTTATACGAGCCCTCCATCAAGTACGATTTATTTAATTTTTCTGATACACCTTTTTGCGCGTGCGCGCGCGCGCGCGCGCATACACACACGCACGCACGCACACAGAGAGAGATATGTGTATATATATGTACGTGTATGTATATTTTTAAGTTCGTATTTTCTCAAATCTCTGTAAAACTTCATTTACCGCATCTCTGCCACTTGTCAAATCTATGTCGTAAAATTTTAGCAACTTTACATAAGACCCTCTTAGATCTCTATCATCATAATTCTTGAATATTGCGACAAATTTTTTGTTTACAAGTTCTTTTTCCCTCGTTGTACGTGCAGATATCAAAAGAAATAATTATACTCGCATGTAGAAAATAAAATAATCCATACAGTGTTGATATGAAATAAAACATATATGCACGAGAAAGAAAGAGTACACGAGAATTTGATGAACATTTTGGTTATTGCACCGCTTGGCAAAGATAGATGGCTTCTACGACATGTCTTGGTGATTCAGACGGTCGTATCGTTGCGTTCGGCCTTGGATTCATCACGAGAGGAACTTCGTCGTTTGCAAGAGAGCGTCGGGACTTTCTCTGGCGAGAGCTACATCGACGCGGTCAGCCGTTTGGCCCTCGAGAACCACGTGCTCAGAAGAAGGATCTTGAGCAGGAGCTGCGAGTTTTCCAGCAATGCGACAACCGGTCTGCCACCTCAACCGAGACGCGTTCGACTCATCGTAGAGGCTCACACGAAGTAAGCACGACTTGACCGCTTTCTTTCTGGCGCAAAAAGAACGAACTGTTCAACAAATTTAATAGCCGAAACCTACCACCGACCGACTATTATGTGCCAGTCAGCACTTGGATTCTGCGAAGGCCGCTATGGACGTATCCAAGAAGAAGGCCGCTACCGATACTCAGGACACGATCGATCAGTCTGCCTCCGGACACAGCAGTAGCAGCAGTAGTAGCGGCAACGACAGTCCCGACCCACCATTACGAGCTAGTCGAGCCAGCAGATTTCAAGCTTCGTCAAAATCCTCCAGAGACACGGCTAGCTCGAAAACCGTCGAGCCACCGTTGGTGCCTACGATGCTGAACGCACCTCTAACTGAAAATTACAAGTCCCCGACTTCGGCAACGAATGCGATTAATAACGAGGAAGAAGGTCGAATGGAAGTCTCGGGTAAAGATGCAGCAAATATCTCGGTTTATGTTATATCGATACTGTATACAGTACAACAGTAGCAACAACAACAACAACAACAACAATAATAAACAAACAAACAAAGCAGTTTAAACAATGATAATTAACATTGTTACATTGATAAGAAAAAGTCGGTGATTCGCAAAATAGAGAAGTACAACTTGACTTGAATTAGGTGAAAAAAAAAATGTTAACCAAAAATACGAAGATGAACAAACATGACACTAGTCTCGCGTGAGATTCTTCAAGTATCGCTTGAGGGTATTTTCGGAAGTAACTCGGAGAAAAATCAATCGGTTCCAGGCGATACAGTTAACGTGGATCATCTCGACGTTCCCGATAAGGATACCGAGGACCTGAGTCTAAAGTCCATTTCTGACGGTGACAATTCCGTGTTCAGCGATCACGCGGTGGATCAGACACAGGCGCCTCGGCAAGGTCAGCAGGGTGACCCTTCGAGACCAAACGAACATTCGGAGAACGAGTCGGAGGAACTGGACGATATCGAACTGATATTCACGACGGACGAAACCTGTCGCGATCTTGGCCTGCAGGAGGATCTGGTATCCATTACGGAGACCGAATCTTGGCAACAGGCGAGCGCCGGTAGCGGCCAGCCTGTTCTTCTTAAGTACACAAAGTCAGCGGAAGGTGAGTCGCTGGTGTGCAACGGCGACAAAACCAGCTCCGTCGAGGAGGCCGTCTCCTCGCAGAGCTCCAGCATCGATCGCGAGGAGAGCGTCGACAGATTCGACGAGAGTTCCAGTACCAGGCTCAACAAGATGTGGTCGCAGTGCTCTGTCCTGGTGGAAACGGATATTAGCAAGTGCGGCGTACTGGAGGATGCCGAAGGCACGGCTGGATCGTCTTTGCGACACGCTGCGCGAAGAAACACCCTGGCTGCACCACCTACGGCTTACAGGTGACGATCCGACTCCGTTCCCTTCTTCGAGACTTTGACTCTATCGTTGCTGACCGAGTGCCGAAGAGTCCTTACGATTTTTGCTTTCGCGCCGTCTTTTCAGGCCCATTATTCATCGGGAAGCTCTAGCCGGTGGCCGGAGGAAGAGCTCTGCGCCGTTGCGACCGGTGATGGACCGTAGCAGCGGCGCTAGAAGAGAATCCGGCGCGCAGACGGATATCTCTGCACTGCCGGCGCAGTGGCGCTCCGAGAGCTACCTAGCGCACAAGGTCGCGCATACTTTTACGACGCTACCTAGTAAGTTTGCGCTGCCAACGGGAGTGCCCGGCCGACTGAGGCTGTCGGACAAGACGCGAGAAGCTAGAAGAGTCATGTTGTCGGATATCAGTTTCACCAGTATGGTACCGGAGCTGTCACGGAGCGCGGATCACCTGTGCCATGACCCGCACGCGCAGGTAACGAAACGACGTCACAGATGCAAAGTAATTCTTAATATTATGTCAGATTAGACTATCGTACAAACGGATGAATATACTTGTGCGAGATCATCGGACTGGATGATCGATGATGACGACCGGACCTTTATCTTTCTTCTTAGACGTGTTTGAATTCACGCGGCTGTGGTCTCCGTACACCGGAGGCTCATCGACGCGAATCTTTAGGCTCTCCTGCCGCATACTGGCCACGTTATAATCCTGCGACAGGTCTGCCGAGTCCCTGCGACTGTCGCTTGTCGAGCGATCTGTATCCGTCGCGATACCGCGGCTCTTTGACATCGATACCGTCGCCTGGCCTCGAGGTGGTCGGCGGTCCTCCGCGGAGACATTCCTGGAGGGCGACAGCAGCATCCTTCGACACGTGGAGAGTGCCGGTCGCGACTTCTACGCCACGACCCACCTGGTCTTCGATGCCGTCATCTCCGACGCACGTGCATCCTCCATCAACCTCCTCCAGAGCTTCGAAAAATGTACCAAAGAGGACGAGATCTAAAGTCACCTTCCAAGGTACGGTGGCCTTTGTTTGCGCGCGCGCGCACGCGCGAGAAAGAAGGAATTTACAGAAATGGAAATAATCGAAGATATGAAGAAAAATGATGACGATTTGCAGAATGTCCAATGACGCGCGGTAGTCTACCCAACTTACGTTCAGACTTGGCCGGCGGTGAGAACAGCGGAGATTCTACCGAATCATTGATTGATGAGGCCGAGGATTACCTACGGCGAAGTATCGACTCCATGCTGACGATATCAAGCGCCAGTACGGACTATTGGAGCAAGCAGACAGCGAAGCGAAGAAGAGCGCGCAGACACTCGGAGCCCGACTTAATTCGCGATTGGTATCCTCCTCAGGATGCCAGGCCATACTTGCCAAAGGTATATCGTTTGGATCGTTATTACCGTCACACGTCGATGGATCATAATTTTGCGTAATTTTACTCTATAATCTGTATCTGTAAACATGTCGAACAACGTTCGACGTGTTCGCGCGTCCACGATCGCACAAATCATTGTCTATCTGATCTAGATACCAAGGGATCTCAAACTGGACCACCTCGTGAAGGTCATATCGCCAGAGGGCAGGGTCCTCCAAGGCCGCGTAAGGTACATAGGTGCTGTTCCAGGTCGAGAAGATGCACACGTGGGCGTCGAACTGCCATATCGCAACGGTTCATCCGATGGTACATTTCATGGCAGAAAGTTTTTCGAATGGTAAGTCTGTCTGTTATGTTGTTCCGTTGAAGATGAGATGTTTCATCTCGAGTGCTACTACTCTACTTTTGTTTGAAATGGAACGATATAGAAAGAGAGTTCTCTCTTAGTTGCTTTAAAAGTAAATAAGAGAGTCTATCTTCTGACTCAAGTTCGATAGATCCATTGTGCGTCTCGGTTTTAATAAAGAATAAATACATTTCAATAGTGAGCCGAATCGAGCGATTTTTGTTCCATTCAAGAAGGTGGTACTCGCCTGGTGTACCACTTGATCCGAGAGACTCACCGCGGTGGCCACCACCCCTCGTATTCTACTATCTCAGTACACCATGTAAAAGTTGGGAGAAACGTAAGTCGTATTTGCTGCTTCTGACGAGGTTCTGACTGAGTTGCGATAACGAGATTCTTCCTCTCTAATCTCTGGCGATTATAATTCTCTCATTCCCACGATGATGGGAATGTCGTTACTCGATGTTCAGATCGTTAATTGCATTCGCGTCTACATTCGGCATGCGACTCAACTTTAAAAATTGAATTCCACTAAGAACCGCGCGTCTATACATCGTTTTATAGTCTATCGTACATTACAAAGTGTTGTAATCAGTGTGATACTATATGCATATACAGTACACACAGCTCGCTCCGTTTATATCTTCATGGTGGATGGATCATCATCACTGCGGAACATATACGGAATAGTAGGGACGAGTCCCGCGCAACATCGATGTCTAATTTTCCTATAGAATGTTATTTTCCTTACAACCGCGCGAGGGTTGTGAGTTTGTGACGTTCCGTGAGGGAAGTCAGCGATAACACAAGACTTGAATTGAATATGTCGTATTGTGTTACTGACTGTTGACAAACGCAAACGTATTTCGCTCAACCAACGTAAGAAATCAATTGCGAGGAATGAGAGAATTAAATTGTAATTTCGTATAATTTTTCTTTGAGAGTAAGAAAGGAGACGAATAGAGAGAAATTAGCAGTATTGGGGGAGAGGATTCATTTTCAGCAGGAATAATCGAAACTATCGATAGTTTCCGTTTCAGTAATCAAGAGACTAACTGTGACGGCGAACGTAACAGCATAGCAAATGCATTGTGATTGTATTCTCTCGCGCGAATAATTTAAACGAGTCGACATTTATTTGCCGCGATATCACGCATGGCTTTCAGTTACTTAAGAATTGTGTTCGTCATTTAAGAAAAGCGAACGAATTTATTGCGGCTACTGTGATTAACTGATTATTATTATTAATACATACACACACACACACACACACTTCTCTCTCTCTCTCTCTCTCTCTCCCCCTCCCTCTCCCTCCCTTCCTCCCTCCCCTCTCTCTCTTCAAAAGTTTTGCTAATCCGAAATTCCAAAGTTAATCCGACAAGATAAAAAAATTGATTTTTCTCGTTGGATACTTTATCCAATTTGTTATCCAGATTGTTTTTCCCTTGCACAATACGAGAGTTATAGTGATACAATGTAACCCATCTTTTATATCCTACGTACATATTACTTCATTCTATTTCTTCGTTGGTGATCGAACGTGCAATTTAGTATCAATATCCACAGCGAAAACTTGTTCCCGACGTGTGTATTCTTAAGCGAAACTAAAACGTGCGAAGAGAAAACTGATTCAAAAACGTCAACACATGCGAAAGTGACAAATATTAATTTCTTATCAACCTAATGATATCGCATATATCGCGCGTTGCTTACGAATTCACGAGCTTTCGATGAACAGATGTTTTTTAGTGTACGTATGTATATGTATTTTATGTATATGTATACTTGTCTGTACATTTTAAAGACATGCGTATATAAAGTGTGGGCACTACTTGACTGTATAAAGACGAACACACACACGTACACATACACACACCCACACACACATACACGCACACGATATACAATAACCTATGTCGTTTTATCGACGAATCCGATGTTTGATTTGTTCGGAAGGCTAGGAAAACCACCGATTAACGCATCGATTTCGCTGGATTTATAGATTCATAGATTCCTAGCTGAATGTTAACGTAAAGAAGAAAAAATAATAAAAACAAAGAGATTTGTTGTCAATCCCCCCTTCGCTATTTATTGTAATTGTATAACGAGTACCAGAAAATAAAGAAAACTTAATTACAATGCAACATACATATCATCATCCTCCGCGAATCTTTCGTGCCTCTTCTCTTTTCTCGAGATTGCTCGATATCTCGAGCATGTTAAAATGTGACCATGACTTGTGAAGAACTTGCTTGACAAGGTATTTCTCGTGCATACTACGACTTCTAGTTCCCAAATTCTTATATAATCACAGCTATTCCTTCTGTATCTGTATTCTGTGTCCTTTCCAGATAATTTCCATTGCGTGTTACGAATATACCACATACGAATGATGTTGCGAATTCTCCCCGATATTATTTCAATGAGCTGCAATGAGCTCATGATAAACGATGAGCCGGATAGTCGGCGTACCAACTAAAAGCACCGTTGGACCCGGTATGTCCACCGAAGTCGACGTAATCCAGAATGCGTGTGGCTGATCGCTCTGTACGCTCGGAGTCGTCCTGATGAACAACGCCGGCCGGCATATACGCTTCCGTTTGCCGAGCCATCCTTGACAACGACGGTGCGATTGAGTTCACCTCGATTATGTCGATACCGTCGACGCCGTCGACGGGAATCGCAATATAACGGCGACCACCTAGCACGTCACAAACCACGCACAACAGCGCCAACACGGTACTCTGTATAAAAAAAGAAAAAAAAAGAAAAAAGGGAAGGAGAAGGAAGCGCGAGAGAAAGAAGGAAATTAAATTGTTCAAAGTGACAAAACATTAAATTACCACATTGAATGATAAAGTTATTTACCAAATTATTCATCATCTTCATGAGCTGAGAATTTGACAATTCGATACGTTGAACTAAAGAGAGAGCCTCCAACGCCGATGTTTTATACGTTTCGTTTCGCCGCAGCTTTCTAATCCTTCGAAGGAGTCAACAATTACTTCTGACTATTTCTTGCACCATGTTTATCTCGTGAGTCAATTGCCGCTACGTTAGCACGACCACGAGCTGCTGAAACGTGCCGAGAATTCTCGAAAAAAAAATTATCTTCCTTGAGTTACGCTTCGGTACTTTCGATTTTCTTTCAATCCAACTTTCGATTATCCTCTCTTTCCCTTCTCCCTCGCTGATTGCGTTTTTCTTTATCTCGCACATTCCGCAATATTGTCGACAATTTAACAACTAAACTAATAAATTTTCCAAAAATTATCTTTATTCTTCTACAGTTTACACTTCGAAATTGACAAAAATAAATCTCTTCTGTGATTACTCATTTGTATTAGTCATTTGAAACTTAAATTATAAAAGTGGAATGAATAATATATATAATTTATCTGCAGATCTATTAATTCTGTATCACACACGTATCGAAATATATTTAAGTGTTATGTACTATTGTACAGATCGACATTCCTGGTCCCTTATTTCACAGTCATGTTGATTTGCAGATCAAAAAGAACACCTAAATTTCGATATTTTTAACCAAAATCTCCATATTTCCAAACGTTTTGTAATATATTCGCACGCACACACACACGTATGCGTATACGCGTGAGGAAATCGACACACATATATATGTATGTGCATAAATATATCACGCAACATGTATATGTATATATATGTTAAATATATGTAAGTATTCTTGTATTTCGCCAAATTTACAAACAGTCGGGTATTGCAGATTATTAGATCTATTATATTTAGAATGATCTTGCTCGTTATTTTGCTCCATAATTATCGTAAATCTGATATTAAAATAAATCTTAAACATAAACGCCATTATTCGGTGAAAGAAAATTGTTAATAATATTTAAGAATGCATTATTTACGAATTTTAATTAGTGAATTTCGTTCTACAACATATATACTTCCGGTGGATTTCCAATATATTTGTATAGTTAAGAAATTAGTTTGATATATCTCTCTAGACGAAGATTCTATAGTGACATTAAATATCTCTGTGAACTTAAAAATTTAAAAATTTTCAAAAGAAACTTTTTGCCTTGACGACTTTTTTTTAGTACGATGCAGTTTTATCATAAAAAAGACAGATTTATAAGTCCTATTATTTTAAGTACAAAATAAAATCTGAGAAGATATATACATATATATGTATACACATAACACATAGTTTTAAAACTGTGCGCGTATGTGCGTGTGCGTATGTGTATGTATGTGTGTGTATATATATATATATATATATATATATATATATATACATACACATATATGTACACATATGCATACATACATGTATACATACATATATGTGTATATATATATATATATACATACATACATATATATACATACATACACACTATACAATACATATTATATAAAATTATGATTCCACTAGAGTAAAAAATGCAAGAATCATTTTTTTAAACCATTTCCAACTTAACTTAATTGTAAACTTAATTTGAATTAATTTGAATCGTTTAACTCGTCTTTATTATGAACAGGAAAATATTCTATTTTGAAATCAGATGATTTTGGTTCGAAATCAGATTCTGTATCATCCTCATTTGCATCAAACTTTTATTCCACTTTACTCAGTACGATGTCAGTGTGACATTATCTCTTCGCCGATCAGTTACTTTAACCAGATGATCGAATTGCTGGTCGGATTCCTGAACACTTATGGAATAAAAAATGAAGATTTGTTATTATTGTTATTATTGTTCATGTCTGAGTCATAATGAACATTATATCACTTTGGTTGTGAAAAATTATTTATTTTCCCGTGTTACTAGAGATGATTATTCGACTTTCGAAAAATTCTTTTGCACGCATTATAAAAATAATACCTAATACACGAAAAAGAGATCCATAGAGAAATTCTTCTGCATAATTAACAATGTGTTCTTACCTTTGACTATGACGAATTTGATGATACCGATGGCTCTGATGATTCTAATGATTCTGATGATTTTAATGTTTCTGATAACTGTGATGATTCTGGTGGCGGTGATTTTTTTAATGGGTTTGATAACTTTGTTGGCTCTAGTGACTTTAATGGTTCTGACGTTTTTAATGATTTTGATGGCTTTGATCCTGTTGAGCCAAATATATTTGGAAGTACCGACTTATCCTTGTTCATCTCGCCTTCTTGTGCATGTGTAGTCAAGCACTTGACTTTACTCAGAAGTCGAACCGACAAGAATTGACGCTTCATTACACTCGTCACGATATCAGTCATTTCCGAGTGAACATCTTCCTTAAAATCAGCATGACCGGTCTTTGTCAGATGTTCGCCGACTTGAAGTTTCTACAATAACAAAATATATCTACAAATCTTCGGAAAGCGATTTAAAGAATATACACTGTAATGATGTTTCTTTTCGGAGGAAAATTCTAACATTATTTCAGAAGAAATTTTCGAAATAAATAACGATATGTATAACATTGTAAGTCTAAAATAAAATTGTATCTTACAAATAACCATATCCGTATATTTCTATTAAATTTATATTTTGTGTGTGTGTGTGTGTGTGTGTGTGTGTGTGTGTGTGTGTGTGTGTGTGTGTGTGTGAATGTAAACCCTAAAAAGTTTACATTTGTCATTTTTTTATTGAACGCATAGTGCAACCGCAACACTTGTATTGCAAACAATGGTCTTTCCTCCCACCAATTATTTACTGACATTATACCAGAGCTTTTATTCCTAGTTTTACTTAGGGCATTTGTGAAATAAATTTTCAAAATTGAACAATCATGCAGTACAACGCGTAGCAAAAGCTATCTTTGTAATATAAAAACTCAGGGATCGAGCATAACAGGCCAAAAATGGTAATTAAGAAAAGTGGTATCCTAAGATTTTTTCGTAAATACATATTTAGGCTGTGTTCCAATTTCCAAAATTCACTGCCAGTACTGAAAATAAATAGTTCATGTCACGTATATTATAGAATTTCAGTGCTGGCGATGAATATCAAAACACAGCCATATGTGCTTCAAACTGTAGAAACTGAATCTGTTTCTACGTTCGAAAAGGACAATGTCAAAACATTTAATTTTAACGATATAATAATACACATAAATTTAGAATAAAAATTATCATCTCATTCTTATTCCGGTAAATAATTTATAAAAATTAACACCTTGTTAAATGTAGTTACAAATGCAAAGAGATTCTCTCTATTTAGAGAATGAGAATATCGAGGATATGAGAACTGTGGACCAAGAACTTAAATTTAAGAATTTAATGGACGTAAAATTTTCAGAAAAATTTTACTTTCGCTCGCATCGTCTTTTCATCTTATTTCATCATTCTCACCTCATATCTGTCGTATAGTTCGACACATAAAATCACCGAATTTTCACGTTGAGGTCCTTCGTGATCGACGGGACGTTGTATATAGCCTTTAACTGTAGCGTCGATGACTTTCGACTGCCCTAGCCAAGTATATGATGCGAACTCTTCGCAAGCCAGTTGAGTCCACTTGTCTTCTCTGCACAATAATTCATGTCGATGAAAACAACCGAAGGAAACAGATACGCTGAAGTAGATAATAGACACGCCGAATAATTATGAAGCGGAATAAAACGTGAAATTACAAGCTCCATCATCCTATGTAACTATCGTAACTAATTTGTGTGGTAGCTGTACAATACATTTTTATTAAATAATTTTTTCTTTATTTAGTATGCTAACTTCAACGTGATATTATCTTTATGGGAAAATCCTGCTATTAAAAAAATATTTTGGTTCTTTCACAAGTTCTCTTAATTCTATGTTTGTAAAGTGTATAAAGTCTTTTAATTAATTGATGTTTGTATTGTGTGTATATATATAGCCAGAGACAGCCGAATTATTCACATTTTTATATATAACGTAAGTTATATAATGTAATATGTCCACATGCGAATACAAATGGCACTTTATATAATTACTCAAGTAACATTATGTATAAATTATCAATATAATGGCTTACTTGGGCTTAACATTTGCTAGCGTACATTCCACGGCTTGCAGACGTAAACCTAGCATGTCGGTACGAAGTTCTAATATATCCTCTTTAGAACATTCTATAACATCTCCATAATCCAACAGAAATACTTCATATTGAAAGTTTTTTAGAATTTTTGTTATTTCCCCTCGATACCATTGATTATAACGCTTGTCTTTAGCTGCTACTATCTTGCCTATAGTTACCTAAAACCAAGTTATGAAAAATTAATAGGTCTGTTCTTTTCCTCTGCATCGCTGCACTAGTGCAATAAGTTCGAGTGAGATAAGTATATATTTGTCTCACTTTAACTTATTGCACCAGTGCAACGGTGCAGAAGAAAAGAACAGACCATATATATTAGTGATTTTATACACATATGTATGCATGTGTGTGTACGCAAACACACATATGTACATACATATATTTACAATTGTTCTATGTTATTTGGTATGATTTATTTATTTGGTACGGCGGGTTTCCTATACAACGCACGCGCATTGTATCAATCTTAAACAATCTTGCTACTTGCATGACTTTGCTTACTATGTTATATTTGACATTGATACAAAAAGATATTAATGTGTTATATGAATAAGGTATCATATATTAATATATATAATTGAGAGATATGATTATAAATTTAATATTAATTCGGTATACGATTTACAATATTTATAAATTATATGCATATTCGCAAAAGTGATCAAAATCATGTATTCTTTCACTTACCTCTTTCAAAATGTGCATTGAGTGATTATCTTCGTCGTCGTAATACATTGCCATTTGGCTTGCCAAAGATTCTAAATAGATAATTCCAGGGCCAAGTATTTGAATCCAGAATTGATTTGGTGATTTTATCGCACTTATGTACACTTCCATTGCATCATCTGTTGAAATTAAAATTTTTGTTTCAATAATCAATGAAACATGTCCTTCAATTCTATGTTGTGATACTACAAGTAAAAGTTGAATAAAACAATATAAATAGCTTTACGTGCCTGCTGGTAATGGTGACAGTATAATCCTTGAAAGTTTAGGGTCATCGGGTAATTCGTCAGTCAAAAGTTTTGAATAAGCTCCAGGTACTCTAATGGGACAAAAATCTTGCAGCATAGCGTCAACTCCATCTTCCAGTTCAACCTTCTCTCCTATGAGTTTAACAGCCACCTCTATTTGCTCAACAGTCCCGTGTACTATTATTCTTTTTTTACCATCTTTAGAGGGATCACCATATGAATAATTTGCAGGATTAGAAACTGCAGAGTAAGAATAATTAATAAAATGAAAATAGTATTGAAAAAATCATCAAAAAAATGTTTAAAAATATTACATACAGGACCTGTAATCCAAATCACTGTCGTCGATGATAACTTTTGCATTCGAAGCTTCTTGAATTTTCAATAAATTTCGTCTACCTTTTCCTAAGATGTGTTTCACAGTTCTATATGGCACGTAAAATTCATAGCTATCGATAACAGGTACATTGTCTATTATGTTTTGAACAATAGTTTTTGCTAATTTAACACCTTCTGCAGAACCTGATATAATGCAAATTCGATCTGAAGAATTGTTTTTTACAGGATTGTTGCATCGTTTAATTTTAATAGTTGCACCAGTTTTCATTTCTATTTCTCGGATTGTATAACCGCCTTTGCCGATGACAGCAGCTACAGTCGAATTAGGCACTTTGAATTTTATCGAAACAATTTGAGATGCTGATTTACGTTTCCAACCACATAATTTATAATTATCCTACAATGTAATATTAATGAATCAATTGGTATATAAATAAAATAAATAAATAAAATAGATACGAAAAATAGATAAATAAATGTAAAGTAACTTTATTCCATATATATGTATATATATGGAATATATATAGAATTTACCTTTCTATATAACTCATATAGCAAAGTTGCACCAACAGTTGTTAGAGATACACCAAGTAAGCCAAGTATTATTGATTCTTTTTTGTTAATATTTTGTAACATCCACCCCATCTTATACAATATAATGATGCTTCTTTATTATAGAACTAAAAGGGGATATAATCCTATAACGAGAGAAATATATACATATGTATGTATATATGTGTATATATTTTGTATATAATCTATATACAAAAAGTTAAACATATACATTTGAAATATATACATGCAATATTTAACTTTTGTTAATTTTTATTCAAAACTTATTTCCAACTTTTCTTTGTATCATATCATATTTGCTTGATAAAAAGATTAATAAAAGTTTGGAATATTCTGTTAATTTCTAAAACCCAAAAATTATTCAAATGAAATTCTTAGGCTTCTTTCATTTAAATTTTCTATTTAAATCAAAATGACCATAGAGATATTATTTTCTAAATCAAATAATGAGATAACTTGAAAAAAAAAAAAATAAAACTACATTTACTTTCTAGATAGAATAATATTATCCTGACATTATCTTAAGCATACTCAGAATATCTTAAGACAATTCTCAAAACAATCTAAAGAGATTCTGAATAATTTTGAGAAATCTTGTGTTACCAGCGTTACCTTCTTAGCCTGCATTCTGAAATTCACTGCCAGTACTAAAAATACATAGTTTTACACATATACTTTAGAATTTCAGCACTGGTAGTGGATATCGGAACAGCTTTAATGTTACTGTAAATACTTATAAAAAATAATTAATAAATTAATCGAAATATATGTTATAATAATATAATTCTGCTTCTCTTTTCTTTTCAATTTACCGATATTACAAATGAAGTCCCTAAACTGTATAATTACCATAAATAAATTTCTAAACGTTTCTTTCAGGTTATTGACTCTTTCCGTAATTGTTTGAACATAATACTTCGATACTCCTGATAAAAAAATTTGTCAGTAATCTAATCTATTTACTAGTTGAAGTAGTTAAACTAATTAAGTTGTATATTTTAAGTGTTCGAAAAAAAAGACGGAGAATACAAAAAAACAATATTTTTTGAGGAAAATGAAATTAATAAGATTACTATTTTGCTGACGCAATACCTAATTCCTTAACGTAATTGTATATAGCTTCAAAACCTGCTTCGGGTAGAAAATCCAGCACGTTTAAGAAGATACGAGCGGTTACTTTTCATATGACACACAAGGACATTTGTGAGACAAAAACATAGAATGTACTAGATATATAATAGATAAACATAACAATTACGTCATAGACATGGCTTTATGAAAATATTTTCAAGTTAACGTTTGTCGTACCGAGAGCAGTTTAGTATCTTCTATTTCCTTTGTTTCCTTCTCTTCAAACAAATAGCAGAAAGTACGAATATATGTCGTATCTCTAGGATCATACACACGCTTTCACGATTTGGGTTCGAATGAAACCAGTCGCCTACAGTTTGGAACAAGATAGTCACATGAAGTTCTAAATACAAAGAGAACAAAGAGAAGCAGAAAAAGTAAATGGTAGGGATTATAAACCACGTTGTACAACTGTCGTGTTTTCTAAACGCAACAGTTGCAACGGTTGATTAATTCGTCAACGTTATTGGTCTGAATGTAAGGATCTAACAGTAAAGACCAATAGCCACTAATCGCTCAGTGAACCTTTTGTTTTCTTTGTGTGAACGCAACCAATCAAAGCAATTTTGTTCCGTTATTCACTGTGAAACAACGAAACGGAATTACTCTGATTGGTTAACCCCCTCACTTGCTTTTTCCATTTCTCTTCAAGGTCCTTAAAGCTCGGTCCAGAATAGATTGCAAACACCAAGGCTGCGTTCCGAAATTCACTGCCAGTACTGAAAATACAGAATTTGTGTCACGTATACTATAGAATTTCAGTGCTGGCAGTGAATATCGGAACGCAGTCCTAGTTGCGAGTTGCGAAGAATGGCCGCGTTCAGTAGAACAAAGGCCGCATTCAGCAGACTCAACAGTTGGACAATATTACTAGATTTTCCACTGAATCTCGCTCCTGATTGGTAAATACTTCTGGATCTATGAAGAATCTAAAAGAATGCTCCAATCACAGACAATAATCACTAAGCGCTCTCTGATCACTTTGGCCGCGTTCAGTAGAACAAAGTGATCAGAGAGCGCTTAGTGATTATTGTCTTTGATTGGAGCATTCTTTTAGATTCTTCATAGACCCAGAAGTATTTACCAATCAGGAGCGAGATTCAGTGGAAAATCTAATGTTGTCCAACTGTTGAGTTGACAACATTACTAGATTTTCCACTGAATTTTCCACAATTGCTTTAAACGGAGTTTAAAGCAATTATGGAACTGGGCCTTAAACTTCGTTTACAGTAAGTTGTGGAACCGGGCCGAAGTCGAAGTTAGAAGCCGTGTAAACGTAGTCTATCTTTCTCTGAACCGCTCGATATAATGGAGGGAATAGGGCAGTGCTCCTTCCAGTATGGTTATATTTCAATGAGATATACTATGTCTATAGTTGCGATTGCCGGTTGCCGTCGCCAAGAAGTTAAAAGTTGGGCAACTCTCTTTTAGCAATCGCAAATCTGTAAATCGTAAGAAAAAATTGATCAATCACAATTGATTATTCTTCGACCGCAAGGAGAATAATCGACTCTGGATTGGTCAATTTTCTTACAATTTTGTGACTTAGGACTTCTATTGTGGACCCCGCTTAACTCAATACATATATACATAATATATGGAAGCTGACTGATGCGTCCGATTCTTATGATTCTATATGTGTGATATTATTAATATTTAGGAACAATATTTGCTACTGTAATCAGTTACCATTTATAAATTTTGTATATAGGTCTTAGAATATATCATTTTGAGGAGATGACGATGGTAAGTTAAATGTGTACAATAAAAGGCACTTTTTTGGGTAAATTTAAGGTTATGTTTAAGATTGTGTAAAACGCACTTATATATTATCTCGAAATATCTTTAAATTGCGGCTGAAAGATTAATATCCATGGATATATATTTGTTTTTATTATGTATTACGTAAGGATATTGCATTTTACACAAAGATATTCTATACTGTTATCACCAATGATATGTAGAGTAAATCATATTTATCATTGTTAATTAAAATTAAATTTAACTCAATTTGTTTGGCTAATATCTTACTGTTTTAGGAACTGAAGAAGTTTCTCTATGGTTTATTAAGTGGCATAGAAGGTTTGTATGGTATATTAATTACAGACAGAGATGGAGTACCTGTTGTATCCGTGTCTGATGAGAAAGCACCAGAGTTAGCTATGAGAGCTAGCTTTTTATCAACTTTTGGAATGGCAACAGACCAGGGAAGTAAACTGGGTCTTGGGAAAAACAAAACTATTATATGCATGTATAGCAATTACCAGGTAAAGTACACAATAAGCTAGTAACAATTAAATTAAGGTATAGTATAAGTATTGTGTAAATATATTTTAAATAAACCAGCTTATATATTAGTATTTGAGGTTGAAAAAAATGAATGCAACGAAGACAATTATTGTCAAGAACATTATTATCAGTATTGTTTATTAAATGAGCGAGACATGTTTTAAGTTATAACTAAATATAATTACTAAATTATTTGTAACACTATATTGAATTCTTTATCGTATATTGATATACTACTATTATATGGCAAATATACTAATAGTATACATATACTAGTTATTTGATTCTTTATAGAGAAGTTGGTTGTGTGAAAATTTTGAATTGTTTATAATATTAAATGAATATCTAAAGACCAATTTTTGATTCTCTGTTTCTCATTTGATTAGAATATATATCATCTTAATATCACTTGGAGATATTTTCTCATTAAAGAGTTCTTATTTGGTATTTAGGTGGTGCAGATGAATAAGTTACCATTGGTTGTAAGTTTCATCGCTAGTCACAATTGCAACACTGGTCACATATTGTCATTGGAGAATAAGATTGATCCTATTTTAAGTAGTTTAAAAAATGCAGTAGTGGAAGCCTGATGGTTACCTGTTGTCCATTATGGGTGATAAATACTGAATATTATTAAGATGCAAACTTATGAACCATTGAGGATATCGCACGAATAGTGCCTATGTCACAATGTTAGTACTTTTCCCAATAGAAAACAACCTGTTTCTATATTTCTACTTGCTAACACTTTTACATAAATGTCAAAAGCGTATTTTGTGGGCAGAAATAATTATAGTATTTCATAACAAAATCAGTGTAGTATAGTTCTTTAAGAACTTTAGAGATATTCTTAAAATTGAAATATGATTTGTCAAGAAAAGGAAAAGTATGCTTTTATTTAATAATTATTCGATATAAATATTCGAACAATAGTACTAAATGAATAAATGTGTAACAATTCAAATGTGACTAAAGATAATTTTCTAAAAATTGTAACAAACACAGAAATCTTGTGAAATTCCAAGAAACGCGTTTAAATAGAATAACGTAATACTGATAGTTTATAATTGTTGAGTATACTCTACATACACACAAAATGTATATCATTCCAACAAAATGCCGAGCTAAATAATTAAATTTGGCTAGTAGGAAATCCCTAACAATATCTTGATAATCTACTTTACAGTAACACAATATTATTGCTTTATTGCTTTTAGTGATATAGAAATTTGAACAATTGTGAATGATCAAATTAAGATTATAATTTGATAAAGAAACAAACTATGTTTATAAACGATAAGTATAAGAGGAGATAGACGAATTTCTATGTTAAATCACATATCGACAAACAGTCGTTTTTCTAATGGTACTTATTACACATCTAGGTAATATAAAAGTAATACATAAGTCATATAAGGCTGAATGTAGGAGAAAGCTATAAGGGATAAAGCAAGGGTTTACCATCGAGACCATTTAGAATGTTCTGTGCTGCAATTATTGACATATTATTGCGAGTCTTGAGCGTCGAACTGCCCAAATGTGGCAAGATTTCTGTAATATTATACATACAAAATAAAAATCGATGATGTGAGATGCACTTATTTATGTGAAATAAAACTAATACAATATAAATATAATAATTATCATACTTATTTCATATGAGAGAATACTGACCGATATTAGGCAATTTTAGAAGTTCATGATCCGGTGGTAATGGCTCTGGATCGGTAACGTCCAGTCCAGCAGCGAATATTTTCTTATTACGAAGAGCTTTTACGAGTGATTCGGTATTTACGATCTGACCGCGGGCTATGTTCACGAAAACTGCCGTATCTCTCATCTTATTGAAAGCATTGTCATTGAAGAGCCCTCTGGTTTCATTGTTTAACGGAGCCGCGACTATGAGGAAATCACTTTGCTCCAGAAGTTCGTCCAGAGTTACGAATATTGCTCCAAGTTTATCACCTAAATCATATTATTTATTTCCAATAAGATGTTTAAAAAATTTCTACAACATTTTACACAAATTCATTATTCTTAAATAAACGTGTAAAAGATTTTCGTTAAGCACAGAATTTATTGTACGCCAACATAATTATTTAGTAAGATAAATAAATGAATAAATATCTATGATGTAAAAGTTCAATAGCAAAGTAGAGTCCAGTTAGGATGTAAGTGCAATTGTCAGCATGTAATAATTTATGATACGATAGTGCATGCGCATGTATGTGTAGAGAAGGGATAGGAGGGAAGGAGAGGGTGAGGGGGGGGAGGGAAAGGAGGAAAAGCATAAAAAGAACATCGTAGTCTAAAACTTTGTAAATATTATAGCGCTTAAATTCACGCGAAATGTATCTTCTTCGATATATCATAACGTACCTGCTTCCTTACGTGAATGTCCAGTATAGATAAAACGCCCCACTTCGAACCCTATCAATCGTTTAACGATTGCTTGACCGATGTTTCCTAGGCCAAAGATACCAACTGTAGACCCTTGTAGATCTTGTCCCAGTAACCATTGTGGTCTGGATTCCACCTGACCTCTTAATTAGATTATTGTATACATCTATAGAGGCGCGTTTTATTCAATATATAATTAAGCATTTCGCATCATAATTAATCCTCTGTACTTTGATATTTAACTCTCAAGTCACATAAGTTTTCATCATTAATTATGTAAAAATAAGAAAGAAAAGAGCTGTATATTAGACATATCTTGAATCTTCAATAAGTAGTAATAAGAACAATAAAAGAGGATTAACTTTTGACCTAAAGTGAAATAAAATATCAATTACTGTTCCAGTTTTACGCGACCTTCGTGAGCGCGTCTCGCTGCAGATAACATTAAAAGTATAGCAATTTCCGCAACTGCGGCAGATAATACTTTGGGCGTGTGCCCCACTTTGATTCCTCTCCTCTTAATTTCTGCAACATCCAAGTGATCGTATCCAGCCGACATTGTCGATACAACTTTCAAACTTGGGCCTGGAAAAAGAACCAGTAAAAAATCAAACTTGATAGTGTATTACTCGATAAGATGTCTTATAATCTATCATCTTTTTTTTCTTTCATGATAAACCCAGACAGCACACGGATGTCCATTGGACGTCCGTTATATGTCCATTTTTTATACAAAAGACGTCCTTAGGACGTATGTTTGTCACAACTTCGGACATAGGACATCCGATGGACGTACATCGGACGTCCTACAGGTCCGATGTCCAATAAGGACATCCTTGTTACGTCCAATTTAAGTCCACGGACGTAAATTAAACATACGGACATAAATTGGACGTGAAACGTACATCCATTGGATGTCCGATGCTGTCTGGGAAATATACAGCGTATATTTATCTATCTCTAATATTTCAGATTTTCAGTTTCGTATTAAGCTTCAGAAAAATTTACTTATTTAAATTTGACGATATTCTTGTTTCACAGACATTTAAAAGGATGACTGATAATAGGATGACTAATATAAAATGTTGCTCAAAGTTGTTTAAAGTTGTCTAAAATGACTAAAAGTAAGTACAGCAGCATGATGGCTTACCGGCGATGTCGAGAAATTCGCTGTTCACATTCTGATGGTTCGCGAGAAATACAGCATCATGTCCTGGAAGAGCTTGCAGTACTTCTTCTCGAGTGCTTACAGCGGTTGGTATAATGGTAACGTCGCATCTATATCGACAAAATGAATAATATAATATTCCAAAGAATATAAGATATACCTCTATGTTATTTTAAACGTGTCGAAAATATATGCAAAGTGGCCTAGAGCGTCCTGAGTACTTTCAAGATGACCTTAAGACATTTTGTGATATATGGGATAATTTTGTGGAAATGTGAAATTCATTCAGACTTACCTGGTTCGAAGCAGATCGATGCCGGGAGTAGGCGCTTCGTTGCTAGTTATCAGTACTCGCGGTAGACCCGGTAGATTCATCGTGCTGTTGAGATCTTCTATTTGACCTCCACGATTTGTATATGTACACACATTAGGACAAATTCTATGTTTACTTTCAATTTTATTGGAAATATGACTACTTAAAGATATTTAAAGAACGTATATGTACTTAGAGCATTATGGGAAATAGTCATTGAAATTATATCGAACAATGTACAATTGCGAAATAGATTAAATTTAATCGATAGTTACCCAGTACATACAGTAAAACGTTTACACCTCTACTGTGTATTATAACTTTCTGACTGATAGCTGTTACTACGCCCGTAGAATACGTTGCGCAATTTATAGCGATAAAAAAGGAATTACACACCCGTGTTGCTAGTTCGAACCGGTTTGAAGATAATAAAAGATAATCGATGAAAGTACAGTTGCATGCACTTAATGATTTTTCTTTTGCTTTCGTAAATACCGAATTGGACTGGTTATGTGGAATAATTGATAAATAATGGTGTTTATATCCTGAAATTTCTGCAAAGCGAACTTTTTTTGTTTTTTAGTCAAACATTTTGACATTTCGCGAGAATGCAACTGTGAAACCGAGCGTGCATGATAAGCAAAAAAGACTGCAATAATAGATAAAATGAAGGTTATTTCGTCCACTAAACTCAGAAAAAAATTTGTACACTTTCAGACAAACAAGGCTGCACAAAGATAAAACAGACTGACGATACTGACGAATATCCGTCGCGAGAAATTTTGTTATCGTTAAAAACTAAACAAATTCTCAAGAACCAAAGTAATTACATGCATGTATAGATAACTAAAATTAAAGCTAATTTAATCGCAAGTAAACGCATTCCTTCAAAGATAGCAAATAAAAGAATTAAAATTTTTAAATAAACATGTCGACTTTTTTTCTGTTAAAAAGAATCAATGAAGTAAATTCTAAACAAAAAGAAGAGTTCTCCTTTTTCAAAATATGTATATAAAATTTAATATCGCGGTACTTTTAGAGCGAAAAAAGGAAAAGAAGCAAGTGCAAAAAGAGAAACGTATCTAAAATCGATATATTTAATATTTTACACTATAGCTTGATATCTCATAGGTCTATTCCAGTATATTATGGAGCTCACCGACTCATATTAAACCGTGTTCCGCAGTACATACGCTGTTAATAGATGCGTTCCGAAATAGGTTTCGGAAACTTTGGTTTTAGTTGTAAAGTTGGTAGACCTTAAATTAACAGATACGTTCTGTAATTGATCAGCTGATTCATACGATCAACTTTACGGTCGGAAGATTCAGTAATCAAGATAATGAGTAACAAAAAATCTATCCATTTCTCTATCTAATGTATCTAATTACAAAATTAATAGCTAAACCCAAACTTGTAAACAGAAATACATGACTGTGAATGTTCAAGCATGATCAGCTGATCAATTACGGAAAGTATTTAAATTAGTTTAAGGCTTACCAATTTCATAACTAAAACCAAAGTTTCCGAAACTTATTTTGGAACAGGCCTTGTCTGTATATATACATTCCTGTGGTTGGTGGTTCGACATTCGATGCACATGCGCGAAAAGGGGATTCGTGTAACAACAGTTATCAAATGTCTGGTTATGTCTGATTGCACGGTCACGATCGATGCCATTTACATCTATTAAAGTAAATTAGTAAATTAGGAAATTACTCTTTGACGTTAATATTAAGGTGGAATAGGCAAAGTCCTTAAGTTTCGACGCCTCGTCAGTTGACTGAGAACCTCTCTTGGAAAATCCGAGTTAACGATTATAGAAAGAAGGTATCGTGCTTATGCATATGCATATGCAAAAGTTATTTGATTAATACTTATCAAGTTCATCATTAATACTTATTTGATTATTACTAATCAAATAATTACATAATTTCACACTTTATTGACAGTGTACTAAACTGTGCTGATTGAAAGTGATATTCTTGCGACTTTTTATTATCCTAATGAATTCCTTTTATACCACATAATTCAGATTTTAAATTCTTATTATTATAACAAGATCAATTTAATTTATAATTAAGTATTTGTAATTAGATTTGTTAAGATAATAAGTTTAATAAAACTGGTATCTTGTTTTGTACAATCTCTTTAACATTTTGTAATTATTGTAATTATTTTTTTTGAGAACCCAATATTTATACATATATGACATAAGATATATTTTTATAATAAAAAAGAATGTATATATACATATAATTTATATATAGAATATTTTTCCTTTTTTAACACATATTATTAAGTACATTTGTATGTACAAATGTACTATCCCTAATAAAATATAGAATATCAAAGATATTAATATATTTAATATATTTATTTTGATTCCATATTGATATTGTATATAATTATAGAAAAAGCAAAATAACCGGATTCTAATGTCAGATATCAGAGGTGCAAGATGAAGCAGCTGGATATAACAAAGACTATGCTGAGATTATGTCCACTGATTATTCTGATGATGGTTAGGAATAGTATAGCTGGTGTACCACGCAGGGATCAATATCAGAGTCTGATAGGCAGTCAAGGCTTGTACAACGCCAGCGATGATGTGATGATTCTTAATGCTACAAACTTTAAAACAACCATATATGGTAGTACCAAGGGATGGCTTGTTGAATTTTATAACAGTTGGTGCGGTTTCTGTTATAGATTTGCACCTACTTGGAAAGCTCTGGCTAGCGATATTTTCTGTAAGTTTTCTATTTCAGGCAGATGATCATGAAAACAATTATCAATTAATCAGCAATCAATATTTACTTTAGATGTATTCATGATTAGATCTTGGACAAAGTTATTATATTCTGACAATTACTAATATTCCAAATACTTTGTGATGTCGATAATTTCACAATGTATATAATCATACAAAGAATTCAATTTGTAATTGAAAAAAAAGTAGATAGCTAAATGTCTAAAGAAAAATTTAATTTGCAGTTCAATGCTTATTTAAGATTTGTTTATTTTTGTGTGTTCTATCTATCTGTCTACAGAATATATAAAGTATTCATTTGCGTGTGTTGCAACGTTATAAAAATAAATTATAAATAAATAATAAAAAGATATATATAATAAGTAATAAATATATAAATAATAGACAATAAATAAGTAAAAATATATTTTAGCTTGGAACGACATCGTTGTAGTCGCCGCGATAGATTGTGCAGATGACGAGAATAATCCGATCTGTCGTGATTATGAGATTATGCACTATCCTATGTTAAAGTATTTCTCTGTGAATGCACATCCACCCTTTCTCGGTATAGTAATAGAGAAAGGGGATAGTGTTGACTCAGTAAGGCATAATTTAGTTAATATGCTTGAAACTGAGCAACAAGAGGGACGAGGATCTACATGGCCCAATATTGCACCATACAGGTATGTATCAAATTTTTCACACACATCTAAACTGTATATCAACCACAGTTCTTATAATTACAAAAACAATTCCGTTACTCATTTGTCAAGAGGCACATACGTTTGTAATATTTCTAAAGCAACTTTACTGATTGCAGGAACGTCGAAATAACAGACGTATGGAAAACAGCTTCCAACAGTGTAAAATATTTCTTCCTAATTTTCGAGAACACAGATTCTCATTTAGGTACGGAAGTAATACTCGATCTGCATAGTATCAACAGTTTACAGATACGCAGAGTGACATCCGACAATGAGTTACTGTGCGTGACGAACAAGGTGACAAAGTTCCCAACTTTGATAGCTTTTAGTCGTAATGAATCGCACAGAGTAATCAACGTTAGAATACCGACGAGGCAAGGTGTTCGACGTGCCATCAAGGATTATGTACTTGCGAAAGGAGTGAATATTTATGAAGCAAGTACAACAACGACAACAAGGACGACGACGACGACAACGACAACAGGAACGTTGCGCGACACACATCAAACAACAATGGAAATAATTGAAAAAACTCGCGAGGAGGAACAATTGACATCGAAGAAAAAGGACGATTATCTGTATCAACTCGATCTAGAGAATGCATTACGCTATTCAATCAATCATGAAATACCGCTGACAAAGTCGATAGAAGACGAGAAAATGGAGGCGTTACGAAGATACCTCGCGGTGTTGGCAACATACTTTCCTTTACGACGAAGTAACATGTACCTGGAGGTAATTCGTGACGTCGTCGAGAGCAAAACTCGCATTACCGGCGAGGAAATCAGTCAGCTGGCAAAGACGACAGAAGAGGAGATGTCGCCAGTATACTCGGGACCTCGTCAATGGATAGGATGTAAGGGTAGCATGGATTCGTACAGAGGGTACCCATGCGGCTTGTGGACGATGTTTCATACTTTGACCGTGAACTTCGCATTGGAGAATAGGGATGAGTCTCGAGATTCCTTGCAGGACGATCCTGCGGCAGTGTTGCGAGCGATGCACGGCTATATCGAGAATTTTTTCGGATGCGCCGATTGCGCTGCTCACTTTATAGAAATGGCCATGAGGAATGGAATGTTCGACATACGTAGCAGAGATGAGAGTATACTCTGGCTATGGCGGGCACATAATGAAGTAAATGCACGGCTTTCGGGCGACAACACGGAGGATCCCGAACACAAGAAGATACAGTATCCCTCGTCAGAGCACTGTGCAGTCTGTAAATTTGCTAATAATAGCTGGAACGAGGAAGAGGTATTACAATACCTAAAATACAAATATAGATATAGCAGCATCAAGTACGACGGGATTGACAATAACGAAAATACGGATAGTATGATCAATAGCAATGGGTCGAGAGTGAGAAGGCCGGAGAGACTTGCTATGGAAACCAAACATACTAATGCCGGAGAAGGCTTGAACGGATTTGACATTAGCATCTGGCTGGTATTGTATGTTTTGTCGTCCGTGATATTTGCGCTAGTGTGTTCGAGAGAACTCAAAAGTTATAAGAGAAGAATGTGGGTACAGGAGGAGAGTTACAAAAAGAAGAGAAATCACATTAATCAATTAACTATATGATACTCCTCTTTTTTTTGTTTACACTCTGCTCGTCGCATATAGTCATTTTTGCGCGTGCAACATTCCTAAAGATGAATTTGCAAGTATCGGTGTTTCAGTGTTTCGGAAAGTTTCCAGACAGTCAGGAAAATGACGCCATACAAATGCAAGGTATGTGGTATCTTCCAATTGCAAGTGTATATTTATATCTGAATTGGCACGCGCAATTCAATAGAGGAAATTTTATTATACTGCTTGATGTGGTAAGTAGTACTGCCAGTAGTAAAACGATAAAGCCAAAATGCTATAGCTACACATATATAAGCATATTGCGTCAAAAATTTTCTTATTTAAAAAAATATTTTATAAAGAGGCTTATATGTATATATGTATGTATTCTAAGAATTTTTTTTTAATTATATTCAATCTATTTCCAGTAAAATAAAAAGGTGTATCCTTTAGTGAATTACAAGTAAAAATTAAGCTGTCGATTAATTATGCACTGAACTGTTTCGTATGTCACTCTAAATTTTAATAGCATTTTTTTTTAATTTTGTCCTAAAGTTTATTCGAACGATATATCTTTATTGTAGACTTTTATGTACGACATATAAAACTTATACAAAGAAAATGTAACAATGTAGATACATGCAATAAGGTGTATAATGTATACAGCTGATAAACACTAAATTCAAGTAAAATATAACAATTATACTCAGCATCACGATGTATCCGATGAATATTTTTCTTGTAACATTTTCAATATCATTTAGAGATCATGTATTTATAATTGTTAAACTAAAGTATTTTAATCAAGAATTATAACATATACAGCATGTAATGTTAATTCTTTGTCTGGAAAAAAGATGTAATAAATAATTTTCTATTATACGTACGGCATCGTGCTGTAACTGTAAACCTTAAACAGTATAAACATTATAACATTGATTATTGTAAGATATAACAAACAAAAGTCGCATATTTATGTATCTTCATTTTATATTCTTATATCGGTTTCGTATGCGCGTGTGTGTGTGTGTGTGTGTATGCATGCGTGCGTGCGTGCGTGCGTGCGCGCGTGCGTGCGTGCGTGCGCATATATATTCTTTTATTTAACATTAAAAAGCGTTACATCGTTTGGGATAAACACTTAGGTGAAAAATTAAATCGATAACTATTGATGTATAATAAATTAAACAAACGAAGTATTATATAATGTAAACTAGTCTCTCTTTTCTTCTAGAAGTGCAATTCTGTTTGAATATTAAAAAAAAATGTAAAAGAAATACGATTGTGATATCTATAATCTGATTAAAAGTTAATCTTTTGCAAATTCATCTGTACATAGATCCCTGAAAAATTCTCTGATATATATCATGAATATTATAAGTTATAATCTTTTTCATGTACAGTTTTCTAATATAAAATATGCAGTTAAATATAATTTTGCATGTTTAAAAATGATATGGACATGAGTCTTGTGTAACATATAATTAACATCAAAAATTTCCTTACACTTATATAGCCATGTTAAAATGATAAAAAAGTTTTGGAGATTTTTCGTTTTTCTTTTGTATATACTGGTCTAATGGCGAAATACAAATAATTTATAATTAACATGATTTTATATACATATATATATATATATATATCAAAGAATCAAAAATCAAAGAATCCTATAATTACTTATGCAATGATTAGATAATAACCAGGAGAAAAACATGCAGGAATAACAGCTGTAAGATTCAAATAAATTTATTAGACATAATTATATAGTCTGTTAATTACATAAATATAATTAATATGTATGTACTGTATTTATATATAACATTTACAAAGAATATATATCAGACTGTATACACATGTATATGTATATATGATGAACTATAAAATGCATTGAAATTTTCAACAGCTTTAATTAGCGTTGTTTCATTACAAATATATGGTCTTCCAAAGCATTGAACCAATTTCTTTGCAATTTTGATTATGAAAACAATATTGACGTTATCAATATGAATAAATTGATATTATTTTGCAAGACATTTTGTTCAAATATATTTTCATGGAAAACATATGAATTCAAATTCAATCGTTTTTTGAACACACATTGTGCCATAAGGTTCCATTATGAGGTAACTGTGAATTTATATAAGGAAGAAACCATGTTATATACCATCGTTCTCCAAATACTTCTTTAATATTATCCTTCCAGCCCATGTCGTATGTATAATCCTTTTTGTTACTCTCATTACTTACAGTACCTCTAAGTATCAAATTAAAATGATAAATAAATAATACTCCTGTGTATAAAGTACCCACAAATGACATGATATACAGCACTAAGTAGAACTGATCGACGGACATGTCGATGCCAAAGAAGAAAATCGCCATAGGGAAAATCATCCTGACGATCGTTGAAAACTCGAAAGATACTCTATTCCAGATGAAAAAGCTGCCGTAATAAAAGGCGTACGCCGCGCCGAGAAATGAATACCACAGAAACATGATGAAATAACGGTGATTGTAAAAACCTATGCAGTAGCCAACAAAAACGCAATGGTGATTGCGCTTGAGAATGCACGTGTTACAGGTGTGACAATGCCATGATCGCGGTGGCGATACGGATTCGCAAACTGTGCACAGCCACCATCCATTCTCAGGTTTTGCTGTGCTTATTGATATCACGTTTCTAACGGTACTGGTGTCACACAGCATCGTATACGTGAAGTTACCTACGATATTCAACATGATGAAAGTGCCAAGAACAAAGTGCAGTGTATATTGCAAGTTTTCATCCTTGTACAATTCCGGCAATATTACCCACAATCCGAACCAGTATATCAATGGTACTACAGCCAATACGAAAACCATCGACGCTAGATCGCCAACAGCTCGCGGCCATATCTTCTTCCGCATTACCATCATTTTTGTCGCTATTGTTTTCTTTGGTTCATTTAATTATCTACAGTACGTAATCTCTTGTTCTTATCAACGTATCTGTTAGAGCAATTAGTCCTATTTTTCTTTCTCTTCCCTTTTAAATATGTCCTTTTAAGGATACGATATTACACTTTCTTTTTCTTAATTCCCGTTTTTTTCCAATATTTTATTTCCGTTTTTATAGTGATCTTTAGAAAGAGCCGATGACATCTTACAAGTTATCACAATTCTGGATTCTGGCTGTATTTCCCTTAAAGCATATCACGTGCATGATATACTCTGCCAGAGCATTTCGCAAAACACATCGCGCGATATAACCTAACATCTAATAACATGCACAAATTGTAATTGTCAAGATGAACTTTCTCACCGATTTGCCTGAAATTTCAGATTTTTGTGTATTTTATGACACACAGCATAAATATAAAAGTTAAAATTGTTGCTTTTAAGTAAAACAAAAGTTACAAGTTACTGAAAAGTGACAGTTCGAAGGTTGGGAAATATGTCCTTCCTCCCTTCAATAGATGGCTCTGGGCCTGTGGGAGTAAGCCCCAGTAAGGCTGTGTTCCAAAATTCACTGCCAGTACTGAAAATACATAGTTTGTGTCACGTATATTATAGATTTTCAGTGCTGGCAGTGAATATTGGAACACAACCTAAGCCCTACGCCATTCTTCTTGGGAAATATATATTGGTATATGTATGATTCACAGGGCCTGTTGTTCCAACTTCTTGGTAAGTTAACTGACAGTTAAATCATATGTCTGTCTTTGTCCAAGTTGAAGGAAAAATAAAGACAAATGTATGATTTAACTATCGGTTAACTTACCGAGAAGTTGGAACAACCGGCCCGTAGGCTATGTTCCAAAATTTACTGCCGGTATTGAAAATACATAGTTTGTGTCACGTATATTATAGATTTTCAGTGCTGGCAGTGAATATTGGAACACAGCCGTAGACTGTGCATTTCCATCCATCTTCGGAAACGTATCAATCAGAACGCAGTATTTTCATCCAGCAAGCAATCCAGCACGAAAACAAGCACCCTGTGCCGCTGGCTTAAGAAAGCGTGTGACGTTTTCAACAATCCGCGTTTGCATCGCGCCATCTAGATTTATTTCAATCTTAAGCCAGCGGCACACGGTGCTTGTTTTCGTGCTGGATTGCTTGCTGGATGAAAATACTACGTTCTGATTGGTACGTTTCCGAAGATGGATGGAAATGCACCAATCAGAACGCAGTATTTTCATCCAGCAAGCAATCCAGTACGAAAACAAACACCGTGTGCCGCTGGCTTAAATTTCAATAGTTAAAGCCAGCGGCACACGGTGCTTGTTTTCGTGCTGGATTGCTTTCTGGATGAAAATACTGCGTTCTGATTAGTACATTTCCGAAGATGAATGGAAATGCACTAATCAGAACGCAATATTTTCATCCAGCAAACAATCCAGCACTAAAACAAGCACCGTGTGCCGCTGGCTTTAGATTTGGGCAGTTTACGTCGCACCGTCTCGCAATGGTTATCCCCCCGCAACTCTATGCTTTGTCCCTATATTCCTATGTCTATGTATACACTCAGGAAACATAAAAAGAAATAGATACACATCTAGAAGTTAGTGAAAGGGAGAGAAGAAGAGAATAAGTGCAAGTTAGTGCAGCCAGTTCAGCAATAGAAAACTAGTGGTTTGTTCTTTGTAGCTGCACTGTTGAACTGGTGCAATAAGTTAAAGTGAGATAAATATAAGTTTTCTCACTCTAGTTTATTGCACCTGCAGTTCAGCAGTGCAGCTACAAAGAACAGACTAAAACCTAGTGCACGAGCATTTAAGCATGCGCAATGACGTAAGTGCACAAAATTTGAAGTATGTGGTCTGTTTTTTTGGCTGCACTGCTGAATTGATAACAATAAGTTAGAGTGAGATAATTATATTTTTTCTGATTTTTCCATTACTGTTTGTTACTATCTATGCTTGAGAGGTCTTTGTAATTCCTATGCTGTAGACCTTGAGTATAGAGAATTGGTGATGAAACTTTTCTTCTAATATGAATATATGAAAAGTAAAAATTTTCTAACTCAAAAAGATTTGATAACATTCATTTTTCATAAGCTCACATTATAATGTGTGAAAGATTTATAATTGTTTCCTTTAGTTTTTGATGAATACAGTCATACTACTAACATATATAAAATTGACTGTATCTGATTGGCAAAATCTACAGGTATATATCGCACTTTTTTATATCCAGTTCTAGTGCAACAGTTAAAATTTTGAATATACTTATTTCGCGAAATTCACCGAATGTTGTGTGTCATTTACGTCAGTTATAAAAAAATATAATGTTGCTTAGTAAACATTATTATTCTATTCAATTGAAAATAAATATAAGATGATGAAGTGATAAATATATTTCGAGGTTATAGAGGAGTTGTGATATAATAAGTAACAAAATTAAATGCAAATCATCAAACTTTGTAATAATATTCCGATTTTTATCTCGATATGCACAGGTAATGTTATCTGATATATTTACTTTTATATAATTTAAAACCATGAATAATGTTTTAAATTAGAGGTTAGAAAGCATGTAATGAATTTGACGAAGGAGAAAAGAGAGAGAGGGAGAGAATGCGTGTGCGTATTAGGAGAGTGAGTGTATATGGGGAACAAAAGTATATATAATCTTAGAGATAACAATTACAAATATTTAAATAGGAAATATAGAATTTATTCTAAATTGATACATATATATGATATAATTTTAGACATGTGCTTTTTCTTGGACATTTGCCATTATCATGGAAATATAACATTTTTAAGTTGACCTTAAGATGTCTGTACAAAACACAAGCAAATAATAGAATCAAGGAGTATGAAGGCCGTAAATTAGTAGGGTAATAAGAAAAATTTGTTTTAAAAGAAATATTTGTCAGTAGATTTTTAATAGGCATCATATATTTGTTTCATATTTAATATCATTTATTCATGCCTCTTATATATTTAATATTTATAGTTTAAACATATAAGTAGCTTTTAAGTAGATATTAATTAGACGTTTACATTGATAAATACATTATAATTTCTGCTCTATAGGTTTTCTGCGAAGAAAATGTTTTATGTGGTGTCCGATGTAGAAAATTATAAAGAATTTTTACCATATTGTAAGAAATCTGATATTACATTGAAAACCAAAGACCTTCTGAAAGCTAACTTAGTAATAGGATTTCCACCTATAAATGAAAGTTATACTTCTAAGGTAACCATGGTGTATCCAAGATTAGTCAAGGCAGAAAGTAAAGATGGCAGATTGTTCAATCATTTAGACACATTATGGATTTTCACATCTGGATTGAAGAACAACCCCGATACATGTGTGATTGACTTTTCTTTGTCTTTTGAATTCAAGTCTGTCATTTATTCTCATTTGTCAAATTTATTTTTTAATGAGATTGTAAGGCAAATGGAGAATGCCTTTCTTGAGGAAGCTAAAAGAAGATATGGTCAACCATGTTTAAAGGCTATACAGCTGCAAAGGTGACTGGACTAAATATTTAGGATAAAAATATTTGTTTCTATGAATTAATAAATTTATTTATGGCTGATACAATTTTGTCAGTTTTTATCTTATTAATTTAAGCTTATCACCTTATTGAAATCAGTCTTCATTATTATTATTAAATCTTTGTAATGAATAAATTTGTCAAGATAAACAATAACAACAAAAAGTTATACAAAACAACTAAGCAATTTTTTGTGAACTAAAGTATTTATAAATAAGACGTGTGAAATTGAATTGTATATAGTGCTCTTTAGTGTATATTTTGTAACTTGTTCCGCATCTCGCTCATTGAAATTACACAAGACAGAACTGATATTAAAATCTCAAAAAATTCTTCAAGTTTCTCCCTTTGACCTATATATTTTGTTCAATTACTGGTACAGTACAAAATATAATATAAATTTTATATGTCAAAACTCTGTGTTATGCCTACACACGGATGTATGTGTATGTATGCATGAGATACGAATAAAATTATATACGATAAAATATATTTTATGTGTATTTAGATATATCACGCGCGCGCATCAGAGGTCCAGATGCACACGAAATAAGAGTGTACATAGATGAAAATTCGCTTTCTGCATGAAAATTGAGGTTTTACGAGTCATGGCTACACAGCTGAGCATTTATATACACATTGGTTCTATTCGAAAGTGTAGTTTTTCATTCGCGCTCTAAGTGTCGATACGTCCATACATCGAAAGCACACGCGTCGAGTTGTTTTTCACGAGATCCCGCACGCGTAGCGCAATGTTGCTACTCGACGAGTATTCCACGGGCGGCATCGGCCTAAAGTAGCAAACCACCCGCGCCGAAGCGATGCACGTCGGAATAGTGATGAACTGCGCAACGAGTGATAGGTGTGGCGCATGAAAAAGGAAAGGAGCACGTCGCGGTTGCGAGCACTACCGTTGAGTGAGACTAGGGTACGGTGTGCACGTTACGTTTCAGAAGAATGAAGACATTCAGTGTGATTGGCTGTAACATTTCTCCAGCTCGTCGACGCGTATTATCATCCTAAGAACATTATTGTTGGACCGTATAGACTGTATAGATGCCCTTTACATCGGTCCTTTATACGTGTACATTGGCGCGTATTTTTCTGCAAAAGCGCGTCATACCCGCGCCTATGCGTTTTCGTTTGTCGCGCGGTGATCTACGTAGTGACGGCGATAGTGGGGGCGACGTCGACGGCGGCGTTGGGAAGGGACGCGAAGCGTCAAGGGGGTACCGTGCGCCGCGAATGAGAGAGTGAGGTTAGCTGTGTGTGTGCCGTGAGTGTGTGCGCTCGCTTTCTCCCTCGCACCTGCGCACCAATTCGTGCTCCATCTCGCTCACTCGTATACACACACACACACACATCTCATCATACACAACATACATACATACACATATATACATCATACATATACACACACACATGCATGCATTCATGCGTGTATGCATGCATGCATGCACACACGCTCGCACATACGCATGTGATCATCGTGTTTTCCGTGCCCTTGCGCGCGCGCTAGCTGGCCAAGTCGCTTACTCGCTCACACGTTCACTCGTTCGTCCGTTCGTTCGTCCCTCCGTCTGCCCGCACGCTCGTCCGTCTGTCCGTCCGTCCGTCCGTCCATCTATCCGTCTGTCTGTCTGCCCGCCCGCCCGTCCGCGTGCCTGCCTGCCTGCCTGCCTGCCTGCCCGTCCGTCCGTCGGCTGGCGCGCGCGCGCGTTAACGGAATTTGTGATCAGGCACGCAGGGACCACCGACTAATGTTTAAATGGACGCATCGTCCATCATCACCCAAGTGTCGCGGGATGACGAGATATGCGCGTTCAACAGCGAGAAAGGTGCGTATCGTGTACTAACCCGGTGCCACCCTCTTTCCTGCGCCTACAAGCTTCTCCGCCAGATGCTGCCGGGATTCGTTTCCCTGCACCTGTTACGGTACTCGCACCCGCGTTTCTCTCCTCGCCCTACCTCTTCGCCTAACTTCAACTCTTGTCGTTCCTTCCCCTCTTTCCTCTATCCCGCAAGTAGCTTCTCGCGTGCCTCTGTTTCTCTTCTCATCCCCTTCTACTCTTCATTTACATTGTCACCCTTTTCAACCCTTCATTATCTTATTTTTATATCTTCTGTGTATGTTGCGAATTTTATTTTCTTATGTGATGTTATGCCCTTTAACCCTTTATTCTTTATAGACCACCGTATAGGGGCAATCTGTAAAGAAAACAGCAAAAAAACATTTTCTATGAAAGGTTAATTGGAGCAACATTTTTGCCATGACATACAAGATGCAAATTTCTTATCTTTTGATAAAGATTGCACTTCTTGATTTGACAATATCTCATGGACTTAACTTTAGATTACTTTAGGGAAACTTGGTTTTTGGATCTGATATAAATTCAATACTACACTTGATCTTGATGTGAGTTTCTATATTTGTAAAATTTGATTGAATAAATATGTCTTAACATAGAGTCTCTCTTTCTCTCTTTCGTTCTCTTCTTCCTCTTTTTCTGTTTCTTTTTCTTTTTAATGAGCTCACCTAGAAAAAAGGAAGAACATCTTCCCCCCAAATGCATAAGTAAATATAGAGAGATATGACTTTCATAGTACGTGTGTGACATTAATATGAGTATATAATAACTACTTGGTATTTTTCTATGTATATTTTAGCTCAATTGCCAGGAGAAAATGAAACAGCCAATAACAGTCCATCTAGTGGCAAGAGGTCAAGGGAGAGAAGCCGCAGCTTCTTGCGTTCTCTACTTTGCTGCCTTGGGAGGGGTCGAGGTGGTAGTTCGAGGAGTTCCAAGGCGAGTTCGCTACAGGGAGATGGTCGAGGCTCGCCGCCACCGGGGACTGGATCTCCAAGGTTTCTGCTGCCGCCGGTCAGGCATCAAGACATGCACAAGAAGTGCATGGTAATCGACTTGGACGAAACTCTGGTGCATAGTTCTTTCAAGCCGATCAACAATGCGGACTTTGTTGTTCCTGTAGAGATTGATGGAACAGTACACCAAGTGTACGTCTTAAAGAGGCCTTATGTGGACGAGTTTTTGCAAAGAATGGGTGAATTGTACGAATGTGTATTGTTCACTGCAAGCTTAGCCAAGGTATGTCTTTAATAATTAGAAGAGAAAAGAAAGCAGGGAAATAATTAATAAGGAAAGTAAATTTTAGTTCTAATTAAATTTTAACACATGACTAAAAATAATCTTTAAGATATTCTCAAATATTAATTAGTAAAGAAATAAAGGTATATATTTTATTAAAATAGATGCTGATTAATACACACACACATATGCTTTTTACTTCTTAAATGTAACTTCTCAGGAATAGGTTTTTTAGATTTGGCATATGCCAATATAAGTGCTTCATAAATATGTATAAATCAATATATTTATATACAGTAGGTTGTCATATTGTATAATTCTTTTTATATGTTACATACATACACACACACGCACATCTTATTCCATATTTTACGTAAATAATTATTTTATTTTATGAGAAACTGTTTGATCTTTGTAGAAAAATAATTATGTAATTAAAAATAATATTAAATTATTATCTTTATAAGGATTTTAATAACAGTAGAACTTGCAAAATGAAATTCTAACTTATTATAACATAAAATAAGACTTGTTTGAAAAGAAACTTTTGAAGAGAAATTTAAAAAATTTATCAAAATGTATAATTTCTGCTAATGCATCTATTTATTGTACTCTGTGTTATTTCGCAGTATGCAGATCCTGTGGCAGATCTACTAGATCGATGGGGTGTATTCAGAGCAAGATTATTCAGAGAATCCTGTGTGTTCCACAGAGGGAATTATGTTAAGGATTTAAATAAATTAGGCCGAGATTTGCAGCAGATCATCATTGTAGATAATAGTCCTGCCAGCTACATTTTTCACCCAGATAACGCGGTAAAATGTACTTCTTGCAACAAATAACTTTAATTAAGTCATTTTTTTACGATATTTTGATGTAAATAAATGATTGTGTCTCATTAATTGATAAGAATGGTATCCATCCATGACAGGTTCCAGTGGCGTCTTGGTTCGATGATATGACGGATTCCGAGCTATTGGACCTGATACCTTTCTTTGAGAAACTCAGCAACGTAGAGAATATCTACACAGTGTTGTGCAACAGTAATCATCCATACAACCAGGTGGCAACTGCGCAGACGGTACCAAGTAATCAGAGTCCGCCAGGATCAGGTTCACTGGCTGCCTCCTAGCCCCGTCTGAATCCTGGCAACGCAGCCAGTCTTGTCGCTCAATGCACCTTCCGAAGGATCCTCAGGGGACTGCTTCACGTGACCCACCAATCGTTGTGTGGTCAAGGACCTCGAAGCGTTTCTCGTTGACCTGCGGAGAAACGTCTGATCAGTGGGGCTGAAAGTCTTATACCTTAATCCGTCATCCAGTGGACACATTACCACAGCTGCTGGTATCCTTCTTCCTGGCGAGCAACGCGACGAAGACTGAGTCACCTTCGAAGCGCGAGTGTTCTTCCATTTTGCCACTGTCGAGGACGACGAACTGTTGTGCCGAATTTGTCCTGTGCACGGGCAGGGTGAGAAAACAGGGTGCTCAGTGTATTTGAAAAATAAACCTGGCGAAGGTTGGCGTAGAGCCAATTCCGGTCAGAAGTTACTTGCGAGAAGTCAACGATTGATCGCGAGAGAGAAGACGATGATAATACGGTGACTAGGATAACGCTATTGAAAGCAAGTGCAAAGATATGTGAGGAAAAACGAATAAGAGAGAGAAGGAGATGGCGGGAGGAGGAAGAGGAGAGAGAGAGAGAGAGAGAGAGAGAGAGAGAGAGAGAGAGAGAGAGAGAGAGAGAGAGAGAGAGAGAGAGAGAGAGAGAGAGAGAGAGAGAGAGACCCGAAAGGAAAGAATCGCTCTAAGTCGTTTGATGGGCCATGTTGTGTTGTTGCCGTCGTTTAGTTTTTATATTCGAGTCAAAACATCCTAAAGCTTTATTCAGTTAGGATTACGAAGAAGATATTAATGCTCCGACCAGGTTTTTAAATGCTTCTAATGCAACTTATACGTCGAAGAAGAAGAAAGGTAACAGTAGCAGGTAAAATTCGAGATATGCATGAGAATATTTCATCTTAATGTTTACTTTAACTCTTTTGCGACTACGATATTTTCAAATTCATAATTTGAATTAGCACTAAACATCAGGAATCTTGGAATGTGTGGATGCAGAATCAAGATCGTAGATATTAATATCTAATTTAAAAATATACACATACAAGAAACTGAAAATTCAAAAGACTTAATATCCTAAAATTCTGCAGATTAGAGTACTGTAGCATAGAAACGTAGGAAATGATCTTTAAAATAAAAGTTGGTATGATATCAAAATTATATTTTTTTGCGATATTAATTACTTGGGAATTTGAAAAATCAAATGTATAAGCTACATTTTAAAATAGTCAAAAGAGAAACAGTTTTTGAACGAAATAAAAAATTTGTTACAACTATCAGGTTTGAAAATGACAATATTGTTTGACAATATTATCAGTGATGGAGCTATCTCTTGACACTGCCGGCTGTTGATAGGAACAACGATTTTCTACATATTCAGTTAAATAAGTTTCCACTCTCGCGAATTTATTGAGAATACTGCGAGTTATCATAAATCTCACAAATTCTCACAAATTTGTAAAGAAAATCAGATACTATTTTGTCAGTATTTTACAGATCTTGATGAAATAATAACTAGATTTTGAATCGATTTAAATTTAAAATTTATATTTCTTCGATTGTAAAAAAAACAAAAATATTTTCAGTCTTTATCGTATAAAAATGAGTATCTTAAGATCTACACATCCAAGAAACCATAAAATTTTGATTATCATTAAACAGAATATTAGCAAGAAAGTTATTTTGTGAAATCATCTTTTTCGAGAAAATTGAGTATAAGCTAAGCATTTTATTGATATTGCATTTTTATAATTATATATACACACACACACACACACACACATATATCCCTGCTGCTGGTACGCCCTTCGCTTGACATTCTGTATACAGCATTTAAAATAAGGCGATATTTGAATTTTGTGGGGTACATATTGCTTATTTCTTATCAACCCTCCACTCTAACGCCTGTAAACAACTGTTTTTACTTCATTTATTAATTTTGTTGTCAAGTATATACAATTATATTTCTTTTTTACGTATTTTTTAGATAAATGCTTTAATTACACTAAAAAATATTTGTTAATATATATTTTGTTAATATATATCCAGCAGCTAAACCTCTTTACGATTTTCCGCCAAAAAGTCTCACCGAATTAAAACTGACGGTAAAAAGGTGCGAGGGTTGAAAACTGTTAATTAAATTCATCAAAGAATGCCCATTGATTTGCAGAAACTGCAAAGAAATCGTATAGTTGATGAATTTACCAAGCTGTTTTGCTAAATGCAAAGAAGAACAAATCAAGGAATTAATCGAATAATCATGGATCATATTGTTGTCAATGTTGATAAATTGAAAACTGGGCCAATGCATATCATTCTTTCCCTCCAAGCTAATGAGGTTGCGTCACATTTGACCATTCGTTTTTGGAGCAAGAAAATGACAATCGTTTTTATTTTGGAGTATTTTGAATTGCATGTATTTTCTGACTTATCAAAAATTCACTAAAATTCCTGGTTTATTTTCTTAAAAAAATTTAGGAAGCAACATTTATTAATCACTTTGTCGAATATCACATAAACAATACAATTTTATTGTAACCAAACTTACTACTATAGTTATATTTCATCTTTTTATCAATTACCATCAATTCGAATTGTCGAATATTCGTGATTATTAATGATGTTCGATTAGCCATTATTTTCATATCTTTGCGAAATGAAAATCAGGGAATTATAAAGAATTGAGAGAATAAATGTTGTAAAATTAGATTTCTATGCTTTCGATATTAGCAATCGATTTTAACGTTTGCAAATTTCTATTTTTTAACTTATTATTTTAAAGACGGAACGATATCCGACAATTAGCATTTTCTTGTCCCAATGAAACGAATTGCACGACAATGTCATTAATAAATTAGAAATAATTTAGATGTAGCCCTTGAAGGGCAATAGTTAAGCGACGGTATATCCCTACATATGTGCATATATTTACTAATGCGTCATTTGTACACGATTACAGCTATTTGATCGAGGCATAACAAATGTACAAAGCACATTGTACTATCAAAATCAACTTAAATTGTTATTCGTGCTTTTACCTCTGTTAATACTATATTATTTTTATTTTATACATACACACACACACACGTGTGTGTGTGTGTGTGTGTGTGTGTGCGTGCGCGTGTGTGTGTGTGTGTGCGTGTGTGTGTATGTGTGTGTGTGTGTGTGTGCGCGCGCACACACATACATATGTATGTATGTATATATGCGCTAATGTCGTCACTCCAATGCAAAACTGTACATTAAATCTTGAATTCGGAATAAAAAAAAAATAAGTTTTTATGTCGTACATTTTTCTACACTGCTGAAAAATATAAATTATACTCACTGTTGACAAAGATCTAAATCAATTTATGATGAAATTAGCAAGCTTCTGGAATTTTTGCATTGAAATAATGACATTATCGATATATTCAGTGAGTTGATTATCATTATTAACTTTTAACAAGCTTGGATACAATTATTGTTTTATTTTCTTTCTTTTGTTTGCATAAAAATTGGCTCAAAAATTATAATACAATTAATAAGGGATGATCACTCATATTGACAAAGGACAAGGAAAGCATCTTAATTTATAATTTAAAAATGTACATATACTTAGAGCTCTGTTTGAAATGTAAGATTTTAAATTACAAAATTTTAAAAATTTATCAATTTAAAGATTTAAGACTTGTTTTTTGTCGCTGAACTAATGTATGCTCTCACAACATAGAATAAAAAGAAACGGATATACAGTTCCGACTTGCGAAAAAAAGAAAAGCGAACTAGAGTGCAAGAGGATGCAGCTAGTTCAGTAATAGAAAACAAACCTTTTACGCAGTATAAGTTTAAAAAAAGAACAAGTGTCTGTATGGGAATCAAATTCTATTTATACATCTAAAAGCGCTATTAATACGATCGAAAATGATTACTTATAATTTTTTATCTTTAGTCTCTATAAGAATCGTACGTACATATGAATCAAGGATATATTATTTAAAGCACGAAAGACGTGGCTCGCTTGTATAATATTAATAGATCTCCATGTGTATAAGAGATCGCTTTCGACAGGAAACTATTTCAGAAAGGCAGAGCTATCGATTATGTAATATTTGTTTATTTTCGAGTTATGTATTTGACTACAAAAAATCATCTAACAATTCTTTCATTTTCTAGCGTGATTCTTAGACTACCTTGTACCTTTTGTTTTATTAGTTTTTTTATCGACGTAACGATAGTTCGGATAAATCCGATCGCTCGAATTATTATTTCTACTTAAACTAGGAAGAGATTTATCGAAGAGATTTTTTATGCGGCTCCCAATTCTTCCATCTTTCTGTACTTAGTAAATGTGTATGTGTATGTATGTGTACTGATGTTTCTTTCTCTTGTAGAAGTTATATATATACACACATACACACACACATATTATGCGTGCGTATATAATGTAATGTTTCTCTTTGTGTAATGGCCATCGAAACGACTCCGTATGATTATATCATACATCTGTTCCAGAACAAATCTTTGCCCGATCTAAGGATCCGAGAATCCATAGATTTAAATATCCGGAAAACGATAAAAATAAGAGTCGAGAAATTTGTCGTTTTATGTGATCTATGAATCCATCTGGTAAAAAGGACAAAAATATCAGAATAGAAATGGAATGGAATGGAATGTCCTATCAAAAATCTGAAAAATATTGACGAATCTATCGAGCTGATGATTTGTACAATGATTGTATAATTTGCGATAATTAAACAAATTTACTGTAATGAAATAATTTGTGATTTTAAAATTAAAAAGGTCGCAGATATGAAAAATAATAAATATAAGGATCTTTGATAAGGATTCTCTCCCTAAGGATTCAATTCAGAATGAGATTCTGATCGTCAGAAATCAAAAAGTATTAAAGATGCAGATATCGAGGGCGGATAGGAGAAGACGGAAGAGAACAAGTTAACCGTAAGATAATAAAAATAGAAATACGTAGAAATGTATGTGTCAAGATTTCTTTACAGGAATATTAGATTGAAAAATCAGAAGGTAACTGGAAATTAACAAATTGCGCAAATAAATTTTGCAATGAATTAAAGGTCCAATTAGAAGAATTGAAAATGCATAGATCTAAAGATCTAAATATTAAGGATAATAAAGATTATACAAGCATGGAAAAAAAATGTAAAGATAAAGAATCTTGGATTCAAGGATTCAAGGACACATTTTAATTATATTATAACATTATTATTACGTTATTGCGTATGAAAAGTCCGTTTTATTTATACCAACTAATCCCGAGTTGGAAATAGAGAGATTGTGTTAATAGAATAAAGTTTACATGTAATCAGAGAGAGCTGTACGAAGAATTTATGATAAAAACTGTGCAATTTTTAAGCGTCTATTTTATTTATTTCTTAGAAAAAGAAGTATACAAGTGTTAGAGGCTTCTTTTATGTGTACATGTGTGCCTGTGTACGTAAATGCGTGTGTATATGTGTGTGTTAGTTTTAGCATTTAGTTATACATTATTAAAAAAGATGTATGTTTTCTTTTCCCTTCATAATAGTACATGTCAATTAAAATGCCTTTCGGATTGTTTTGTTGATTTAATTTCACTAATAGTGTACATTCAAAGTGATTCATGTTTATATCAAGTAAACTATTATATTGATTAAATTAAAAAAAAATAATTATTTTTTATCACGCTTATAGATAGCTCTTCGCGACTAGAGAAAATGTAAAGATCAGGAATAAATATAAATGTAAAAGTCGAAAAATCTTAAAGAAATCAAGACGCTATGTGCAGCTGAAAATTAATGAGCAAATTCTCTAGGTTGATTATCAGTGATCAAATGCTTAACATTTCATACGCAAGCACGTAATATCTCAACCGTCATAATATATCTTAAATAAGAAAAAAATGTGCGAGTGAGATAAAACGCCGCCAATAATGTTCTCCCTCTCGAAATCACAATTAGGATTCCGAGCCGCCTTGCTGTATAATGAAGCGACAAAACGTGTAAAAATATATACACACAAATATATAAATAAATGAACACACACACACATACACATAACATTCTCAAAACGGCAGAAGCGGAGAATGTACACGTATATGTGTGCGTGTGTACGTTTGTATGTACTCTATATGCGTGTACGTATGTGTAAAAAGATAGGAGGAAGAAAATGGAAAAATAGCGTTTAAGGCTTTCGCCGAGCGATGGCCGTCGAGATTCGTCAAGACTTTTTATATGCAGCCAGAAAATTTCTTAATAAAAGAAAAACACGGAAAAGAAAATAAGCGATGAACGAGCGTGCGATTTTTGCGCACTGTACAATTAGGAATAATTGTATCGTTATTGCAAATTGTATAAAGGTCTCTTTTTTTTCATGATTTATTGTTAACCCGTTAAAGGCCCGCATCGCCTTTTCAATTGCAATAAAGTGGCATAATCCTGTTATTCACATTGCATATTTAGCGTTAAATGCGACCTCGGCCCACGATTGCGTGTAATATCATCTCCGTATTGGACAATTGCGATTTATTCATTTGTGTTCGTAATATTAATAATGAGAAAAGTTATTATAATAAAACGCATTCTTGTAAAAACACATAAAATATCTTAACCAAGGATTTCAATTTAATTCAGTTAAAATCTTAGAAATAAAACTTTGATGTAAAACGTAATAAGAATCGGTTTAGGGAAAACACAATGTACACGATTTCTTGTTGATAATAAATTTTCTATTATTTATTTCTTTTAATAGAAGAAAAAATTGTAAAATTAGAAACACAAAATTTGCAAAGATAATGAAACACACATATTGAACGTTACTTCACAGAATGGTTTATCTAACGTCATTCAATCTACATTAAAATATTTTTCTACGCAATATTAGGGTAATTGCCACTTCAAAAGGATTTAAAAGAAGCTGATTTATAGCTATGCGAGATTTTCTTAAGAATCATAAAATCCGATCGACTGAAATCACAATGTAATGTATTATTGGATACAGAAATATTATCCGATATTATCATATCGGACCAATTTTGTGTGACTCGTCTACGCTACGTAGCTCACTGATGACTCGCGTTATTGTATATGAGTTAATCTTTTTTTGTCAAATATTTGTCAAATAACATGTGTCTCAAAATAATTATCAGAGCGTATTATGATTATACTTCGTTTTACAGCCAAAATATCAAACAATCTGAACAAAAAATTTAGCGTGGACCACTGGTGATCTATGCAGCACGGAATGTATTAACAATTCATATCAATATCACATACACACGCTCACGCGCGCGCTCTCACACACATTTCTGTATAGAGCACATTATGAGTTTTTTTATTTTTTCAGATTCCGAAAAATCATTGATTATATTTTATAACTTGTTATTTTATTTTTCAAGTTTATGACCATATTTTTACGCGTGCTTTTATAAGAACACAATTCATAACGGGGATTTCTATAAATTATATTACTCTTGACGTCATCAAGATCTACACGTGCACGCACGCACATACAAATAAGAGGTGCGTTCCATTTCACGCATATGCGCGCATTTTTATAGTATATGTGACATAAACTATAGATAAATGTGCGCATATGCGTGAAACGGAACGCACCCTGAATCGGTCATCTACTTTCGGACGCTTATTACTTTAAAGTTCAAAATCAATTGTCATATTTAGGGCTAAATATGGCGTTAAATATAGAATAGAGATAAATTAACAACAAATTAAAATGTATAGATGTTAATTTTTTAATATTTATTTGGAGTGAACAAAAGATTAAAAATGTGATTAAAAACATGAATGAAAGATCTAATTGTATAATAAAGTATTATTATACAGACAAATTCGTAAAATAATATGGACATAAGGGGGCACCTTACCTATAATGATGATTAGTTTTAAATTGATGATCAAAATAAGCTTATACACGAAACTTTATTGTGTCGCCAAGAGATTAAAAAATGCTTATAAGTACATTAACGTTATAGTTAAGCTCTTATTTTTTTCCTTCTTTCTCTTTTTCTTTTATCATATGAGTGAGAAGAATCGTTTCTATTAATATTATCTTTATCAGTATAAAAATTAGTATCCAATAATATATTACGGTAGACGGTTAAATATATCTTTTTTACGTCGACATCGAGGAATAAGGCATTATACGCAACGAACGAGTATTCTCGTTATCTTTGCAGATTCGTGCAAGCTGGATTTTCATATTTATGCCGGTATTCTCTTGGGATTCAAGTCGTACATACGTCGCATTCGTTTCTTCAATTCTTGCGGAAACTTATCGTAACACTTTTTACAGGCTGGCTTCAGATCGAATTCGAAGAACTTCGTTTTCTGATTCATCTTCTGATCGCAGAATGCACATGCGAAGTGATGAACGCACCATGCCTTGTTTAACGCCGTAAAAACTAACAGAAGAGATATAGGTATGTTAGGTTTGATTTTAAACACTGAAAGAGAATTACAGGTTTTGAAAGGTTTAGTTAATAGTTAATAAAGGACTAAGATATTATGACTCCAAATGTTAAAGAGAACTTTAAAAAATCTAAAGAAAGCAAGTCAAGACACAATAAAGATTCATGAAGAACTGAATTTACGTTGCAAACACGATCGATTGAATTACGTAATATTTAGCGCAACTTTGCACATACCATCTCCCGCGATAACTTGATTACAAACGAAGCACAGATTCCCAAATAGCTGATGATAATGAGTCTCACAATAAGCGAGACCTTTCTTCTCGTAGTGACGGTGACCTAAGAAGGGCTTCTCGCATTTTGCGCAGACAAAATGCTCCACATGCCAATGCTTGCCGAGAGCTGTTACAACACGTTCCTCAATGGGACGTCGACAAGCGCCACAGATCGGAATTCCCATTTTATCGTGACACCGCAAACAATATAGCTCGTTCTAGAGTATAAGAAATCGTTTATTATTGATATTCTCAACGGCATACTCTCGGTTATAATAAATAAAATTATTGTTTTAATAGAGCAATAATAAGAATATTCTTTTGCAGAAAACACCGTGAATTTTTATAGGCGGAATAGAATCGCGACGATTCGTTGCAAAAACCTTTTGCTTATTAACATGAATATTTATAAGTATTTTAAATCCTATTGCAAAAAGAAGAAAGTATACAGAACATGTGCATATACGTGCCCAATTGCAAGAAATTAATATAATTGTACCATTTCGTTCGCAGCATAGCCAGGTCGTGAACGAACTTCTCTAGCTTCGGAATTAAGTTCCACACCACAAGTTGTACAATTGAAGTGATATGGGTGATACAGTTCACCGCGGAATCGTAAAGGTTTATCGTCGATTACTCCGCTGGAATAATGAAGGAAAGATAATTAACCGATTTAATTTCTGTTAAATTGATGTGATTTTCTGTGATGAGAAGATATATATTAAATTTCTAACATAATTTTCAACTTAGACTTCTTCTCCTGTATACAAAATCTTTCTCTTTATCAAAAAGATCTATAAACAGCAGTATACTATTAAAATGATCTTCCTCTCTCCAGAAGATCAAAATATTAAGTCAGATATATCATTAATATCAATCTGTATCTTTATATAGTAACAGGAAAACATACTGGCATTGATGGCATATATGTTTTCCAAGCACACCAGCTTTCACTCTAGCATTGCATGTATGACACAATGCTCTGCCTTGACACTTGATGAAACCTGCATCTGCTAGTTCACCATTACATTCTTCACAGCGGAAACATTGTGGGTGCCAATTTGAATTCATAGCCTTGATCACACGGCCAATGACAAATTCACCTACAAAATGATAGCTCCATTAAATATATCCTCATGTTATACTATCCAACTATTCAAAAATGAATAACAAAGCTTGCACATAGTAGCTAAGTACACAGCTAAAAATAATTTACCACATTTGCCACAACATGGGGCAAACAAAACATGAAAATCATGTTCACAATATTTATAACCCTCGAACTCATAAAAGACCCCATCTGGAAATGGTCTGAAGCACTGTGCACATCTGTCAAAAATAATATTTATATTAATTAATATTACTTCAATATCCATAAAACATAAACATTAACTCTTAGAGTTACTTGTTTTCCTAGGAAAGTTAAGGAATTAATACTGGTATCTACTTTGAGGAGAAAGAGATTTTGATTCAAAATTATTCTGTTTTTATCTTGTCACTCGAGAGAGAACATTAATTTCTATGAAAATCCAAAATGATCACTTGTATATACATACACAAAACATTGCGGATGCCATAGCTCGCCATGTGAATTAACAATTTTCTCATGTGCAGCAAAGCCTTCTCTGCAGCGAGAGCAAAACATATGATCCAATGACATGTCTGTAACCCTGTATACACAACACATAATATCAATTCCAGATTTACTATCAATTTCATTAGGGGAAAGCAACAAATACTTGAAAAACACACTCGGTAATGCAACTTCTTGAACTTGAACTCAGCATATATAGTTACACAGTGTTCCCTTGTGTTACCAGATACATAGAAATAAAAAAAGAAAAAGAGATGTCCATGTTACATGTGTATGTGTATGGTTGTTATACATCCCATATATTGCTTATGCGAGCGTTAATAAACCTCAAAGAAATAATGCTTACCCTGGCATACTTTAACAGAAGAGGAAGATTATGTTTGCTTGCTGATAAATACTCCTAGCTATCTTTTCTTTTTTATTCGTCTGCACTCAATCTGCTTTATGACGATACGCAATGATAAGAATTGATTAGGCTGACGAATTAAAATATTAATAAACTAGTATCTTTATTTTTTCATTATACAAACTACATCAAGTAATTCAATCTATTTCACTTTTTCTTCTCTTGAATGTTATTCTCCTCTCTAAGGAGCATCTTTTGCAAGTATCTCCTCTGTTTTTATTTTTTAATACACATTTGTCGCGTATATTAATTTTAATTAATAGGTAATTGTATGTTGATAAAAATTATTTGTGAGAAATACTTGATTTACACTACCTAATATTTATACGCGCTATATTTAACTGACCTACATCTTACAAAAGAAATATTGATTTAATTAATTCATCTTAATTAATTAACCAAATGAGGTAATAAGATCGAGACTACCTATGTAACCTGTCACACAGCTGACATATCCACACTCTTGCTAGATTTTAAACAGTCACAACCAATCCGATTTCAGAGAACGTATCGTGACCTTTTATGAAAATGGATGCATGTACAAATGACTTGCCCTACACCACACCCTCGAAAGAGTAAATGACACAAATAACGATGACATCGAACATGTCTCGCCACAGAACCACGAATCAAAAAGCCAACTTCCATATAGAGATGACGTTCAAGAAAGAAATTGGCCTGCAAAAATATATCCATTTTTTATAATTTTGAATTACATCAATAATATCAATAATCGATTAATTCAGCCTTTTTTGATAGTAAGTTTTACATTCTAATAATAAATGCCGTTTTGGACATTTGTATATCACTGTTGCTTTTTTCTTCTCATTATCGCATTTTGTAATGTAAACAAATATACTGAAGAAGAGTATATATTGCGATTAATAACAATAAACGCTATCAATTCTTCAAGAAGTATCATTCTATTTTTATTTCTCGTTAAATGTAGAACGAATATAAAATAATATTTCGAAAGTTTGAAGCATTATGGTCATTCTACAATACGTGTCGTAAGTTGTAAGCCGTAAGAACTGACCAATTATAGCCGATTATTTTTGTAATAATCGACTATGATTCGCCAATTCTTAAGACTTACAACTTACGACACGTATTGTAGAATGACCTTTACTGCTTACTGCCATTGTAGACCACGTTTTAAGCGTGGTCTACAATGGCAATAAAGGCCATCAGTGTATGTCTACAACCTCGCTTTCAGAAAATATTTTATCTCTAAGCCGTAAGCTCTAAGCTGTAAGCTGAAAACTGTTAAATAAACCTTAAAGACGGTAATCCACAATATAAAACGTAAGGCGTAAAACGTGACGTATATCAGCCAATGAGAGAAGAGTTATTCGGACTTGGTGGTTGGTGATAATGCGTTTGTAAACACGCAGTTTCTTTACTTTCTACATAACCAAGATGGATTTACGTCAAGCTCTCATGCTAACAATGGTATTGTGTTCGTGGAATGTGCATCTTTTACAAATATACGAAGTACAAAATCGGAGGTTATATCGGCGAGCGAGGTTATATCCACGATCGACGGTGTATTCTTTTTGACACGACAAAACGTCCTCTTCGCTAATTGGCTGAAAATTATATGTCGGCTTTAAGCTCTATGCTCTAGGCCGTAGGAATTGAGTTTTGCGCAATTCGCTTAGATCTAAAGGCTCGTCTACATTAGCTGTAAGAGTAAGGCTGTAAGGTTGCAAGACACGAAATGAAATATTTTCATTCGCTGACAGCTTACGTTGCAGCCTTACAGCCTTACTCTTACAGCTATTGTAGACGAGCCTTAACGGCTAAAGCTTAAATACTGCGCGGGAATGTCTTAGAGACAGAAATGACGTCACTTAACAATTACGGCTTAGAGCTTACATCCTCTTAAAGCAAGGTTGTAGACATACACTAAAGGCTCGTCTACAATAGCTGTAAGAGCAGAGAGTAACGTAAGAGCGGTCAACACGGTGTTTTTAACGACACCGACTTTCCGCACTGGGAAAGGACGCCATCTGCATCCATTTTGAGAGGGGAACTACGATGCTACAACATCCACTTTCAGGTTTCGGCGGTAAAATCTGTATGTAGTGGCAGTCCGTGCTACATCCATTTTAGGCGGTTTATGTCCGTGCTACAACCATAATAGCGTACTTGACAAGCACGGTCTCGCACATTGTTACGCGTTTATAACATGAATTAACATTTAACATGTGCAAAAAAAAAGAATTGACATTGCGTATGATTAATATCATGAAGATCATACGAAGTGTCCGGTAATTAGCAGCCAACCCGAAGTCTGAGGGTAGATTGGGTTGAGACAAACATAAAAGTGCCATACCATTTTGCGAGATTTGCAATAATTATCGAGTTATTAATGACAGAAATCTGAGGAGTAAAAGCGCGCCAACATAGATGATTCGAAAAGCGTTGCAGCTGCTCGGGGCAGCGATCATGAATCTTTTCCCTAGCGTGAACTAATAAAAAGTGAAAGACTTCTGTGAATCAGTGAAAAATGAAAAATTTTATATGAATTTGTGAAAATCGAAACATTTCACACGACAATTGAGTCGTTCAACATGGCAATTGCGCGTTCTGAATAATTCAATGAATACCAAAGAAATCAAAATAATCAAAATAATAATGTCCATGTAGTCCGAAGGATATTACGTGACACGCAAAATCCGTTTGATATAATATCCAAAGAAAATGTTTCAAAATATGTATATACAGGTAATATAAATGCACCGACGAGATATACTATAAAGACTAATGGCTTTACGGGATTTAGCGTACCAGAGAAATTTCCCTAGTGAGGCACCCGGGCGAAAGAGACCGTCTCGCATTTAGCGCAGTAAAATTTAATGGGAACTAATACTTTTCAATCCTTTTCTTCGGATCAAAAAGATTCAGAATTCAGACATATTCAAAATGTCAATACTTTTTAATATTTTTTAATACTTTTCAATTCGACTTTTATACAAGGAAACAGGACGAAGGGAATGGGATGCGGGCAACGATACATCATGCGTCTCCAGACGTGTCAAATCGTTTATTATAGAGGAGATTTTGATATGGCAACATGTATTCGAATATTTAATTGTCCCATGAACACTTATATATAATAAAAGAAAATTTACGCGGATAAATGAACGATTCGTATCAATTTTTCCTTTAATTATAGAGTAATGAAAAAGTAAATCAGTATCGAAAATCGAATACCAATTAATACCATAAATCAGTGTCAGAAAATTGTTCAAGTACAATGACAATTTGTTCCCATTTTTCAGGTACTTACCCCTCTAATTTACTCAACAAATTAACTCGAATAAACGGATGATTCGTATCAATTTTTCTTGTCTTATAAAGAAATGAGAGAATAAATCAATACCAAAAATTGAAGACCGATCAATATTTAATTTATTCATCAAAGTAACGCGGATAAATGAACGATTCGTATTAATTTCCTGTTTTCTTATAGAAAAATGAAAGTGTAAATCAGTACCGAAAATCGAATATCGATTAATACCATAAATCAGTGTCAGAAAATTGTTCAAGTGCAATGACAATTTGTTCTCATCTTGCAGGTACTTACCCCTCTAATTTACTCAACAAATTAACTCGGTTAAACGAACGATCCGTATAAATTTTTCTTTTTTTATAAAGAAATGACAGAATAAATCAGTACCGAAAACCGAAGACCGATCAATACCTAATTTTTTCATCAGATTAACGCGGATAAATGAACGATTCGTATTAATTTTCTGTTTTCTTATAGAGAAATGAAAGAGTAAATCAGTACCGAAAATCGAATATCGGTTAATACCATAAATCAGTGTCAAAAAATTGCCCACGTGCAATGACAATTTGTTCTTATTTTTTAGGTACTTACCCCTTTAATCTTATTCAACAAATTAACTCGGATAAACGAACGATTCGTATCAATTTGTTTTGTCTTATAAAAAATGAGAAAATAAATCAGTACCGAAAACCGAAGACTGATCAATACCATAAATCGATGTCAAGAAAATTGTCCAAGTGCAATGATAAGTTGTTTTCATCTTGCAGGTACTTACCCCACTAATTTACTCAATAAATTAAGTCGGATGAAAGAACGATTCGTATCAATTTTTATTCTCTTATAAAGAAATTAAAGAATCAGTCAGTACCGAAAATTGAAGACCGATCAATATTAAATTTATTTATCAAATTAACGCAGATAAATGAACGATTCGTATGAACTTTTCTTTCTTACGGAGAAATGAAAGAGTAAATCAGTACCGGAAGTCGAATATTGATCAATACCGTAAATCAGAGTCCGAAAATTGTACAAGTACAATGACAATTTGTTCTCATTTTTCAGGTATTTATCCCTCTAATTTATTCAACAAATTAAGTCGAATAAACGAATGATTCGTATCAATTTTTCTTGTCTTATAAAGAAATGAGAGAATAAATCAGTACAGAAAATTGAAGACCGATCAATATTTAATATATTCATCAAATTAACGCGGATAAATGGACGATTCGTATTAATTTTCTGTTTTCTTATAGAGAAATGAAAGAGTAAATCAATACCGAAAATCGAATATCGATTAATACTATAAATCAGTGTCACAAAATTGTCCAAGTGCAATGATAATTTGCTCATTTTTCAGGTACTTACCCCTCTAATCTTATTCAACAAATTAACTCGGATAAACGAACGACTCGTATCAATTTTTTTTATCTTATAAAAAAATGAGAAAATAAATCAGTACCGAAAACCGAAGACTGATCAATACTATAAATCAATGTCAAGAAAATTGTCCAAGTGCAATGACAAGTTGTTTTCATCTTGCACGTACTTACCCTATTAATTTATTCAACAAATTAAGTCGGATAAAAGAACGGTTCATATCAATTTTTATTCTCTTATAAAGAAATTAGAGAATCAGTCAGTACCGAAAATTGAAGACCGATCAATATTTAATTTATTCATCAAATTAACGCGGATAAATGAACGATTCGTATGAATTTTTTTTTTCTTATAGAGAAATGAAAGAGCAAATCAGTACCGAAAATCGAATATCGATCAATACCATAAATCAGTGTCAGAAAATTGTCCAATTACAATGATAATTTATTCTCATTTTTCAGTATTTATCCCTCTAATTTACTCAACAAATTAACTCGAATAAACGTATGATTCGTATCAATTTTTCTTGTCTTATAAAGAAATGAGAGAATAAATCAGTACCGAAAATTGAAGACCGATCAATATTTTATTTATTCATCAAATTAACGCGGATAAATGAATGAGTCGTATCAATTTTTTTTTCTTGTAGAGGAATGAAAGAGTAAATCAGTACCGAAAATCGAATATCGATCAATACTATAAATCAGTGTCAGAAGATTGTCCAAGTGCAATGACAATTCGTTCTCATTCCCGAGTCTTTCCCGAGTCGAAATATTAATTCTACATTGATCCTGCAAATTGCATCCAATTTGAAAAATCAGTGCAGAATATCTAGATGCGCAATAGTAAACAAGCTTTGTCCTACCTGAACGTTACATCTGGCTACTCTCGCAGTCTCGCCCATGATGAGTCTTCAACAGCGACGTATTCCACAGTTATTTAATACTCGTTTATCTCGATAATATATATGTACTTAATCCTTATATTCTTAATTTAAATGAGCAATTTTTGTTGATGTTGATTATATATTCGCTTAACAGCACAAGAAAGAGAACAATGATAAAAACGTAAATAAAACTGCCTTTGTTAGAACTGCGCGTGAGATAAATATATAAGGATTAAATAATCATATGAGAATTAGAGGAAATAGGAGATGAAAAACACTTTTTATTCTCATCATTCTTAAATTTCTTTTTTCTTCTCTTTTTTTCTTTTCTTTTTTCTAGTGAGAATGATGAGAATTGTAGCTCTCAAAAGAGCTGAAGCTGCAAAGGCAAAGACAACGGTTATGTCTAATAATGCTGTTTCACTAATAGAGATTTTAATTCAGATTCGGTACAATAAGAAAGATAAACAAGAATGAGAAACGGACATTCTAGCAGATTCTAAACGAAAACAGCAATCTGAGCATTATTAGACGAATATTAATTAAAAATCAATACTTGTAAAATTTATATCAGATTCTAAGATCATTATTCATAGTTTTCTAAATTACGTGCAACTTTTTATTGAGAACATAATTAAAAATTTGTATTCATAAACCTTAGCTTGCCTCAGAAACCTTGCTTGAATAGACATTCATATTTTATGAGAAAAGAAAAATAGAACTCATGTTACGTGAAATTAGGTTAATGAATAATCAAATCTCAAGCTATTTTATCATTTTTCAGATAATAAACTATGAATGCTGATCTAACTTCGACTCGGGTATGTCCTTACTTCGAATAAGGTCCGTTAAAATCAGAAAAATCCTGCGTAATAATAATGACTCGAGATACCTCGAATACCATACATGATGTATCGTTGTCCATGTCTCTCGGCGCGCTCCAGGTCCTCTCTCCATCCTGACTTCTCGATCCGACGTCCTCCTTCTGGTTACTCCGTCGCAGCACCCCCGGATACTCCATCGTAGCACTGGCGACGACACTGACTTTATCTCTAACACTCGCGCAAGTAAGATTCGGGGACAAAGAAACGCGTATTAACCGACACTCGTACTATTCTGCGTCGCGGTATGCGCGTCGTTCGTCGGCCCGAGGCGCAATGTCCTTTCCGCAATCACGGAGTCATATATAAACGTACGAAACCAAACAATCGGGAAGGCGCGGTTACCCCCCCACCTTGCCGATCAGTGTTGATGCCTGCGTCGTCCGTTAGCTGAAAATGAAAACAACTCGTGTTTTCAAAGCATGCCTGTGAGAGACTCGCTTCAAACTTCACAATACTTATTTACGTCTATTCCAAGAATTATATTACGCCGAATTCAAACTGTCTCTATTGACATGACATACACGAGATCTGCGATCGCATCATTGATCTTTCTTTGGACAAGAAAATCCTGAGAGGAACGCTGTTCGAGAATATCGCATTTTATGTTTCAGGTGCCTTGCAGATTATCGAATCCGATGTAACAGATCAGGGAAAGTATGAATGCGTCGCTATGAATAACATGCGTGGGCACGGAGTACTCCAAGTCAATCACGTTATACGTGAAACGTACGTATATTTAATATTATATAAAACTTATCTTTTTAAACAAAAAGGTAATAAAAGGCGCCAAGTACAAGCGCAACACGTATTGTTATTTTTAGAAGTATCAAACTCAAATTATTTTTTTTATTGTATATATGTGTACCTAAGTTTTTACAAGTAAAACTTATAACTATAATAAAACTCTGCAACACTTTTCTACTGTACAAAATTAAAGAAGTGATATATTAGAACAGTAGGGCCAACTGAGAAACCTAACATATATATATATGATTATTGTATACTTAACTTAATATTTTTAGAAATCTCAAATTCAAATTATTTTCTTTTTTAAGATATTTATTATGTACATAACATAAGTTTTTATAATATATGTACATAAACTTTTAAAAGTAAAAATTATATCGTGTTATAAAAATTTAACACGTTTGTTAATAGTGTCCAATATTTAAAAAAAATATCTTTTTAAATATTATGTACATAACATAAGTTTTTATAAGTAAAACTTATCAAATTATTTTTTTTGTAAGATATATATGTACATAAACTTTTAAAAGTAAAAATTATATCGTGTTATAAAAATTTAACATGTTTAGTTAGTGTCCAATATTAAAAAAAAAATATCTTCTTAAAGGTTATGTTATTCAAAATATTCAAGAAAACCTAGCTACAAAAAATGTCCATAACATAAATTTTTACAAGTAAAATTTATCATTATTTATTAGAACACTGAGTTATATGGTTATTTTACTTATTGATATTGTAACAAATTAATTATTATAACAATGCAATAAAAAATATTTGATACAAAAAGTCTTGGCGCGGCTGCACCAAAAACTATATCGAACTAAAACTTGTTTAATACATATATGACAGCAATTTTATTATAATATATTCTATAATGAAGGTTTATAATTTATTTATTATAATACTATATAAACTTAAATAAAACATTATACTGTATATGTATAAAGAGAATTTACAAGAACATTTTATTATAATAAAAATGCTGTCATGTATGTATTAATCAAGTTTTAGTTCGATATGGTTTTTTAAAGTCTAATTAGATATCATTGACATTTCGTCAATTATAATAAGAATAACATCTTTGAATTAAAAAATATCAAAATATGTAGAATATATACACATTCGATATGTATATTCTATAGTGAAGGTTTATAATTTATAAACTTAATACTATATAAACTTAAATAAAACATTACACCGTATATGTATAGAGAGAATTTACAAGTACATTTTATTATAATACTTTTATTTTTCCTGTTCCTCCCCTCCCGCCTCCTAACGCTCTTTTTAGACCTTCGGGCATAGTCCGGCATAGAGATGGCAACTGTGGTTGCAGCACGGACATAAACCGCCTGAAAGTGGATGTAGCACGGACTTCTGTAGCACGGACCACATGCAGATTTTATCACCAAGATCTGAAAGTGGATGTAGCATCATAGTTCCCCTCTCAAAATGGATGCAGATGGCGTCCTTTCCCAGTACGGAAAATCGGTATCGCGGAAAATGCCGTATTGGCCGTTTTCAGGTTCTCTCTGCTATATATTACCTCCAACATCTTCTTAGATAATTTGTAACCAATAAAATGTTTTTATATAATACAGCGTTTCTTGGTGGAAAATGGCCTTTAAAACTATTCTTCTTTTTCTCTCTCTCTGTCTCTCTCTCTCAGAGGGCGCGTTGAGAGAAGTATGACAAAATTCGCACAGTGTTGTCGCTCTCAAATTCCTCTCTGGTAAGAGTAGGTTCACAGTTGAATATTATGTAGCTAAACGAAACAAACACAGTGCAGAGTTCTACAACTTTTATAGAAGATTGGCTAAACGCGTAGCCTACGAGAGGAATAGCGAATGTGATTCATCCGTATATAGACGCTTGTGAACGTGATTCTCCATTAAGAATACGATTTTTGTAAGGACGCATTTTTGTTCATTTCGTTACTAATTCGTTATACAGGTTAGGGTCCAACGATACTTCGTTATCGTCAGTTTAGTTGTTCACAGAAACGAGATCCTTTGTGTATTCTTGATTTCATGAACCACACGTAATAAGATGCAGATGTAACAATATAATATATATGTCGATTGACATACAAGTAATTGGCCAGTAATATCCTGGCTCAAAAACATTCGCATACGAATCAAATAAACCTAGGACAGTTTGGTACACATCAAATGACAGTGAGTTAATTCGTCTTTAGTTCTTGTGCAAAGAATTGATCGTATGAAATGATAGATTTTACTTGTAATATTCTTTACAAAAAGGAAGAATGTCAAGCTGCAGTTGTAAAATATCTATATAAATATATATTTAGCTAGTATAGAGAGTCTGACATATAGAGTATGACTTTAGAAAGAGCTAAACTTTAAGAATATGACCTATGCACCACATGAGAAAGTGAAATTTGTAAAAATATTAGTCGATAAAACTATCATTTAAGGAAATATTTTAGTTAAATGGAAAGAAATATAAAAACATTGAAATTAAATGTATATAAAAAAAATAATATTGATAAGTTAGACCAAGTGTGATTAATAGTAAAAATAAAAATATTTGAAAGTTGTCAACAGAAAATAAAAAAGAATTATGCAAAAGCAATGTATAATATTTTACTTTCCATGCTGTATATAATAGTATAATTATTTATATCTTGATGTAGAGTACCATGGGTGGAGCTTATGTACGTACACCGCAATCTATCTTTCAACATATGATGAGTCAGCAAAATACACAGCAACAACAGGCTGGACAGTGGATGCAAATGCCCCAAGTACCACCAATTAGCATCCCATGGAGTATACCAGCCTTGCAGCAACCAGAAGTGATTAGGTTCACAGGAGAAACTAGTTATGGACCAATAGTCCATCAAAAGAGGAAGTTAGAAGTGCTAGATCGTATAGATATGTAAATACCAAATTGCACTTTACATGCAATTGTTAATTATTTAATATTGTAAAATCTTATAACATATTGTTTTTCAAGCAATCGTTGTACAAAACAGTTTATAACAGAAGAAAAAATGGCTGCACACTTCAAAGATCTACACATCAGTGGCAATGGTCGGTCTGAGAGCTCTACATCATCAACTTCGACAGTCGATAGATCTTTCTCACACAAGCAATCAGATATGGATTTGGATGTTGATACAACAAATAATACAATAAATACTGACCAAACAAATATACATCCAAGATTGGTTCTTTCAGAAGAGCTGAAGCGAATGCAACAAGAACCTATCCTTCCATCAACTCTTCTGTCTAAATTGTGAGCATAAATTTTTTCTAATATAATATCTCATATATTGCATGTATTAACAGATATATATTTCTTGTATAAGATAGCGAGATCAACACGATTTAATTTTTACATACTGGTGCATCTACAAAATATAATGGAATTTTATTCTTCTCTGTTCCTCCTCCCTCCACCCACAGCAATTAATCATATGCTGATATATGACACACTTTTGCAAAGAAGTTAAATCTGACTAGCTTTTCTCTTTCAGGGAAAGGCCCTCCATGGCTCTAGTCCTTTGGGAACCACCAAGTAAGCATCTTCGTATCTTGCCGACAAGAGATACTCCGACGCCTATCCCAAGTACATCAGATGACAATAATAATAATAATAATAATAATAACATTAATAATAATAACAATAACAACAGTGACGCCATTCCCGATTTAAATCGTATATCGTCCGACAGTGTCCAATCAACATTTGAGCCAATGGAATTATGAGGATCTCCAGTTGATTCAACAAACTTCATCTACGTATATTGAAAACAGAAAAATATAAATAATATATTCTCTCTAAGAAGATAATTCTCTTCAATAGTGAAGTAGGTCTTAGAATAAGGAATATAATAGTAATCGTTTGAGTCATATTGCGTTTGTGTGTAAATTAGGAATTCAGATTTTCAAGATCAAAAATGGCATTGTTTTGTTTCCATGTAATAATTCTGGATTACTACTTACTACAGTCGGATATTACTGGATGTTACTTCAATTATACATTTTTTCGCGCTTTTGTTCGCAAAGTATATTGTCTTTTTTTTCTTTTTTTTTTTTTTTTTAATGTAATATCTACACATTGTCTTATTTATATTACACGACTATTTGTTATTATGTACCTTGGCGATTTGTAACTGGTTGCCCTCTTTTAAGGGCATTGCATAAAATAAGTTATGTTAAGTGTATGAATATACTGCTAACAGTTCATTTTATTAGCACGTAAGATTGAGTGAATGTATGAGAATGAATGTTGAAAAACGAGATGACAGATGATTACATAACCATTGTATATGCTATATAATTGGAATGTGTATATTAATTTTGCATTAAATTATGATTATGACGCGACGAAATTGTTATTTTAAATTTTAATACCTTTGATCAATATTGTGCATCATAAATTCTTGACTTTTTCTTATCTTATTCGCTAAAGACGCAGCCAGCTTGATTTTTGACATTAGAAGTGAGAAGATATATGCTCAAAATTCCTGCAGCATACACTGGGATAGAAAGCAATGTCTATAAAGCGACATGATCGATTGAGGACATCGGTAAAATATTCCGAAAACTTTCCCTTCAATAATTAATAAATAACTAAAGTTAATATGACGTGATGTGGTCTACCTTTTGATCACGTAATTTTGTTATAAATTATAAACAAAGCAACCTTAAGCGTAACATTAGTGTATATATTTGAATTTATTATTATATTATTATAATTTAGTATTATATTTGAATTTCGGGATATTCTGGATACATATACATATACGTGTGTACGCGCGTATGTGTGTTCGTAATGTAAGCGCGTGTTACACTTTACAAGTTATTTAATTTACGTGTTACATTTTACAAGTTATCTAATTCAAGTCCTCGAACGTTCGTCTGTAAATTCGAGCGGCTTATCTTCTAGTAGGAGCTTCTTAAATGCTTTAGGATCTTGCATCGGTTCTCCGTTGATCGCAGCGACGACCTTGTCACTGTCCAGCATCGTGACATGATTGCCTTCGATGTAATGTATTTCTACTTTATCTCGCGTGATCTGAAAATCATTTATTAAACGATATTGAATCGCTCGAATGGAAAAAGATAAGAAAACAGGTCTGAACGATTTCGAAAGATGAATGAAATTGTATACACAGTTACCTTACGCAGGCCGTAATCTTCTTCAGACATTTGGATAGATTGTAGCGTAGGCTTCAAAAGTATTATGGGTGTTCGTAACGGTGGCATGGACGACACGTCATACTTTTGCAAAGCAAGGAGGCGTTTGTAAATGGTCGTGCACAATGCTTTCAGATTCTTCATGGAAACTGATATGTCGGTATTGGAGAAGTACGAGGTGAAATTCTCCAATTTCTGCTCCCAGCTCATGCATTTATTTAAATTTAAAAGCAACTGTAAAATGGAGAAAAATATAACATATACACACATACGGACATATACATACATACAAAAAGATATGTCATTTCATGACGAATAACGCGTCAATACAGAGTTTTGAAAAACGTTATTGAGAATATTTCAACAGAAAGTAGATAATTAAAAAAGAAAAAAGCCTTACCTTCCCACTCGTAGTTGGTTGTAAAATGTCCATGATGCTAAGTAGGACATTATTCTGAAATTCTTCTGCCGTGGAGAAAGGTATAAAATTCTCTATCATCGTTCTCATTAGATCCGGCGCGCCGTCGATCAACACTAAGCGACCGTTCAAGCCGTGACTCTCCAGTCGTCTTGCCAATTCAATAGCGACTAACGAGCCGTACGAATATCCCACCAGAACAAAGAACCTTTGCTGTTCCGCTTTTGGTAAAACATACTAGAAATTCGAATAACACAGCATACATCAATATAAACGAAAGTTTTTGGACGAAATGCATTCTCCGAAACCGTCTGAGGGGAAGATTCATTCTGAGTTTTGCTTGACATATAACAATTTTTTTACACAAGCGAATTTCCTGAATTATCAAATAAATATGCATATGTTTTTATTCGAGAACTGACGCGAGAAAAATTAGATAAATAGTTAGAAAATAGCGATGTTGTCATGTCTACTAAAGTTTATTCATCTGAAATTTCAGCTCATTCCTGCTTTATCCTTCAAAGAGGATAAATAAGGATAAATCTTGATACATATTTATAAAGGACTCTAATACCTATGAAATTCAAGACTAGAACGATAAAAAACGATCATGTAGCTCTCGGGATATTAAGTTGTTAAGCCTTACGCGGGCAACTTTATATACACATACCGGTAATAGATGATCGGCGTAATCCGGTATAGATGTATGACTGAGCCCGATATTATACGTTCCATATTGCAGGCACTTTGCCGTGGGTCTGATTTTCGATACCAACGGATTGAAAACGTGTCCGCAACCTTCAATTCCCGCCAGAAGGAATACGTCGACCTTGCGGCGATCTTTTTTGGTTGGTAGTTCCAAGCAGACATCACTGATTATGTCCTTGTCACCTATTACTTGGATCAGCAATTGCATGCCCGGTAACTCGGTCGTTTTCTCATTACTCTTTTCTTTTAATTTTTCCTCTTCCGTGCTCTTATCCATCTCCGTTAGTTTCGAGAAGGTCAGAGTACGAATGTCCTGCGTGGTGAAGAATATATTGAACTCACGCTCCAACGTTTGCTTGATTTCTACAGCCATCATCGAGTCCATCCCCAGCTCGACCAACGACATGTGTTGAGCGACGGTATTCGGATCATTCAGACCTGTACGTGTGCGCGCATAGGAGAAATAAAGAATATAAAATAATATTATTAAATTATTAATATTATATTATTAAATTAAATAATATAACTATAATTAAAAATAATTCATAAAATAATTATTATAATTTACTAATATTATGATTATATTGTAATATAATGATAATATTTAATTACATGATAATAATATATAAATGTCTATGAGAACAATAATAATCTTACCCATTATATTCAGAACAGTTTCTACGACATTGGCGGCACCGTAGACACCCCTACGCTTTTCGGCTACTACCATGCTTGCCACCACAGGCCGACCCTGCAATAGGAACAGCTCCAATTTCTCCAGGCACAAAGATATATTTTGCTGAAGAGTGCCAGAAATGATGAGTTCTTTATTGCTCTCCTGGCGTTCGGCGAAGAGACCAACGTCGCCAACTGCGCCCCACTGAATGGCCAATCCCGGTAGGCCATCCGCTACCCGTTTCTCGCAGATCCTTTCCATCACAGAATTGGCCATACCGTAATTCGTCTGTCCGACGTTTCCTCTGCCGCAGGAGACTGAAGAGAAGACTACGAAATGCTGCAGTCGCGGACATAGCTTCCTGGACAATTCGTCCAACGTTTTCGTAGACCAGGCCTTCGGCTTGAAAGATTCCTCGAACGACTCTACCGTCTGATTCTCGTAAAGAGCATCCTTCAGCACCACGGCGAGATTGAAGATGGCGTCCACCGGACCTTGCTTCGCCGCGGACTTCAGGATGAACTCGCAGTCTTTACGATTCGCAGCGTCGGCACCTGTGATAATTAGCACGTTCACGCCGTACGACTTCCACAGGTCGATCCTCATGCGTTGGTAACCGGTCCTCACTCCCGTCCTTGATGTTAATATCAGATTTTTAGCGCCTCGAAGAACCAGCCAGTCGGCCAATTCCAAACCGAAGCCGCCCAGTCCGCCCAAAATAATATAGCTCTTTTCACTGTCGCAATAATATTGTGGTTCGGCGAGAACAGGCACTTTACCAGCTTTTTCTTCATCGCAAACTTTCAAGATTATCTACAAGAAGAACGAGAAGAACATTCATGAATAACGATTGGCTGCAATTAATTTACCTTGACTTTTGACCTGACCAATTAAACTTTTACACACACACACACACACACACACACACACACACACACATGAAACATATATAATATTATACACAAAACTATGTATAATTCTTTTCGCCCGGGCTACTAGACATAGATATAAAAACTTTAATTATGGATTATTAATTATAGATTATATCTAATCATAGATTATATATCTTAATATTTGATTGAAAAAAAAAGTATCGAAAAATGACAAATGACATGTCGGCTTTCGGACGTTTAACTCTATTCCATTTATATTATAACTTTGATTTTCATACCTTGCCTATGTGCTTTCCGGTTGACATATATCTGAAAGCTGTCTCCACTTCTTTCTGTTCAAAGACTTTCCTGAATAATGGCTTAACAGCCCCGTTCTCGAGACCTTCGGTCAACAGGTTGTTCAGCCGTATCTTTTCTTCCACGCTAGCTTCGAACATATTCTCCAGCCTGATGCCGTGGAAACTGACTTCCTTCAGGAAAACCATCATTCCCAGAGCATTGTTCGCGATAAGATCGAATTTGCCGATCTCCAGGAAGCGGCCGTTCTGCGCTAGGCAGCGCACCGACGCCTGGAGCTTCTCGTCAGACAACGAATTCAGGACGATGTCCACGCCAGTACCCTTCGTACGTTGCAGCACCATTTGCTCAAAACTGCTATCGCGCGAATTGCCAATATGATCGTCGGGAATCATCGGGAATGTCTTGCGAATAAACTCTCGCTTCTCGGGCGTTCCCACGGTAGTGAAGATTTCGCAACCTTCGTGGAGAGCAAGATTGATCGCCGCCTGACCGACGCCACCTGTCCCAGAGTGTATGAGCACCTTGTCCCCTTTGTTCATATTGCCGCAGAGATACAGTGCGTAGTAACATGTGGCGTAGACGCAGGGTATGGTAGCTGCGTCTTCCAGCGACCAGTTGTCAGGTACGCTCCAGCATAAACTTCTATCAGGTTCTATCGAGACGATGTTCGACATTGTTCTAAAAATATAAATACATTGGTCATACCAGCTGCTTTCCTTAAGAGACCTCCAAAAGTGATATTTCTCAGGAGAGGGGAGTCAACAAAAATTAAATGATAAATTAATTAATATCAGAAATCAATCGAACAGCAACGATTATAATTTTTTTTAATCTTTACTTAATTATTTAAATATACGATAATTTCAATTCACATTATTTCATTATTAAAGGATATAACGATACAGTTACCTGCTATCACGAATTCCCATTACGCGACGACCAACGGCATCGACGCCGGCATAATCCACACCAATCAAACATTCTTCAAATCGATTATGCCCCATAGACGAGTCCAAGCTGAGTTTTCCCATGGCCAACATAACGTCTCTGAAGTTGATAGATGAATACGCGACATAGATCAAATCCTTCGGAGTAACGTTGGGGCGTATGGGGCCTTCGATCCAACGTAATGTGCTCAAATCGCCTCGTATCTATTTTTCGTACATCCATGTATTCATCCGTGATGTAATATTATAATAACTGATAAAAGCAACACACATACACACATATATACACGCACGCACGCACGCGCGCACACACACACATATTGATCAATATAATAAAGAAATTGAACTTTCCTAGAAGTGTGGCAATTATAATCTTTTTAATCTTCACATAATTATATACGACAATTTTTCAACTCATTAATTAATCACATAATTAAAAAAATAATATAAAAATATCAATATATTTTCTGCGTGTCATTACAATACATACCTTTTGATGAACAAATGCGTGATGAACGAGTTTTGGTTTCAAATTTGACGATATCGGCAGATGTCTGTAAGATCCCCAGATTTTACCGGGTTTCAACACATTGATAGGCAATTCAAGCTGCAGCTGTTCCGCATATAGAGGATTCTGCAGAGAGAACTCGGGTGCCTGTTTATCCTGGATCAACACGCCTCGGATCATTTTCCCGCCGCGTTCTTTCCTCAAGCAATTCAAAAAGCCCAATAAACCACTCTCGAGATCATCTTCGCCGACAAGTATCACCCTCATGTCATCAGTGGTCTCGTTCTCCACATTTATAATCGAATTTAGCTTGCCGAGCCAGCTGAAGTCATTGTTATTAACACGGACGATCTCAGTCTTTCTGATCAGCCGTTCCTTCTTTTTCAGCAGTATAATACTCTCCTTGTCGGTAGTCTTCTGTAAAACCACGTCGAGGTTGAGTTTCAATGACGCTGCGAGATTGTCAGGTTTGAGTGATTTCTCACGCGTTAGCACGAAACCACCGTTCTTGAGCGTTGACAAAATCTGTTGCAGTTGATCGTTCTTACTTCGCGTTAGAAGCCCAATACCGACAATAAGCAGAGCGTTCTCTTCCTTGGCCAGTTGTTTCGCATCAATAGCGTTTACGTTCAATGGTAGCGTGCCCAATCGATCAGACGGCATTGACAGAAGTACGTCCATTTGGATCAAAGGTAAATCACCAAGAACCGTGGCTAATATAGGCGATACCAGCTTTCCGGTCGTCACATTATCAGATTGGTCGATGAGTTCGATAGTCTTCACGTGGATGCTTTGATGATACTCAAGTGCAATGTGCGTTGATAGTCTGACAGCCTCTTGTAGAGAGATTCGCGCCCCGTCCTGGTGAGCCACAAACTTATATTCCTCGATGACAGGATCGCTAATCGCTGGTCGGCGAGATATAGCTGTAGCTTTAGTACCGTGAATTTCGACGCCGCCCGATGTTATAATGTTCAGATCTTTGTATACATGCACGGGGAATTCTGTTGTGAAGAAAAGCGATAGAACTGCATTAGAATCACATTTAATGTGTGTACGTGTGTATAGAGAAAAATAAATTATGTATAATTTATATAAAATCATGTACATAATTTTATATAATTATATATATTTCTTTTCAAGCAGATACATTTTTCGAAATTATAATGAAAAGATGTATGGACTCACGTCTATCCTCTGAATCCATCTTTCGAATCTCCTGTTGGTGAAATTTAGTATCGATCAAGAGCTTCTGTATTTTCGTGGGCACATACAAATTTCTCGTATCTAATCCCAGAATCATCATCTGCAGCATATTGTCCATAAACGTCGCCCAATTACCAATCCAACCAATATGTCCTTTCTTGCCGGAAATGGATACGCTTTTTAAGGCACGGAAGGCACCCGTATAATGATAGCCGCGTAATCGTAGCTCCTTGTAGATATCCTTAGTGATCATCACTTCCTCCTCATCGTCATCTGGTAGGAATTTGGCTAATACTTTTTCCTGCGCGGGATTCGATACGACCCGTATCAGTCCGTTCACAATAGCAGTACTGCTTTCCGACACTTCGAATTTTCCACTACCTGCGAGAGTAATAATCAGTATTGTGACCTAAATGTGTGTGTGTGTGTGTGTGTATTATATTTATATTACATTCAGTTATATTTTTTATTTATATAATGTAAATAATACATTGCTAAATATATTGTATTTAAATATAATATATATACACGAGCAATTTTCTTATTCATCAATCAAATAATATGTGGTATGCGTATCTATTCATTTTAAATTGTATATCTAAATGTAAATTGCGCGCAAATTGCGATTTTCAAGGAAGGATATAATTGATTTGTGAAAACGATAATTATGTACAAAATTGGCTGCGAGTAAACGTTATTAAGCAGAACCTGTTATGCACAGACGAAAAGCAACAGGAATTACCTTTCTGAATCATCACCGTTAGTTCGACCTTGTCGTCCGGCGGAATAGGAGTTACACGAAGAAAATTGACGTCTTCAAAGACGACCGGTATCTCCGTATACATCTTCCCATGTAGCATACCCATGGTCTCCCAAACTAAAATAAGATAACTCATAGCAGGCATTAAGACCTTCCCATCGATTATATGACCGACCACGTAATCGTTATCTTCATCCTTCAGTGAAAATTCAATGATTCTTTCTCCGGAAGTGATTTTCTTTTGTGACTTGTACGTCGTTACGTACCAATCGTCTGAATGTTGCCACCTGCAATAACGTTGCATCGTTTGATTTCTTAAGTAAAATGAAAGTTTCCAAAGTACAAAATGTAACTGTTATAAAGGCTGTAGGATTAACTATCAAGAGAACTAAATGTAACAAAATTTTGTATGAAATGAAACAAATGAACAAAGAATTACATTTTTTTGCATATATATAAAGCATATTTTTCTCACGTATACATTATTTATTTATAAAGAGCGCTCGATTCTTATAGGCTCTTTACTCTCATTTAGTTTTCTTGACTTCTACGGCTTATATATACATGATGCAAATGTACCTAACGGAAGAAGAGATCGTCGGAGTGCCGCGACTAACTGGGAACTCCACAGGTGGATAGAGACTCGCAATATTCGGCTGTAGTCCAATGTTGTAAAGCTTCCCGATTGCTTGCAGGAACACTTCGGAGTTGTCCTTGTGGCCACGCTGCGCAAGTGCAATGTTCGTGACATTCGAGCCGAGGGATCGCCTCAAAATAGCCTGCAGAAGACCATGAGGCGCAATCTCAATACACACAGCATCCTTCGGAATCATACGCGCCGTTTCCTCGAATAGCACTGGGCTCAGAAGATTGTTGGTATGATATTCGGCGGACGACAGTTTGGCAGATGCGGTGGACCATTTGCTGCGAGGTACAGATGTGCTCACCCACTTGCGGCTACGTGGTTTCGGTTGCGGGATCACTTCGTTCATGTAAGCGAGTAGTTTCGGCCCGGCGGGCGCTATGTAACGACTATGATATGGTATATTGCTGCATAGCACTTCCTTCGCGAAGATCTTTTTAGCCTATGACCGAATATATATAGACATATAGATTCAATCAAAACCGTATAGATTCAGTAAAGCAATCAGAAGCAATATTTATAATTACAATAGATAAGACAAACCTGCAATTGGGCAACGAATTCCTTCATGGATTCAGCAGGTCCACTGATGGTGCTGCTGTCTGAGGCATTGTGGCAAGCCACTTCGATGTCCGGTGGACACATATGTTTGATATCTTCATAGCCCATACCGACTGCCGCCATCGAGCCGTAAATTACTTTCGTTTCGATGGATGCTAAACCTCTTGAGTATGCCGATAGGATCATCTGCTCCGCAGTTAAACAACCATCTGCGTAAGCGCAACCGAGTTCACCGACTGAATGACCGATTATATTGTCCGGTACAATGCCCACCGATGTGAGAAGATCGACCAAGCCAATCTGCAAAATTCACATCGCATCGGAATATGACAAGTCTTAATCTGCCCGTACATAATCATACACGTCTCATCAGATATCTTTCACGAGGCATCTGTTTGCCTTATTGTTCAATGTTTCACGTTGCTCACCTGCATTGCGGCGATACCCACAAATGAATTCAAGATATTGTTAAAAGTAGATTTGTCTTTATTGGTCAAAATATCATAAATATCTATACCGCGCGGCTGCAATACGTCGTCACACTTCTGCACGGCCTTGGCAATGACAGGGAATTTCAACAATTCTATACCTGTTTTAAGTATAATACACGAATTAACAAAAAGTTTTGGATAGTTGTTTTTGCATCATGAAGAGAAAGAGAGAGAGAGAGAGAGAACATGAAACAAGGGAAGAAAAATAGAGAGAAAAAGAGAAATAGTAACCCTTTTTTTATAGGTTTAGGAAAATTTATTATATTTACCCATGCCGGGCCATTGCGATCCCATTCCAGAGAACACGAACCAGATCGGTCTAGCTGTGCCTAAATAATTTTCGAATTCTCTTGGGGGCTTGTCCGTCGTTTTCGAGCCAACTATCGTGTATCCTCGATATAGATGTCCTTGGATATCCTCAGAATGAATATCATGCAGCAGACGAATGTATTCACAGTCTAGAGGGTTGCTCTCGATCTATAAAGGAAAATTAATTTTCTCGTAGACGAAACTGTAATGAATGGTAAGTGTTTTAGTCAACACTTTGCGCTTTGCTGATTCTGTCTGTTCCTAAGGAAAACATGTAAGAGCGTGTCCGTTCAAGAGGATATTGTAATTCATAATTCCGTCAAAGTGTCCCTTTATGCAAATTCTTTCAATTTTATATTGTGTTTTACTTTAGTCCTGAATTGTGTGCAGATACTCACCACCCTATGATATTATTACTTACATCATCCAAGAATACTTTAACAGCTTCCTCGGTACGTCCAGACACCACTACGAGTCTCGATAAATCATCCGCAGGGAGTCCGTTATTAATCTTCTCCTTCGTATTAGATTTTAATAAGATGTGACAATTGGCACCGCCAAATCCAAAGGAATTAATGCCCACATAACCACCCTCCCAAGGTGTTGGCTCAGAGATGACTTTGAGCCTGCCTTCCTCAAGAGCTTTCACACCTTCTCGTGGCCGCTTGTAATGCAGGTTTGGAGGGATTATGCCAGTTTCCATTGCTATTATCACCTACGGAGATTCATTACACCATGAATCCATCGTGTCATGATACAAAGTTACTATGAAACCAAGTAAGTACTTCGAACGTCCTTTTTCAATCACATGTTTGAATATTCACAGGTATAACAATCATATATTTCACGTATCAGCAGCATTTAATTTTACCTGGTAATTAATGTTTACCAGCAACATTACCTGGTAAACATTAAGTAACAATAATATATATTATATCAATGTTTTAAAATTAATATTTCATGAGCTACTGAAATAATACGGCACTTAGCGATACAACCATTGTCCTACCATTTAACAATGATGATAAATTTAATAAAACAAAGTTACCTTGGCAATTTGACAAACACCACTAGCGGGCTCACTGTGGCCTAAATTCGATTTGACAGAACCGATCAAAAGAGGGCTGCTTCGACCTTTGGTGCAGATCTTGTCGATAGCGTTGACCTCCTCGGGATCGCCGACTTTGGTGCCAGTGCCGTGGCATTCTAGATATGACAGGATATTCGGCGGTACACCGCAATCCTCATAGCACTCTCGCAACAATTCGCTCTGCATTAGGCTCGATGGAAATGTGATACCCTGCTCCTTGAAACCGTCGCAATTCGTCTTGCCGTAGACAACCGTGGCGTAAACGCGTTTCGCTTCCTTCGCCTTCTGCAGATACAAAACGACGATTGCTTCGCTGCGAGCATAGCCGTCCGCATCGATATCGAAGACCTTGCTGCGGCCGTCAGGTGACAAAACTCCTATAATAATCATTATCAGACGTCAGTAATAAACCAAATTGGGAAAGTAGAAGGTAAAGTGTTACCGTTATTCATTACCTAATGCAAAAAATAACTTATTATTCAAGAAGCAATTAATCGCTGCAATTAATTATTCCCTTTTTCTTATCAAGTTTTGAAGATTTCTAGCTTTAGGTTTTACCTCTGCCCATTCCATTCCATATATATTTTTTTTTTATATTAGCAAAGAAACCATAAAAGTATTTTATCGATTACGATTATTAATGAAAAACTGTCATTGCAGAATCGTTACTGAGAAAAAGTAATTTGTAACGGTAATTGCATGTCACACTTATACCACTCTACGTTGTGATAAAAGTTCGGCTTTCAGCCGAATTTATAGTTGGTTTTTTATACAGCAAAAAATATCGGGAGAAATTATCGGAAGTGACAATCAACTTCTTTTTAAGAACGGAAACGTGAAAACTTTCAAGTGAACTTGATGATTCCAATGATCATGCAATTTCTCGAACAATGGAAATATGAAACTTTTCATTTTTACATTTTCGCTCTTAGAAAGAAATTACATGATCACTGTACAAAAGCTCTATACCAAGCTTAGAGTTAAAGGATTAAGAATAGAATGTGAGAGTTCTTTATCGGTGCCTTGCGTGTCATATTTAATCGCATATAAAATTATTATCGTGTTCATCGTGTTTAATAAGGAAGTGTAACTATAGTACCAAGACGAGAGAATTGCAATGATACATAAGGGTGAAGACATAGATTTGCTCCACCCACGATGGCGGCGTCGCATTGTCCATCCTGAATACACCGATATGCATGTTCCACAGCGTACAAACTCGAGCTGCAGGCAGAATCCAAAGTATAAGATGGTCCAGTCACTCCTAACCAGTAGGAAATCCTATTCGCCATCATGGCTCTGCTGCACCCGGTAATTCCAAAACCGTTTACCTGATTTCGTCAGAATTAAAATATAACATAACGACCTACTGTGCGGTTCGATATATAATGATTATCGCGTAATAATAATTATTTAATATCAAGCAATGTTATACGAATGATAATAGAGGACAATAAGAGTTGATTGCAGATTTATAATTTGCTTATATTTACTACATACATACACATAGAGTAATCTATTTTAATCTATCCAGCCGAAATTTTGAAAATTGAGACTGGCAACCAAAAATGTTTGAAGGTATCGCTTGAAGGTGACATGAAGGTCACCTTCAAATTTTTTAATGGAATCCCCCATTTTTTATTGCATATTCTTGTAGCTTACGCCGAGAGTTTTCCAAAACATTATAATAATGTATTTTTTCATTAACAATTTCTTGAGATATTTTATATTTTGTCATGACATTTTTAATGTGAATCTTTTTGCCTCTTACGATTCGGGAGAAAGCTCTCGACGTAAGCTACAAAAATATGCAATAAAAAATAGGAAGTTCTATTTAAGAAATTGAAGGTAACCACGTCACTTTCAACTGTGACTATTTAATGTCAAATCATTGCCACCGTTTCATGTGCCCCTTAAAATCACTTTTGCACTTTTTGTCTGAAATATTTTTGTCTGCTGTCTCAGTTTACAAAATATCCGACTTGGTTAAAATGAGCCATTCTGTATATACATACATACATATGTGTATGTGTGTGTGTGTGTGTGTGTGTGTGTGTGTGTGTGTGTGTGTGTGTGTGTGTGTGTGTGTGTGTGCATGATATATAGAATGCAACAGAGGTAATAAATTTTGTAATATATTTCTCTGAGTTTAAACAAAAAACCTTACAATCATTTGCTCAATATTATGTAATAATTATCGCTCGTTCGCGAATGGAATACCTGTAATTTTTCGTAGAACCAAGTCTTCTCAGACTCTGAGAAGCACGCGCCCATAAAGACTCCCGTTCGCGTTCCGCGCACCTGTTTCGGATTTACCCCCGCATCAATGAGCGCCTCGTAAGCGTGCTCTAGCAACATACGGCACATTGGGTCCATCGTGTGAGCCTGTTTGAAATGTACGCCGAAAAATAACGCGTCAAATTTTCCAACGTCATGGACCTTCCCCGTTCGCTGTGGAATATCTGGATGATCTGTTAATATAAAATAAAGTATATATGATATAAAACATATAAATCATATTTATTATTTTTTATTATGCAGTGTAATATCGACGTAAAATATATGTGAAATCTAATAGTAATGGCAATAATAGTAGCAATAGTTGTAGTAATAGCAGTAAAAATAATAATATACTTATCTGTACTTTTAAGTCGGCTAAAATTTAAATCAATTAATTACCCAATTTCCATCGACGATCATCATCTGTGATCAGGTCTGTCTTATTAAGTAGATTTTTCTTGAGTGTTTCTACATTCCTCGATTCTGGAAATCTACCAGCAATACCGGAAATGACGATTTCATCACCGGGTTTTGGCGGCTTGTAACTTTTCTTGGTTGATATATTCGATGCAGACATTGTCTTCGGATCAATTTTCTGATTTCTTTAATTTTCCAAACGGCACTATTATTTCAGCTCGTTATCTTAATATCTAGCCGATCAATGAATAATTTTTATTGTTTATAATTAAATTCTTTATTAATTTCACCTAGTTGTACTATAGAGATTTGAGCGTTCGATTTGACGAAAATTTAACGGGACACACAATAGATTGGCAAAGCGGACGAATCACGATTGAAGAAGCAGACGTCAGGGAATAACCTTTTATAACGACGCATCCCTACTCCGTGAGTGAATAGTGAATTTCATTATTGCTACTTTGAACTTCCTCTAAGCTTATTAGCATATCAAAATTTATCAGACTATCTTATTTTTAATATTACATACATCATATCCACATTTACTGGAAATTTGGCTTTACAAACAACCATAGTGAAATTGTACATTCGACATCTTTGCGGCCTAATTATATACGTATCGTATATACAATCGTAGAATGGAAAGTCCACAAAGACTTTCAAGACTTGAAAAAAAAAAGCTTCGAACCTGTTTCATTTCTTCTCGTTAGATAAAACTATTTGTAGATCAACTAAAATAGATTGCAATAATAAAATTGCCTTCACACTATAACTACCAACAACTAACAATCTATTTTTACCGAAATAGTCAAAATGATTTTTAAAAATATATTTAATATCTTTTTTTTATTTTCATTCAACGTCAATTAAAACTATTAAACGTATACTTGTAAATTTAAATAATTTTTACAAAAAATTTTACAAACTAGTCATTTTGACATCTTAGTATTAGAAAACGTTCAGCGTTGAAAGGTATATTTTACATATACTTACACAAATTTATGAAATGAAGATTAATGTCATTGTCAATATGGGAAATTCGATCGTAATAAATTGCAAATAAAAGTTTCTTTTAGCAGTTTTTTTCCTGTGCAGTTTGAGGCTGACAACGAATGTGCGACCACAGAAGTCAAGGGTTGCCGGATATCGCATCACTCTACATAATATAAATACTATGTTAATGTTAAATGTGAGTGCAATGCATAATGTATGACTTAGTTTAACATATATGGCTCGGCATATCTCGATTGTTATGTGTTTCATTGCGTTTAGATTATAATATTACGCAAACATAAATTGCAGATTACATACACATGTGTGTGTCTGTATACATATATGTATATACACAACACATATACATATCAATTTATTAAATATTTGTATACAAAATATTTATTTAAGTGCTGAGTTATATGTTAAAATTAAAGAAAGAAGTAATGCAGGATTGAATTATATTTAATAATATATATATATATATATTGTTAAAATACACAAAAATATACCTTTCTTAGTTTACGTAGTTTTTAAGCTAAAATGCAAAAATAGAATAGTTCTATTGTTACATAAGAGAAATATATTATTATTATTATTATTATTATTATTAATATTAGGTGGTCGGTCTCTTTTTCCCTCTTTTGTCATGAATATTAATTTACATAATATAATCACTTAAGTACACTTATTGTTATTTGTAAATAAACTCTTATAACCGAATTTATCGAGATATTCTTATGTAATTGTACTCCAAGAAAATAAAGCTAAACTACATAAGAAATAATATTTAATACTATCTGTAAATATTTCCAAAATTTTGTTTTCTAGTATTAATTAAGGCTTTTCATTAATTACAATTTTTGTCTCGACGTATGACGTTAAAAACGAGAAACCATTTGAATTCTTTGAGTTATAGTCATGATAAATAGAAATTTGTGTCATTGTATCATTGTGCCATTAATTGACGATATAAATCAATAAAAGATAACAAAAGTTTTTCGTTTTGTATTACTTTACGAATAACTCATGCATAATTTCTCGCTTTTTGCATCACAGTCTGATATAACTGCATTGTCCAAAATATGATAATGAAATCATATTTCATGTATAGTGAAAGTGTATATTAATATTTTTGCATATCAGCGAAGTGCACTTTCTTTCCCTGTCCATCTAAAGCCTCCATCAAGCTCGAAGTAAAACTAAATTCTGAACTACTCTCGTTTTCTTGAGCTCTGTAAATTAATTATTGTTGGCGTTACATAAATAATAGTCTTAAATGGTTAAATATTTATAGTAAATAATTTGCTATATATCAGAATGTTTCGTGTTTCGTTTACACTAATAATTTTTATCTTAATAAAGAAAGCGACATACAGTGTATCCAGACTTGTTAAACTGCCACTCAATGCTGACATATTAGAACCATTAATCTTCAGTACATCAAGATAAGTATTTATAACCGCCACGTAAATTCCTCTTGAGCTAGATGTGCCTAGATAACGTAAACTAGATAATTCAATTAGCATACGTTCGGGATTTCTTTCCGGCGTACTATATGCCTCAGAATCGAGTTTCACTATCTCAACGGATGAAAAATGAATAATAAATAAGTATGGTTTGCAGAATGCTAAAACATAAAATATAACATATTAATGGCGGAAGTTATACGACCGACTCTGCGGTCAAACGACTAGAGTGACTAAAGCATTTGCATCATTCTAAGCGAGCACTGCGACAGGTTCGCATGACAACTACATGTAGAAAATTTTTCTACGAGACATTGAAACGTAGTTATAACTGCATAAAAATTTATTAACTACAAAAAAAAAATAAACTTTTAACAGCTTTACTTATTAATCTGCGATTATATTTCGCCGTGTTTTAGAATAGCTACAATCTGTAAAATATCTATCATTTAGTGCATTCCGACCGCAAAAGGTTAATTGACATATAATTTATACAACATAATTATATATTATTACGTAATATAATTGTATACTTGAAATAATATTTACCGAAAGTAAATGGAAAGTGGCTCCATACTGGATCAACGGCGCGAGTTCTTCTACCAGTTTCATCCACAAATACGCCAAATCCATTATAACATAATAGAAGTTCAGCTGTGCCATGTATATTGGAAATATTCAAGACGCAAACAGGAAAAATACCATGTTTAGCTGCGTCCGACATTCCCGCCTTGACCGAGCTATCATCTTTGTCTGGGAATTCTGTATTATTCGTATTGGTTATTAATCAATTATATTCAAAATTACATTCCTCTATTAAACAATCGCGTTGCATAACGTTATATAATGTTAATAGTGATAACACATATAAGTTCTACAATACACAACTTTACAAGTGGTTTCACTTTTTATTATCAAATTCTTATGTTCTATAGCCACCAGTATCATGCGTGCGTGCGTGCGCGCGCGTATGCACGTGTAAAACTTTTACATAACTTACAATAGTGGTATTTGCAAGCAGTATAAAAGGCAAATTCATATACAGTTTAAAGAAAATATAACATTATATTTTTAAATATATTTCATTTACTTACCATCTACATTAAAAGTTTGCAAATCAATCTGAAAGAACTTGTGACATCCTACGATAAGGAGATTTGAAGTAAATATCGCGCAATTACAAGGGCCCTGAGTCTCCAGTTCACGAAATTCGACAAACTCTCCAAAATTTTCTTCAGTTCTCCACATAAGTAATCTGTATTAACAATAACATATATGTTTAATATTGCTGTAAGATAAAACATTTAAAGATTATAAAAAATGAAGACGTTAGCTTGAACAATAAAAACGTTTTAAGCCAGTATAATCCTTGACACTTATATAATCTTTGTGCCTTTGTATGCAAAACATATCGACACTTCGTTAACAGGAAGTCTACGTATGTATTAATAAATTTCAAGGACAACACGTGTAAAATGCTGAAGTAAAATGTTCTAGAAGCAAACTACAGCTGCACATATTACAAAGTATACATTGTCAGTTAAAAAATTAAGATATCTTTGAATTGACCCTCATTCGAGTTTAACTAGACATAATTTACTTTCATCATATACGATTGATACCTTCGAGATATCCAATAGTCTTCGGGGAAGATGAAAATTTTTCATATTTCGTTTTAGAGATATTTAGAGATATTTTAGAGAAATTTTAGAGATATCAGTCCGCAACATCTTTAATTATTTACTTTACGCAATATATAAGATTGTCTATTATTATATCACAGATATTTATAAATAAAGAAAAAATTATATACATTATACGAGACTCAGTTGCAGCACATAATAGGTCCCTTTGCATTTGATAAAGATGACAACTGTCAGAAGTAGATAGCACACTTCTCGTACTGATCGCTGGCCTAGAACAGTCAGCAGCTAACGCGTTACTTTTCAGCAACCTCAAGTTGCAGTACACCAATTCTCTATATTCACCAGCTATCATTAAAGCTAGATCCAATTGGGAATACAGAGATAGCTGGTGTATCAGCTTGACGCCTCGTATCGTGGTGAGTGTTTGAGATTTAGAAGGGCAATACGAAAACAAGCCTTCTTTTGCGCCCAATAAGATTACATTTTCTGTATCCAGATCTACTACGCAGTTTAAATCCAACTAAATACAAACAGACAAAGAGAGAATTTCAATCCACATTAATAAGATAAATCTAAACATAAACAAGATCTAACGCAGAAAAAACGAAACGAACTCTCTCTTTCTTTCCTTCTCCCCCCCCCCTATATATATACATAAAAAGGATTAAAGGCAAGAGAAATAAAATACATTGAACCATCTCGTTTCATCTTTTTTACGTTGAACCTGATAAAACGGGCGAAACGTTCATTGTGGTTCAGTCAACATCATGTATGCCATAACATTCCCTTAGACTGAAAATTTACGATTTTCAGTCTCACATATAAACGTATAAAGTGAAAATCGTACAAGTAATTCTAATTATGACGGTACTGTTATAATGGCTTTAATTATAATAGTTTCGACCTCGTGCATATATATATATATATATATGTGTGTATATATATATATATATATATGAGAGACTAAATCGTTCGATTCTTGATCTAAGGAATGGTACGGCATAAGCGACATCGACTGCTCGTCTCAACGTATCACGCTCACCTGATGTTTTTCCAATCTAAGTACAGTTTCATATTTTTTATACCTAGGTACTGTACTGTACAAACATTGACTGGTGATGGTCTTTAAAGCTTTCAACCATTCTTTCTTGTCGGTTTGACTCAGGGCCATCACGTCCAATCTGAACGAAGGCCAGCAAGTGGTTGTAGAGTTTGATTGTATCCTGAAGATAAACGGTACGTCGGATTTGGCCGTTCCCAATACGTCAGGTTGCTCTACCGTCTCTGAAACGTTGAACCCACTGTTCTCCATTAGATCTAAACGATTGATCGGTGTCATTCCCGGGCACGGTTGGTGCTCGTAGACGCATAAGCATGATCCTTCCAACTTCAGATATTTTCTTTCCCAGCAAGATTGTGTCCTACCAGGAACTTTCACCCATCCTTCCATAACAGCATTCTTATTGTTATCCTTATATTGAGTACTCTGTAGCTCCTACACGTACAGAACGTCCGAGGGATATCGAACAGTGTGGACGAAATTTAGGGATTAAAAATCATAAAATCAAGAGGCCGTTTAAGCCAAAATACAAATAATATATAAAAACTAATAGAGACAAAATGAATGAAAACAAAGATAAAGTAAAATGTTGTAATATATGTAATAAAATAATTTAGTCGTGAGATAAATAACTAATAAGATAAATAATAAAATAAAAATAAGAAAATAAATCAACAACCAGAATCGTGCGGTGTACGCATGCAGAAACAGGCACGAGTAATACTTACCAGGTCCGGTTTATCTGGCTGATCGATCGCCAATGTCTGGACACTGTCTCCTATCGATGCTAGACTCTCATCGCTGGTCTGATGATCCTTGTAGCAGTATTTCGGGAAACCACTCGGTAGGCCGCAACTGGCTGGTACGGATAGCGTGCATTTCAAATGCGTCATGATCTGACACTCGCTGCAGATCGTGGCGCGTCTTCCAAATGGTATAGTCTCCGAACACGCAGCGCACTTGCCAGCACGCATTGGCAATCCGACGTCGAATCGGTGCGGGATGTTGTGTCCTATCCTCTGTGGGGATAATTCTCGAATCAAAGAGCTACCGGTCTTCGTAGTAGTAGTAGTAATATTAGTAGTAGTAGTAGTAGTAGCAGCAGCAGCAGCAGCAGCAGCAGCAGCAGCAGTCTTCGCTGCCCTCTTGCTGTCCGATGACGTGGGAGACGTAGGCGCCGACGTGGTCATAGACTTCAAGACCAGCAGCTGATCCGTCAGTGTTTTCACCTTCACTCGTTCCTTGGCGAGTTGATTCTCCAGTTCACGATATCCCACTAGCATACCTGTGCCCACCGGAGGCACGTTTTCCTTCTGCTTGGTGCCGAGTATCTTATCGCACACGGTCTTCTTTTTCTTGTTGGACTCCTCCAGTTGCAGTTGCAAGTAATTGATCAGCTTATTCTGCTGTTGTATGGTGCTCTCAGCCTTCACTTCTCTCTCCTGATATAACTGCCGCATCTCCAAGCAGGCATCCTCCAACTCTGCTATCCGCAACCTCAGCTCTTGCCCTTGATCTACGCTGCTCTGCAGATCGGACATGAGTCCGAAATTCACTTCTTTCAACTCGTACAACGACGTCAAGTGCTCGCTGGCTTCCTCCTTCACGATTCTCGACTCTGCCTTGGCGGCCTCTAAAGCGCGACGGATCTTCGACAGGTCGCACTCCATCTCGCCGCACTTCACGGTCAGCTCCTTCACTTGTACGTTGAGTTCCTGCACAAGTTGCTTGTATTGATCTCTCTGAGCTATGAGGCTGTCCCTTTCGCTCTCTATATCACTCGTTTCCGACTCCAACTGCTCGATATTACGCTCGGCCACTAATCGCCGCGTTTTCTCTTCATTCTGTGCGACACGTGCCTCGCGCACTTTGGTTTCGGCGGCCTCCAAGTCTTTCTGTAGTTTCATTTTATCCTGAATCAACGTGTTCTCGCGCGTCTCGTGATCGGTCGTCAATCGCTCGTAGTCTATCAATTGTTCCTCTAGCACCGTACAAGTGTCCTTCAGAAGCTCGATATTTATTTCGTAACCCTTAATGTCTTGCTCGAATTTCGTTATTTTAGACTCAAGCCAGGTCTTCTCTTCGTTATGTCTAGCAGCGTTCTGCGTCAAACGTTTGTTCTCGCTGCTCAGATTGTCTAAACGGTCTTGATTCAATCGCATTTGCTTGCGAATAGCATCTAATTCTCTACGTAACGACGCGCTTGTAGACTGAAGTTCTTCGATCTGACGATTGCCTTGAGTCAAAGCCTGAAAAATACGAAATGAACAGTCAATTAATGTGTGATAAGATCTGTTATAGTAAATAAAATAGTAAATAAATCCAGCGTGTGTACCCTTTGGGCTGAATCGGCTTGCATCTTATTCCTAGATGCTTCTCTTGTGACATCAGTTAACGACGCTTTTGCAATGTCTAATTCTTTCAACAGTTTTTTGGAATTCTCTTCTTCCTCTTTCGCTTTACTTGTTAATCTTTCTTGTAACTTTTGTTTTTCTTCCTGTAACGATTTGATCTTTTCTTCAGCCCTCTTAGCTTCCCTCGTAGCTATACGTTTGTCCAGATTTGCATCCGATAATTCCTTCTCCTTTTTCCATAGAGCCAATTGAGCTTGTTTTGCCGTTTGTTTCTCAGCTGCCACATCTTCCCTCAAAACATCAAGTTGCTGTTGCAGTTTCTCCGTTTCTTCCGGTCGATAAGCGAGTTTTGTACTTGTAGCTTCAGTAATTACTGCACGAGTTATAGATTCTATCTTATCCGATCGTCTAAGACTAGCATTTTCCGCTTCCAACTTTGTGACGCTATGCTCTAAACGTTTTAACAATTCCTCTAAATTGCCAACCTTGCGCATTTGTTCTTCTACAATTAGAAAAAAGCTGGTAAGTCAACCAATATAAGAAATACTGAATAAGCTTCTTCACATAATTCACCTTCTTTTTCCAGAGAGTCCTGTAACCTTTTCTGCAATGCAATCTTATCTTGTGCTGCTTTTTCAAGTTTTAAGGCGTGTGCCTCACTTTCCTCCAAATTCATCATGGTTTCATCCAAATCAGTTTTAGTGACCTTTAAAAGTTACAATTATTTCAATTAGATAAAATTTTGTCAAATAAAAACTTTATTAGATTTTTGTTACATTGATCTTTCATATAAAGTACTGGAATACACTCACTTGCAACTGTTGCTTCAACTGCTCGTTTTCAAGATTCATTCTTTCCACTTGTTCATTTAATGTTGTAAGTATCTGCTCAGATACTTTCAGATCATCTATTTGTCTTGTTCTATCTTGTAACTGTTTACGTAAAGCTTCAATTTCGGCATCTCTCGCTGGTAATGTGGCCTGTATAATACGTAATTGTTCTTGACAATCTTTCAATTCATTTTGAGCCAGCTCTAGAGCAACATTTAATCTCGATTCACGACAGTGATTAGAGTCCTGTTCATTTCGTAGCCTGGTCTCAAGATCTGTATTTTTTGCTGTTTCAAAGTCTAATTTTGCACGTAGATCAGCCAATTGATTATGACTGCGTACAGCTATTTCCTCTAGTTTAATTTCAACACCTTGAACACTCTGCCTGCTTAATTCGCGTGTTTTTGCCAAAGATTCCTTGTATTGTGTCTGAAATAAATAAAAAAATATTGTTATCTATATTCGATCATCTAAATCTATTTCAAATTTGTATCTCTTTTTCTATGTCACCAATATTTAATCAATAATTATGTTATACTCTTCTACAAGTATAATTTTTCCTTATGTTGCAGCAAAACAGCATTGTATAACTTACTTGGAATACACGTAATTTGTCCAATTCTGCATTAGCTGTCTGTAGTTCACATTCTGTCCTTTGTAGACGTGAACTCATATCATTATTGCTTGTGCACAATTCTGTAATTCTTGTAGTTTGTGCATCAATATGCTTATTTAATTGTGCTATTTTTTCCTTTTCTGCATTTTCCCACTTGCGTTTAGCTTCTCTTATCAGTCCAAGTGCACGAGTTTCTAAATCCTTCCTTTCTTGACGTTCTAATTCTATTCAAAGGGAAAGAATTGTAGATCATGTGAACGTTTCTACCAATATGCGCGAAGACATATACAAAATAATTTATCACTTATATAAGTTTATCTAGCTATGCTGTAATTCTATCGTTGAATTAGCTGGTTTACTCAGAAATTAATAAGTGGTCAACTTACCTAATGTTCTTTTAACTCCTGCCAATTCTGATCTTGTGGTTATGAGTTCTTTCTCGAGTATGTCTCTTTCTTTGTTGGATGCTTCCAACCTTCGTGATTTTTCTTCCAATTGCATTTCTATTTGAGATATCTGTCTGGCCTTGTCAATTATCTTCTCTTGGACTTCCCTCCTTTTGGCTAATTTCGCCTCAAACTCCATTTTCTCTTTGAAAAGTTTGTCAGACCCATTGACAAATGCACTCAAAGTTTACATTAGAATTGTCTTTTCTAGCTCCATTAGTGCCGCATTTGAGCTTTGTTTCTTTTTCTTTCAATGCTTGATTATATATTTGTTCTGTCCTAAAGATGAAACATGCAAACTACTTCAACTAAAAACAACATACCTATTTGTTCGCGCGAACTCTCAACTCATAACGGTCATAAATAGTACTGTGCGTCTTATTTGAATTTGTTTCGTTGCTCATGACACCAGAGTGTGCAAATGTAGCGAATATGTTGCCCTCTAGTGACTTATTATGGTAACGATACATTTATATGATATTCTTGTATTGTCGGTTTTAATTTGTATCGCCATGTTAAGCCAGCGGCACACGGTGCTTGTTTTCGTGCTGGATGAAAATACTGCGTTCTGATTGGTGCATTTCCATCCATCTTCGAAAATATACCAATCAGAACGCAGTATTTTCATCCAGCAAGCAATCCAGCACGAAAACAAGCACCGTGTGCTACTGGCTTAATATGGTATAAATGTTCGTATTATCTTCAGCGTAGCTAAAATAATTGTTATCGTTATTCAATTATCACCGAGCCCTTCGGGGCCCCTTTGCAAATACAAAAATTTACCCAGGGCTGATAGTCTTTAGCTGGTGTATTACCTCATCAGTGACGACGTTCATGTCAATATTATAATAATTCAAACATTATTGTAATACAGATATGAACGGGAGTTGACAAAACATGGCGGATCAATCAAGAACTGGCGCTTTTATGTCCAGTGCTTATTAGGTCCCTAATAGAATGTATGTAGTCCCGCCATCTATATAGTGTTTCCCCACACATTACAAGAAAATCACCGCCATAGTTGCTCATGTTTTTCTCTGACACTACACTCTTAAGAATTTTCTTTTAATTGCAAGGTGATATATCATAAGAACCGGGCCAAAATAAGGAGAAAGCAAGGTGATATAACTTATCACTGCTTCCTTATGACAAATTAAAGTAAGCAGATTGATATTACAATTAGAAGTAGGTATAAATATGTATGTTAACATCGATGTTATGTCATATTTTTCTCCCTTAAAACTAATGATTCAAGACTTGATTTTCTTTTAATTTTTTGTAAGACCACATGTAACTCATCAGTGTTAGTTAACACAGAAATATACTATACATAAAATTTATATAAAATTAACATCTTGATAATTATTAATATGTTGCGACAATTATCAAATAAAATTTAAGAGAACTATACATAAATGTAAAGTTAAATAATACTTGGTATTTCATATTTAAATATCATATTCTTAGCATGAATACTTTATGATTATTGAATATTAGTATTTATTATTTATACAGATTTGTATTGTTAAAATATATAAGAAATACTTATGAATTGCAGAAAAATATGACACAGATAATATATATTAATAGTTGGTACTTTTTCTATGTTGGCACATCTCTTATTATGTTTATTATATTTATAATAATCATTTTATTTTAGCAATGGCTATATCAAATGTAATCTTGCCATACTTTAGCAACAATTGGAGATATAGTAGTGCACCAGAAGGTCAAAAACCATTTGAAAAAGTAATTGGGCTCAGCAAGTATGGATTAGTTACTGGTTTTGGTGTCGGGGTATACGATTGTATTCTTTTTTCCCAAACTTCTACATTCTGGAATTCAGTGAATGTTTTATCCTACTGGATGTTGCCTTTTACTGCCATGTGTGCCACTTTTGCATCAGTGGCTTATACAACAACAAAGTTAAGAGGCAAAGATGGCTATGCAAACTATGTTATAGCCTGTATGTAATACATAACAGAAAAAAATACTAACCTAACGCTAATTATGAAACAAAGAAATTATTTTTTGTTATAGCTTTGGCTACAACTGGAGTATTTAATCATTGGCAAAAAAATATGAAACTCTCAGTTTCTTATGGCTTAGTTTTGATGGGATGTGCCACAGTTAAGAAGTTTGGTGATTTAAACGATTGGAGCCCATTACCTATGGATATAATCGAAAATACACCAACCCAACCTGTTGTTGCTCCTATCGATTGGACACTCTATAAGGATCCTAGAGGACGTAGACCATGGGAATAAAGATCTTTATGAGGTGATATATATGAGAAACTGTTAGCATTATATTAATATCTAATGACAAATTAAGTGCTGGTATAATGCAAAATATCGTAAAATGTAACAATAATGTTATGAAAGGATGCAAAATGTATCTAATTTTATTATGTATATTTATTCAGGTTCTAGTACAGAAAGAGAAATAAAAAAAGATTATAAATAAACAACAGTTATTTCATATGTTATTAAGGAAATTTCGTCAATATCTTATCCTTTGTGAGATGTGAAGCAAATCTTAAATAATCAAGTACAAGTCAAATTCCTGTTTTTAACTCATTGACAATCATGTTGATAAATTATTAATAGTAACACCTATTTTTATTATTAAAATTCTATTACAGAGACATAAAACTTTATTACAAAAGAAAGCCATGGTTGTATCATGTTAATGAAGGAATTATGTCAATGTTTCGCCCTTTGTGACCTGTCAAATAAATAACATTATATAACTTAACTGTCAACCCTTGCTTTTGATTTATTGATGGATATAATCGTAATGATAAAAATCAAGTTAATAGTAAGTTAATAGAATGTTAACAATATATATTTCTCTGGTGCATTTAAATGTATGAAATAATAAATTATATTACACACATGGAAAATATTTTACAAAATGCACACACAATTTCTATTCTTGTATTTAATTGTATTTAATATAAGAAATACTTACGCATGCCTCAAGATACTCGATTCTACGTTCGAGAGTAGTCAGTTTTTCATTAAGAACTGCTATCCTTGATCTGCAAGACATGTCTGTGAAAAAATATTTTAGTTGTATAATATCAAATTGAAACAGTCGTCACATTAACAAGTATTCAATATATTTTGACAAATTACCGAAAGAGTTAAGGAAATCTGTAATCTTTTTAATACTGCCAGTGATGACTTCTATGTATTCGCGATTAGCCCAGTCCTGTTGAATTTGCTTTTGTATCGCTTCTCGATGTATAGCTGCCATTCTCGCAGGCAGCTAACACGCAAATGTTATATTCGTGTGTTGTTTTGATAAAAAGTTAAGACTATTGGACACTATATGAAATATTTTCACTGTATAATCGCATTGTTTGCGATGGTGATTAGGTTAAAGGTCTACAAGAAGCATACAGAGACCTCTCATAGAGACACTCGAAATAAGCAAAAACATTTATCGCTGTCACCGCGAGATCGCGTCGTCGTCGTCGTTATAATATTAGAAAAATGGATAGATTTTTTATTATTTGTTATCTTAATAATTAATTAGCTGATCAGTTACGATATTTAAGTTAGTTTAAAATCTACCAACTTTATAATTAAAATTAAAGTTTCCGAAACTGATTTCGGAACAGACCTGTCGTTTGTTACATGAAAACTTACTTTTATATTACACAAAATAATTGTGTATATTCTTTTAGATCTAAAAATATACTCTAATCGGATTTGAGACTGCACTAACTACGGTAGTTACTAATTCGGATTGCCGTGTAAACGTAGTTTATGTAATAATTTACAGCTGTACAAGCTCAACTCTACTGTCTCACTTGAATCATTTTTGTTTTTAAAACAAGAGACAATGATTTGTATAATGTTCATATATTTTCAACTTACACGACTGTTTAAATTGAGTTTTTCACATTTTTATGTGAGCAAAATTTTTTAAATACTTGTTTAAGTTGCTAAGGTGTTAAAATTTTTCCGAAAATTTAATTTCACCGCGTCAATCGTACGACGTCTGAAGACCGTATCACACTAGCGACTCGCGACTGCGGCTGCGGCTGCGATTGCAATTGCGATTCTTCCTCAACCAATCAGAAAGCCGTCTAGACGACAGTCGTGAGTCGCAGCCGCGAGTCGCTGCTTTCTGATTGGTCGAGGAAGAATCGCAATCGTATCGCAGCCGCAGCCGCAGTCGCGAGTCGCCAGTGTGATACGGTCTTATCGTTGTGAGTAGGCAGAAATTGAGCATCGAATCAGCGACCGTGTCGGATCAGGCATCGCAATCCTGCATGTATGTACATACACATATGCTATTATCAGTAGTTACACTGAGTTACACTCATCTTATCTAATCCTACAACAGTAATTCGGTAAATTTAATTTGTCGGATGATTTTGGCACACTTGTCCCTCAATATCCGTTTAAGAAAAGCGTTGACTCATTAATTGATAACCATTCTGTAAAACGTAGAGACTCGCCATTTTCACTTTATATATATATATATATATATATATATATATATATCGAGTGTTCTATAAATATAAATCGTATGTTGTATAAAACTTTAATGACGAATGCATACATTGATCTATCATGCAGCAACGTGCCAATTCGAACAGGTAGACATTTTGGCATTTTGCCGGTTGTATGCTTCGTTTGTGTCGCTATACATAATAGAATGGAAAATTTTAGAATTCAATTCTAAAAGAATTCAATTATAAAAGCTTGAAAGCTTGATCGCGTTTTTATTATACAGTTTGAAAATAATATCTTGGTAAATTTAGTGTATCGATAAATTTAATTTTTGGAAATATAAACATATTCGACTTTAAAATAGTTTGTATCTTATTAAAATTATACTTATATGGGAAAGTAATTTTATGAAAGTTTATAATTATTTTTTTAAAAAGTGCAATCAAGTGCTTATAGGCTAGTGGTCTACTTTATTAGGAGAAAAGTTTTGAATCCAGATTGATCTTATTTAGTTTTTAATATGTTTAAATAAACTTTCTTGTTACAACATTGTATATGAATGAGATATAATTTGGAATTAAAAGAATATTTATATTCTGCTTTTCTTTTTTTATAACTAGTTTCATGGAAGAAAGCATTATTAATTCTCAATTATTACATACACACAATGATAGCCTTACTATAAATAAGTACGTTGCCCTTTAACTATTTTATTTAGTGCAACATTACGTATACACAGGATTGTATACGATTTATGACACGAAAACTCTCTATGCCACCCGTGTTATGATTCCGAGAAGATGCAGTCTATTATCGACATTTCGCTACATATCCAGTTTGCTATCTAAGAAGCAGTGTGGTGTCGTACACAGTCCTGTGGATCGTTCTCTGATTGAAAGGGTTCTATTCCCAGTCGGACGATACACTAATAGGTAATCACCTCTGATGTATTTTTTAAATTCATTGGACTAAAATTTCACTTTAAAAGTAGAATGATAGCCAACTCACTTAAATTCGATTGATTTTTCATTCATAATGAATTTTTTATTTTGTATCATCAAATAAATATTTTCAGTTGAAATTGTAGAGCGAATTGGATATATTTCATTATCTCAGAGGAATAGATCCACTTTAATCTATAGAAACGTTCACTCATACGGAACCAAAATCCAAACTAAGATGAAACATTCATCATGAAACATTTTTACAATTTTACATAGTATTTTCATTATTGTTTCGAGTAAAATTTTATTATAAGAAATTTAAAGAATACCTTTACTTTTTTTTCTTTCGCTTTGCTTCTTTTTCCGAAAAACATCTATTTAAAATTCATTGAAGGACAGTTCAGTTCATCATTAATGAATGCATTTAAAATAGGTCGGATTACGAATCATCGGCATATCTCTTATCAACTGTCAGAATGGCGTCAACGTCTAAAGGCAAGGACAAAAACACCAGCCATTTTGGCGCAAAAAAACTGAATCGTTTAAGCTTGGAGAAGTCGCCGTATCTGCTGCAACATGCAACTAATCCCGTGGAATGGTATCCTTGGGGTGACGAGGCTCTGGAACAAGCGAAGAAGGAGGATAAGATGATTTTCTTATCTGTCGGTTACTCTACGTGCCATTGGTGCCATGTGATGGAAAAAGAATCTTTTGAAAACGAAGAAATTGCACACATTATGAATGATAACTTTATTAATATTAAAGTAGACAGAGAGGAGAGGCCTGATATTGACAGGATATACATGACATTTGTTCAAGTAAGTGTTGTTAAGCATATACTACCATGTATAAAAATCATGTTTTTATTATATTTAACGATTAAACAATTCAATTGTGTATATCATTATGTTAATAAGTATACCTGCAGAGAGACATATGGAGTGTAAATTAATTTACATCCACTACCTACATGAAACTATTTCTTATGGAAATTTGAATTGAAAAAACATTATCTATTCTTTTTTTTTTCTTTTGATGAGAATTAATAAAGTAGCAATTGCCGACTAAAATTAATATGCATATATTTGTCAGGCAAAATCGGGTCATGGTGGTTGGCCGATGAGTGTTTTCCTAGCGCCTAATTTAACACCGGTGACAGGCGGAACATACTTCCCACCGGATGACAGATATGGCCTCATAGGGTTTAAATCACTCCTGCTAGAAGTTGCGAAGAAGGTATATGTGCAAAACATAAACATACGTACTCGTTCATTTAACACACTTCGCATCCACATTTAACCCATTATGTATAATCATGTGAATCTTACTTTCGTCAGGCCCGTCAATGATATTTTCTTTTATGGTAGTGGGCACAGCAGAAGAACGACATAATAAAATCAGGCGCTAATATAGTAAGTCGCCTAAAGGATATGGTCGAGCGTAGACAGAGCCTAAAAGTAAGTAAAATGTTAAAAAAATCTGAATAATTTGAGAACATTAAGACATCGTGCTTTCATCGATTTTTCTATTGCAGGAGGGCGATGGATTTCCGACGGTAGAATGCGGCTTTTTGTGCGTTCATCTTTTGGCGAATGGATACGAGCCGAAATTTGGAGGATTTGGCAGTCAGTTCAGAATGAACGCACCAAAATTTCCCGAGCCAGTTAACTTCAACTTTCTTTTCAGCGTATATGCTTTGAGCAATTTGTCCGAGCTGCGTAAGGAGTGTCTAGAAATGTGTCTACATACCCTAACAAAGATGGCTTATGGTGGAATTCACGATCATGTAGGACAAGTAAGGCTTGTTTTCAGTATCCTTATTATTACATGTGAATTGAATCGTCTTGCTTGATCGGTTATTCGATTCTTTAAGGGATTCTCGAGGTATTCCGTAGATGGTGAGTGGCATGTACCACACTTTGAAAAAATGCTCTATGATCAAGCGCAAATAATACAAGCTTACGCTGACGCTTATGTTATCACAAAAGATTCGTTTTATTCCGATATCGTGGACGATATAGCAAAGTACGTCGAGCGTGATCTACGACATAAGGTACTGTTTATACTCCTTTTTTGCTTATTTTTACAATTTTATGTCAAATATATTACAAATATAGAATGACCTATTATTCTCCAAGTTATAACAAACAACTCTCTCTCTCTCTCTCTCTCTTTCTCTCTCTCTCTCTCTCTCTCTCTTTCTCTCTCATTTTGATCCTTAGATCGCGCATATGTCAAAAATATAATAGTGATAAGAACATAATGTAAGTAAATTTAATATGAAATATTGAAATCACTGATGTTATTTAGGAAGGTGGTTTCTACAGTGCGGAGGATGCAGACTCACTGCCGGAGTCAAAGTCTTCGGCGAAACGGGAAGGCGCGTTCTATGTTTGGACTTACGATGAAGTCAAGAGTCTTTTAAATAAAAAAGTACCTGGCCGTAATAACGTTCGATTTTTTGATCTGATATGCTATCACTTCAATGTGAAAAAAGAGGGAAATGTGCGAAAGGCTCAAGTACGTATCGTGATTGTAGGGAACCAGAAGCATGGTAAAACTAAATTTCCATGATATTTTATGTTGTAGGATCCTCACGGCGAACTCACAGGTAAAAACGTGCTTATTGCATATGAGGCAGTGGAGAAAACTGCGGAGCATTTCAACATTAGTCTGGAGGATACGAAAACCTATATCAAGCAGGCTTGCTTGATTTTGTTTAAAGAAAGATCGAAAAGACCGCGACCCCATTTAGACGATAAGATGGTTACAGCGTGGAATGGTAATGCGGTCATCTACGACCTCTATAACCTATTACAATAATATCTTTGACCTATTATAATAATATCCATGTGTCGTCACCGCTTTCACTCTTCGCACTTTCGTGACGCACGTTCTCGAAAAATTTGACGTAACTCTTCTCTCATCTATTTGCAGGTCTTATGATAAGTGGCTTCGCGCGCGCTGGAGCAGCTGTACGGAACTCAAAGTATGTAGAATTAGCGACGGATGCTGCCAAATTCGTGGAGCAGTACTTGTTTGATAAAAATAAAGGCACGCTGCTTCGTAGTTGCTATCGCGAGGAGGACGATAGGATTATACAGACGTAAGAGTGCACTTATTTTTGAGTCTTATTTTTGTACGATATACACGATATACACGACACACACACACACACACACACAGCTCGATAGTATATCGATGATTTCCAATAACGATGATTTCCACAGGAGTGTACCGATATACGGTTTCCACGACGACTATGCGTTTGTTGTGAAGGGACTACTCGACTTATATCAGGCCAACTTTGATGTACACTGGCTCGAGCTCGCCGAACAGTTGCAAGATACACAGGATGAACTGTTTTGGGATTCGCAGGACGGCGGTTACTTCTCAACAGTCGAGGACTCTCAGATGATTCTACGAATGAAAGACGGTACGTCTCGACGGCTGCTATTATAGTATTTTTAGTATTTTTAGTTCTATTAAATCTCGAGTATTTTAATGCGCATAGTCACGTTAAATGTGTGCGCGCCACGAGTAAACGAAAGCGAGCGAGTCGAAATATTCTACCATAAAGATCATGTGGAATGCTCAAATGTTCATGACGTATTCAGATGTGGAAATATGTTCAGATGTTGTTCTTAATTTTAGATTACAGATTTCGAAAAATTACTTCAATATGGCAACTATGACAATGATAGGAATAAATGAATAAAGGTGGTAATAAATGCCAAAAATTAAGACAAATTTCTAAAAATATAAAAACTTTCTATTACTTGGTTGCAGCTCATGATGGCGCAGAACCGTCTAGTAATTCGATCGCTTGCTCCAATCTGTTGCGGCTAGCGGCTTTCTTAGACCGTAACGAACTCAAGGAAAAGGCTGCGCAGCTCTTACGCGCTTTCGGCAAAGGACTCACGGAGATACCGATTATGTTTCCGCAAATGACCCTGGCACTGCTCGATTATCACTACACGACGCAGGTCTGCATTGCTTCTACTTTTTATTCACGGCTAATAGTGCGCTAATAGTACATGCACGTGCGCACGGATTGAAGAGTGGCCGCATTTTTGCGAAGTTTGTGCGGCACTTTTTTTCGGTACTTTCTTGAAAAGGATTTTTTTCAGATTTATATAATAGGGAAATCAGACGCTGAGGACACGAACGAGATGTTGAACGTGGTCCGAGAACGTTTAATACCCGGCATGGTGCTCTCACTGGTCGATCATGAGCGGTCACAGGACAATGTCCTGTTTCGTAAGAACACGATCATCAGTAAGATGAAACCACAGAACGGTCGCGCGACGGTTTTCGTGTGCCGACATCACACGTGCTCCCCACCCACCACGAGTCCTAGAGAGCTTGCCTCTCTATTGGACGACAAGGGATTTTCCGCCTTGTGAACAGCGCGGCGAGGTGGCTTGGATTTCGCATTGCGCACATTCACCGTGTATCAGGGACGGCAATATACATAGCCCAGGGGAGTCGTGCCGCGATTATTCACCGATATATCTTGGCTCGCGTCTCAGGATCTACTACTGTTAAATAATGCAATGTTAGTCGATGAACTGGCATAGGGAGAGTTCGTTCCTGCGGTAGTATCGTCTTCGTGACTAGAGGTAACTCAAACAAATCGTTAGCGCGTCGCGGTCGAATAGAGAGATCTATCCCTTCAGTGTTGTGTCGACGTTGACAGTGTTGGGATCGCAGAGAAGATTCGTTGTTATGTATTATAGTATTGTTTCGTATTGTGCTGTAATACAATTGTATTGTATTGTAATATCGTTTATTCTTGTTCTGAATAAAGTAAGCAACTAATAAAATAAATATGCATTACACACGCTCTTCTTCTATCGTTGTTTATCTATTTTGTTTTTTTCTATCTCTATTGTTTCTCTATATTATTAACAACCTCGTCAAGTAGCGCATTTCGTGAGATATGCCAAATATTGAGGATCGTGATAGTCACTTGAAACGGTTGCGAACGTGCAAAACACGCGTAGTTGGTTTCTATTTTCGGCCGTACGCCGCGTACGGGGAGGAAGTCAATTAAGGCCGACGATAGCGACGGCTGGCATTTGTAATCTCCGACAGATTTGATCGTTTCCGGACACCGTAGACTTTAATCGCGTGTCCAGTATCCGACATTATCGGTGTTTCATTATCGGTGTTAGTTCGTCGTTTTTCCCGTCGGAAATCGTATAATGTAACTGCGACACACACACACACACACACACACACATACACACACATACAAATATAACTCTCTTGTAGCAGCTTTTCCTACTTTCTTGTTCGATTTCCGAACAAAAATAGACGAGACGTGCAGAGAGTTAGCCAGCGTGATGATGCTTCAGCCTTTGCTCGTCGTAGCACTGAACGACAGGTATCGGGAGCTTTCGTTAGGAGATCGTAGCGTGGAAGATCAAAGATCGCTACCTGTTTTTCGTTACGCGGATGTTGATACGATACCGGATGCGATGTGTATAATCCGTTACGTTACGAATGGCATGTAGTCTGCACTGCTACGAGTTGTTGCATATTTTATTTGAAATGTTTTTAGAAAAGGGATGTGTATGCGTGCATGTCATCCTTCCGTTTCACAATGTTATTTATATTTTAAGAACTAAAATCTACAATTAGAAAATTTATTATATTTTTTTAGCAAACTAAACTCTACCAACAGTTTATTCTTGCATTATTGGAAAACATAATAAAATTTAAAAGATTCGATATGGAAAAGAGTTATAACATTCTTTCTGTATATTCATACTGTGCTCACAAGATAACGACACACGCACACATACAGAGTGCGTACTAGATAGGTACGAACACACACACACACACACACACTAAGATTTGCTTATAATTGTTCTTATATTTAAAAAGTCGTCTTTTAAATACATCTTCAAAAACTTCTTAATCGGTAAGATGATTTGTACAGATGTTGTATGGAAAAAAATCAGTATAGTTAGAAACACAAAACTTATTTGGCAGAGCGCAGATAATAACAAATATTAAATTCAGGATGGGACCGATCAGATGTGTTTTTTTAAATATTTTATTTATATAATAACGTCGTTTTATTAATCTCGTACATAAAAAAAAACGCTTCAGTATCTAAGAAAGCACCTAACGGATTACAACGTTAAAGTCAGAATTATGAAACGGTCGCAATTCCTTATCGTCCGCTGTCGATACAACTTCAACTATTCAGTGTGTAGTGTATCAGAGTGTCTTATCGGATGACAGTCCTTCAAATACACTGTTTTCAAGTGATCATTGCGCGTTCCCTCTGTCACTTCCGTTACGCGGGACCGCGGCTCCAATGGTGACGGAAACGAAATTCTTTCCGAGTAAACCTGCGGTCGTCGCGTTATTGGCAACGATACATTTTCCATCCGGTTCCACTTCGTACCCGTTGGCAGATATATCGTTGCCGAATAACGCGTTTATTCGCGACATTGTCAATGAATTAGCCGCGGCGCGTCGCGACGGCTCGCGATGCGCCGCGGAGTTTCGCGCGAGATAACACCCCAACGGTAGAATGATGACGGGCGAGAAAAAAGTACAAGAGGGTGTCACTTAGACAGCGCTGAAAGTGAAAGCGAGGATCTCAAGGACTAGCCTCGGTCCTCTCTCAGTTACCTCTCTATCCTCGTGTCTTGTCGTCTTACCCGCCTCGAGTACCAGAATCGTGAAGGAGTTCTGTGCGACCGAGGGAGAAGAGGAGAAAAATGAGGAATGAGGGGATGAACAAGAGGAAGTGGCGGAAGAGGAGATGACATATGAGAGAGCAGCAAGACCGGATTTTCTCGAGGGAGGATGTTGGAGGTCGCGGCGATGAGGCAACGGACGAACACATTACTGGAGGTCGCGCATGCGTTTGCAACCCGTAGACGAGGATGTTCGACGTTTTCTTCAGTCACCGGTCGACGCTGCGCCGGGCACCGTCGTACATGGTTGCGCGTGTTTGTCCGCGCTGCTAGTACCCGCGCTACTAGTAGCTCGCGTGACTGACATCGCGGTCGATACAACTGCACCTGGTGAAAGTGCCAAGGCCCGAGGTGCGAGCGGGGAGAATCACATTCGGCAGGTGGTGGCGGCAGCAGCCGTCGTCGGTTCGGCGGTCTCGGCTACGCGAGCTTACATGCCTTCTTTCCGTTCCTGGACCACCGGAAAATTCTCCCCTGTCTTCTCCTTGTAAAGCGGACAACTCCACGAACGCATACTCCCTATCCTGTAATATTCTCTTCCTCCGGGGACAACCCGGGATACGGGACAAGGTTATCGCGTTGCTGCTGCGTCCTCAGGTGAGGAAAGCGCAGATAAGAGGAACAACACACACCGAGCAAGCGCGTCGGGGGAGGCGCACGGACGGGACGACACATATCGTAATCTCTCGACTTCATCTTCAGCTGTGGTGTAAGATGCAATCGGCGGACGTACGTTCGTTTATACGATCGCGATCAGGAACGTGTGACGAGCATCGAGTTTGTTAAAATCTGTGGACGGCTTCCGGGAAAAGCGAATCTCTCTCTCTCTCTCTCTCTCTCTCTCTCTCTCTCTCTCTCTCTCTCTCTCTATCCCTCTCGATGACGCTGCCGAGATCGTGTTCCTCTCGTTCGCCGTACTTTATTACCGCGGGTAGTGGTTGAGAGTGATCGCGAACGTGAGCGTGAGTGGCAACGAGCATCGTTCGTGCAGATGCTCCGGCGATGAGAATCACTTCCCGCGCGCTACTATCGTCACCGAGCCGTCGTCTCATACAGCCCTGGGTGCAATCGAGAAGACCGCGACGTCGTTGAATAGACCCCGAGATCTCTGGCAGGAAAAGGGAAAGAAAGGAGCAGCCGCGAGGAAGAGGGCTCGTTGAGAGATTCGAGAATGTCGTTACACTATTCTCAAAGATACCGGTACCGCTCAGCGGCGAAAGCAGGCGGTGTCGGAGCAGGGGAGCAGGGTTCCGATAGCGACGTGGCGGAACTCAGCGACTTCGAGGACGACGAGGACGAGGATGGGGCTGGTGAAGCTGTCAATAGGCAAGTGGTCATGGAGGAGGACGAGGACGGTGAAGACGATGATGAGGACGATGGGAATGATGACGACGAGGATGACGAGGATGACGAAGAAGAGGAAGAAGAGGAAGAGGAAGGCGAAGGACTGCCTTATCCAGGCTTCGTTCCGATCGCGCTGAGATATCTCGACCAAACTACACGACCGCGCAACTGGTGTCTCGCGCTGATCACTAATCCATATCCTTTTGCTACTACTCGAACGAAGGTGCGGTATACGCCGCTCGGAGGACTTTGACCTGCATGCTCGCAATCTGGTATTGTTCCAACCAACACAAAGATCTGAAATATTTTGAGGAAATGCCCGAAGAGACTCGAACGAATCAGCTGATCTCTAGAACAAATTTTCATAATATATAATCGTCTTGGAGATATTGGGGTAACTTTTTATCAGATGTCAGAGAAATGTTCACGAAATGTTAGGACGTTTTCATCAAGGTGTGCTCTCAAGATCAGCTTATATTCGTCAGATATAATCGTCTCGGAGCATAGCGGAAATATCTCGATGATTAAGAAATTTTTCATTATCGACTTTCTACGAATGCTTTTGCTTTTGCGGATGGGTATCGATTGCATTTTTGTATATGCATTTCACGAGCGAATTCACTTTTTTATTTTCATAATATGGTAATCCGACGCGAACGTTTCTCACGGCCCGATCTTCATTAGAAATTTATATCTTCTTTGACTATACACACATGCAAGGGCGCGCGAACAAGGTTGCGCGTACATCAGCATTCGCTGTAGCATCGCTAGCATCGCTATCGGAGTTTGTTGATTTTTCTAAGTTACTAAGTGCCAATGTGCAGTGGGTTATCAGATAAGGTGAAATAAATGGCGCGATAATAAGGTGTGTTTACTTAGTCACATAAATTCATACGCACAATGTCGGAAGCACTGAGGCTTTGCTTATAAAACATATATCGGGTGTACACATTCATTTGATGCCTCTTTTTTAATAAAATTGAACGTTAATTTACAAAAAAAATAAAATGCATTTTAATAAATATTCGTGATTGATTTCGATGACTTTCCACCATCTTTCGGGCACAACTGACAAATTCCCTCTCGGAAGAAAGATGGTGGCTTTGAGTCAATAAATTCGTCAATGCTTTCGTCTCACTAAATGTACATACAATAACATTTATTGTCATGAACACTAGGTTTCAAGATCGATATCGATGATTTCAGAATTGATGACGGGTTCAACCTACGATTTTCCACGCTTAGAGCTGTCGTACAAAACCATTTTCCGTCACTGCTTATTATTTACATTACCATAAACTATACGAGAGCTTGACTCTTACGTCTTTTACGTTCTATTGCCCCGTTCCTACGGGACAGCTTTAACTAAAATTCACTCAATACCCTATGCCCTGTATTTCGGCCTTATTTGTTAAACGCAACATCTTCGTCTCATTGTGTTTATTGAACAGTTCACACTCCTGATCTAGTGTGGTAAACACAGTCCCGAGTGCAGAAGGAAACTGGTCTGAAGACGCCTTAAATAGGTCATTGATTGACCTACTTCTAGGCAAATCCTACCGCGCGCATAGTCGCTTGCCATAGTGGCACACTTCTCTCCCCCTCCTACCTAACCACTCTCTCTCTCTCTCTCTCTCTCTCTCTCTCTCTCTCTCTCTCTCTCTCTCTCCCCCTCTCTTCTTCTTACTCTCTTCTCTCTCATCTCATCATCCCCCTCTCTCTTTCTCTTCTGCTCTTTTCCTCCTCTCGCTCTCTATTTCTTCCTCTATCTCTCCCTTTCCCTCTCTCTCTCTCTCTCTCTCTCTCTCTCTCTCTCTCTCTCTCTCTCTCTATCTATCCCCTCCCTTCCACTCTTTTCCTGTCTGCAAATCCTTCCTCTCTCTCTCTATCCTTCTCTCCTCCCTCTCTCATTCTCCCTCACCCCTTCTCACTTTTCATTCCCTTCCACTCTCCCTCTTCTTTTCACCCTCGCTCTTTTCTTCTTCACTCTCTCTCTCTCTCTCTCTCTCTCTCTCTCTCTCTTTCTCTCTCACTCTTTTTTCCCTCCTTCTCCCTCTGTTTTTTCTCTTTGGTGTCTGCGATGGAAGTTTCTTTTTCCATTTGTTCCTTCCTCGTTCCTTATCATCTCCTTCCCGTCTTCAGTCTAGGAGCATTTATATATATCTACTTGTGCAATCGTAGAGAACATGTAAAACGTAATACCGTACATGGTGTGCGGTCGGACAAAGTTAAGTTAGTCCCCGGTCGGAACAACAAGCGTCGCTGGGTGAGCGTGTGAGCGATTGAACGAACGAATGAACGGCGAGCGCACAGAAAGATCTCCATTGTGAGCTCTGACAATAGGTGGGTTGTAGCCGAGCGCCACAAGAGCAGAAAGAGGGGGAGAAAGAGAGAGGGGTGAAGGAGGGAGAGAAAGATTCGATTTTTATATGCAAGATGTGTTCAAGAAATATGGTAGTTTTTGATAAATCAACGTGCGGGCGACACACAGACCAACCATATATATTTACGCGCCGCCTCTAATTGAATGGTGGAGAAATTACGGTATTGCTGTAATAGCTTTGTTTATATTACTTTGTGCAAGTATAATCGAGTAGTTCTTTAATTGTTATACATTATATTATAACACTTTTTTAAATTTGCCTATTAAACGGTATTATTTGAATATTTTATATTGTAGTATTTCGAGAAATATATAAATAAAAACTAAAAATATTTGCACACTTACACACTTTTCTTTCTGGTATAAATTGCCAACTTCCGATTTCATTTATTCATGTCATAGTTAAGCTACATAAGGCCTTATTTCCGAATAAAAAATGGTTGAGTATCCATATACACGCGTGACTTGTGTCTCGGTCTGACAGACATCATTACAAACATTGCTTGCATTAATGTTCATGTTTATTATATTGGATAATAAAAAATGAGCAATGAGGCAAAAATGTTTTATTTCTTCACAGATAGTCTATAATGAGATCCGCCAAGTTGAGACATAGTCAGGTGCAAGTGATCAATTTTCAACATCGATTTACTTGAAAATGAAGCTTCTCGCATTAAAAAAATATTATTCAATATATTCAACTTTTTGTTCATGTGGATTTTCCTTCTTTCGGTTCGTATTACTCCAGTTTGATGATACCATGTATGTATGTTAATCAAAACATTGCCTTTTTTCCTTTTTTTATAAATAGCTAATAGATGCTCGAAAATCCTTTGACATGCCAATTAAAACGTCGTTGAGTAGATGACTTGCTCATTCCGCGTGATTTTTCGGTCACGATTGAAATTATCGAGCAAAGGAATAGCGTTGTTTTTCTCCTGATTTTCCGTATCCTCGCGTTCTTTCACTTTTCGTCGCGAGATCTTTTTCATTTGTCGAATAGTCGGTGAGATTGGAATATATGGGATTGGAAAAAAAGATACTTGAGTGACTCCAGCGTAAACAAAGCAATTATCTGATACCTCGGACGTCGTCGGAAGCGGCAGTCGATCGAAGCAATTTGTTCGCCTTGGCTGCTTGATTGTCTATTAAGTGCCACATAAATGAGCGTCGATGAGAAACAGGTTGACGAGCCATTCCCGACTGATTGACACGTAACGAGCGCTCGCGTAAAAATCGATCGCCTAAGGTATCCTTCACACGAGGCCTACCGTAATTTCGTGACGATACGTGGTGACGTCGCGGTACAATTGCATCTTACAGATACACATGCATACCGAGTAAGAGTCGAATATTCAATAATATCTTTTGAATAGTGCGCGTATACGTAACATAATTTAATTTTAATAGACCGAGTTTTCGCTCGCAGTTTCTTCGCTCGGCCAACTAAAGAAAGATCCTGCACAATAATGTTCAACGCGAACAAACTCGGAAGGAAAGAACTGAATCCGCGGTTAGCCCATGCTAAAACCTGGCTTACATCCTCGAAGCAATAATCTTTGAGTTATCTCTTTGAGTGAAACGATTAATTCCGACAAGCACTGCCAACAACTGAATAATTTGAAGGCAACAGTCCAAGGAAAACGTCCGATTTTGGCCAATTGGAAATAACGGCACACACATTTCATCACGACAACGCCAGACCTCACGTTTCAATGCAGACACAGACACACGACCTGAGACAACTGAGACCTGAACTGGAACCTTTTATTGGATCTTTCGTATTCTCTGGGTATTCTCGCATTATCAGCTCTATCTAACTCGTTTCAGTCATTACAAAGTAATTTGAATGGAAGGAAATAACTTTTCATTTTTCGAAGTCTTGAAAACTACGTTTCAAAGTTCTCTCGTACATGTGGTGCGATTGTATTTGAGTGAGGAACATAGACTCGACGTGTTCTTCTTCCGCAGCGCGACAGAACGGTGTTAATACGCGATTTAGATTTATGCGGACGTTCATATGCGACCGTTATGCGGCGAGCCAAAAATTCTGCCGAGCTAATCCTTATGTGAACGATACTTGACGCGGTCGCGCAAACCTTGCCTGGATGCTGCTGGGAGTAGATTGCATCGTTTGATAAACGGTTATCTAGGCCTGCCGGCCTAGATCTTGTAACATCTACGCCATACTCGGCTCGAGTGTGCGGGGAGTAATCGAATTGATTATTTTCCGCCGCCGCTGCCGCTGCCGCTTATCTCAGCGTGCTACGCGGCGCGACAAAACGGGGCGGGATTTATATTTAGCAAGCGCGCGAGGGCGCATGGACGCACGTGGGCACCCGCGAGATAAAAGGCATTTGTACCTTCGCAAAACGCGCTCGTGTTATTCTCGTAACGATTTAATTACTCACTCCGGAAATGAGGAATGCCTGTACCGCCACGGCTCCTGGAATAGCCCAGAGTGAAAATAGTCTCGTCACGGTCGAACTCCTTGGCGCAGTCTATCTATTACATTACACGGCGGGAGAAAACAGTATTCTCGTTCTTCAGAAAGCAGTTGTTCCATCGGAGAGAGCGATATAGCGAAATCTACACGCTCTTACTTTTCCCTCCTTTCTGACGGAAGGCGAGTAATTTATCATTTATTTGGAAAAGATCGATAAGTTGGGAAATATCAGGTTGCGCAAGAGAGTTTGTCTCTTGTTTATCAGATATTATAGCGGATGGTCCGCTATAATATATCTCGTTGTTCATTATAAAACAACAAAAAACACATAGATTTTTCCTTAACAAATACTTACGTGGTTCGAGAGGGTGAGCATGATGGTGATACTTCTGAACTGCATCACGCTTGGAATGTATCAGCCGTGTGTGGATGATCAATGTGTAACGAATCGGTGTAAAATATTACAGGTACGTACGCGCACAAATACTTGTAAAGGAGTGAACAAAGCGGATAATCCATATTACTGCGTTGGGGATAGAAGCGAGTGCGGTGGGGATGTATCGAGTTTATTTGATTGTGAAATATTTCCACAGAGAAGAACGGTCCGTATTAGTAATTGTCCGATATTGAGTATTGATATGGATTTGCATTAAATCGATTAAATTGGTTAGATTTTTATGCCGAGGAGACCCGTGAGAGCGACATAACGGCAATTACTGAAAGTGTTAATAAGTGAATCAATCGATATAACGTGGCAAAGAAGTTAAAAAGGGAAAAACGGAAAAAAATGAGAAAATTATCGAGCTGACGTGGCCTGTCAATCGAATTCTCGTGCTTCTGAATTTTAATCACGGTCAATTACATTGCTCGTGCTGAGCACTAATTAAATCTTCCGCCTGTTGCTTTTTCTAGATGTTCGATGATATCATTTTTGCCTTCTTCTCCCTGGAAATGACCATCAAAATGGTGGCGATGGGGATTTACGGTAAAGGAACCTATCTCGCAGATTCCTGGAATAGATTAGACTTCTTTATAGTAGCAGCTGGGTGAGTATTTTGTTCGAGCGTCCGGTTTTTATCCTTTACTCTTTTAATTCGTAGTATTCTTTCCATTCGTACTGCCTTTATGATATTACGTACTGCATGAACTTTGAATTGTTTGATTTAACATAGATATCAAATATTCTTTATATTCTTTGACTGGAAAATCAAGAGATAAATATAAATGCTAGTAAAAATCAACAAGATTTTGATTGCGCGCAAGATTCTATCCCTTTTATGCTTTTGGATAAAATTGCGTCAAGTTTAATATTTGTTTATAAAACGGTTTGCATACTTCCTCTTCGACACATCTCGAAACATCCAGTATGCAATAAAAATAATTTGTTTTCTGAAAATTATATTCAAGAGCAAATTTTCTCATCGGATGATGATTGCGTTTCGAAATACATTGAGACAAAGTAATGAAACCATCTTGTACATAACGAATGTATAAACAAATATACGTATATCACATAAAAAAGATATGATACATTGTATTATCGTGAAAGATTACTTAGAGTAAAGTTTGCAAAGTATGTACGTTGTAAGATTTCAAGAACACACAAGATTTGAGAACACACACTGAAGAAGGAATCCTTTGTTTGGATTTCGTTATAGCGCTTTGGAATACTGCCTAAACGTGGAAAATATGAATTTGTCAGCTATACGGACGATAAGGGTTTTAAGACCGTTACGAGCGATCAATCGAATACCAAGTAAGTATATACGGTCTGAGTGGGTTTTTGCCAAATATGTAAAAAACGTGAGAATTGGCTACACATATAATTACACTCTCCTCAAATAAAGTTTATGTCAAATGAAAGTTAATGTCAAAAGTTAAGATTACAAGAATTTCAATAAGATCTTACGCTGTGTTATTTTTATTTGTGGAAAATTGTAGAAACGATAGTATATTATACGGGAGGAAATCCACAATAAAACATATCTTGCACAAGCTTGCACAAGAAACGAAAGATGACATTTTAAAATGGAAAATTACATAAATTTCTATTCTTTTATTGTAACATGACAGAAGCATTTCTGCATCTGCGTTTGTATAATATCATTTTTTCATTTCTACTTTCATAGAACATATTGGTGAAACATACTTTGATCATTTAACTTTGGAACGCATTTATACGCATTGATATTTGAAGAAACTCCGCGAATGTGAATGTGTTGCCTTGATTTAAAGATCTTAAAACTAATAGTTTATCATTGAAGCCATCGTCAACTTTTTTGCGGAACATTATTTTTACGTTATTTTTACCTGTCTCCGACAGGTATGAGGATATTGGTGATGCTACTGCTGGACACTCTTCCTATGCTGGGCAATGTCTTATTACTTTGTTTCTTCGTCTTCTTCATCTTTGGTATCGTTGGGGTGCAGCTTTGGGAAGGCATACTGCGTCAACGTTGCTTCCTGAAGGCGTTGCCCAACATCAAATACCCCGAGTAAGTTGACGAGACACTACATCCGTTACGAAAACATTCGTTAATTTTGCTTATTAAATGTTTGACTCTGATATTTCCCATATTACTATAATTATTCTTATTCATATTTATATTCTTTTTGTTATAATTATTGCTTAACTGATGCTCGACAGACCATTCTCATGGTCATCAAACTCATGTGACGGACATGCAGGTTACATCTTGTAACGCGCACTGCGGTGGTTACTAATAACAATATTATTATTATTATTATTATTATTATTATTATTATTATTATTATTATTATTATTATTATCGTTATTATTATTATTGTTATTGTTATTGTTATCATTGTTATTCTACACTGCAATGCATTTTATTTTTCTTTCCTATATTTTTTTTATTTTATGCAGTTTTACACATACACACACATACACACACAAGCGCAACACGCGCGTGCCTCGTTGATCACGCATTACAAAGTGATAAAACATGCAGAAATCAACGACACAAATGGTCGACGTATTAGTATGGTTGTTATTAGTAAATTTTTTCGCGATTTTTATATTTTGAGTGTGATAAATCGTTTGGTAAAGCGTTGCGTTCATCACGGAGATAACATTGATTGACCATAGAGAAATTATTTAATAGGAAAGTTTAAATTATACTGTAGTACGCATAAAAATATTTACGAGATTTTGTCTGAAATACGCTTTCGTAAAAGTTATGACTGTGGATGTTTTTTACAGCGCTATATGTTGAGCGTAATAAAAGCCAAGTTTCCATGTGTCAAATAAGTGTGCTAATTTCATATTGAATATATTATCACTTGATGTTTTTAAGAAGACACGCCAAGTTATGCCGCTGGTGATTTTTCAGTAGATTTCTACTCGCTTCACTACACACAACACTACACACAAAGTATTTCGACCTCGGTGCGGCCGTAATTTATTTTTATCGTGTGAACAGTCAAATGTTACCTTCACCCACACAACTTTCCACGGGATATTTAGTTACAAGATTTGCAAAAGTATATGAATGCGATAGTCAAATAGTTGGTTCATGAATATGGCGAACCAACTGCAGATGTAAATATGCGCGATTCGATATCGGGCGAACGAGTCGGTCGTATAAACCATATATGCGCGAGACCCGATCAATCTTAACATTCAGATTGCATGGCGAATAGTACGAGTTGTCGTAAAGCACCGCTTACCGAGTTTTTCTCGCTATAAATTTCTCACTCTGTTCTTTTGCTCTTCCATCCTCTTTTCTTCCTATTCCTCTTACTTCCTCGCTTTTCGTCTCTCGCCAGTATTTCTCTGTGCCAGTATATTTTGCGCTCGATTCGCTTTTACCAGGCATCGATATCTATTCGAAATATAATGTATACTCTTGGCCACTCTCCGTTTGACTTACCACGAAACTACTCGCAAAATATTTCTTTCCCTCGACATTAACTTGCGTGAAAAACGAATCATTAAATATTTAACACCTACGCATATTATTCGTTCATTCACAGTAACAAATGACGGGAGATGTACTAGAATCATGATATATATAATTGGTATATCCGAATATCCTTCTCTCTTTTTTACATTTCCCAAATTTTCCTTCACGTTCCTAATATTTATTATATTTTTTATCATATTTATTCATACATAAAAGAAAACAATTACCTTTTGTCTTGAATTTAATCAGAATTTCGATACTTATTTAGAAATTTAAACAGTTAAACTCTGAAGGAGGACTCGACGTATAAGAGGCTGAGTGAGTGCTAATTATAAGCTTTAAAAGAAGCTATTTCCCGAATCAATATTTATTTGTTTTGAACAAAGGACGCAGAGAAAAATCCTTTTCATCTTGCACACACATAAATAGTGTGATAAAATTGTAACTTTTTACAGTACTGACTTTGATGCTTACAGTGATCTTTTCATTACATTCTTCAACATTGATTTAGAATTGTTTTAATCCTTTGCTTTAAAGAAAGGAAAGATCATGGATGACGGAAGAGATTGAATAAAGTTCCAGGAGAGGCCTGGAGGGATCAGCATATATATATATACATATACGTATTATTACATAAAGCTTTGTTTTGTAGAAACATCTTGTTAAGCGTTAAAAAATATTCCATTTCTCCCTCTTTTCTCTCTCTCTTTCTTCCTCTCTCCCGCTCTCTTTTTTTGACACTATTCTTCTTTCTCTTTATTTTACTCGTGACTAAAAGAAACTAGACATGTAAGGACAAGAGATCCCAAAAAGGCGGTGACAGGCTATTGTTTCGCTGTTGCAGGTTACTCTCGGACGAGTACTCGGTTCGATCACGCATTTAGTAAGCTCTAGTAGAGAACAATGTGCTGTACACATACACGTACATGCACACACAAACACACAAGCGAACGAACAAATAAACAAACAAACACACACACACACTCGCACATCATCAAATAATAACACACGATATATCTACACGATTCATAGAATATATTATATACACACGTGGCATCCAATTGTACATATATGTATATACAATAACTATACATGCATATGTGATGTGCATACGTATATATATTACTATTGTCTCACATTCTCTATCTTTTCCTCTCTTTTCTCTTCCTTTCCACCCTCTCACTCTCAATTCTATCTCGTCCCTCTTTTTCACTCCTTACATTCTTTCTTCTCATCTCTTTTCTCGTGTCTCTCTCTCTCCCCCCTCTCTCTCTCTCTCTCTCTCTCTCTCTCTCCCTCTCTCTCTCTCTCCTTTACTCTTCTCTCCCTCTCTCCCTTCCCTTTTCTCTCTCTTCCTCCCCCTCTTCTGTCTTTCTCTCCCTTCCTCTCTTTAACCCTCCCTCTGATCCTCTTTTTCTCTCATTCTCCTCTTCCCACTTCGTATCTCACTTTCTCAACTTTCCTCTTACTCTCTCTCTCTCTCTCTCTCTCTCTCTCTCTCTCTCTCTCTCTCTCTCTCTCTCTCTCTCTCTCTCTCTCACCTTTCCTATCTTCTCTCTTGTTTTAATCACCGTACCAGTATGCGACTGTGCTGTAGTGTGTACTCACATAGAGCATGGCGTCTCGACTGATAAGGAACAAAATACTGTTTTGAATAGCGGTTATCGCGATTGCGGAAATGGTTGCTTCAAGATTGAGACCTCCCGTGTGTGAGAAAAAAAATTTGATCTTCGCAAAAGTTCGAAATAGTATTTTAGTGTCCGATCTACTTCACGGTCTCTATACTCTAGCATCAGCACTGAAATCTTGTGACGTGAATATGTGTGCGCGCGTGCGCGCATATACATACACACTTACGCATACACACATTGTATAATATATATATATATATATATATATATATATATAATCGTGATAAGCAATTTGGAAAGACGGAAATATAGGTGATAGATAATGAAGTGTTTGTGAATTCGTCAGTGAATCGAAACACTTTTCACGATTGCGAGACCCCGGATCTCTTTGACTATTCCGATGCACGAGTCGATGTTTTTTCGCTTCCCTATGTTCTTGACGTGTTCCTCGTGTGATATCTCTCGTGTGACTCGTTTTTCTTCACTTTCTCTCTTTGTGTCTCTCTCTCTCTCTCTCTCTCTCTCTCTCTCTCTCTCTCTCTCTTTCTCTCGTTCTCTTTCTACTTTGTCTTCCTTCAGTTTGTCTTTAGCCGGTAAACGTAATGATGCTTTCCACATATATATGGTACATATGTATGACCCATTGTTTAAATCAATTTTGTGTGTGCGTGTACGTTTGTATGCGCGCATATATGTATGTGTGTGTGTGTGTGTGTTTTTCTGTGTGTGTATCTGGCATTAATGACATCTGTAGTGTGACTACATCGTAGCGCTTTGACGATAACTCATCATATCGTTACACTGGCGCTAATCAACGAAATTATTGGATCGATTTGAAGAATTGCTAGTTCCCTCGCAAGAGATCCTCTCTTTCTCAATTCTTTATAAGCAAAAGTTGCGTGCAATTTTGATGAGATTCCAGTCTAGAAAAAGTCGGTCTCATATCGTTCGAGGTAGCTCACTATGCATGAACTCGAGAGTCGACGACCATCCTATATATCTATAATGTTATCATCAATTATCGCGGAACACGCCGGATTATTTTAGACTCCCATGTACACGAGCTTTCGCACGTAGGAACGTTTCTATTTTCATTCACAGGAAAATATGAAATACGGCGAATTAATGGAGGAGGCCAATTCCCCTTCTTTCGTATTTTAAGGTGCGATTATGCGTCCTAGATGCGTATAATTTTTACAACTTACATCTCTTTTTCTCTGTCTCTCTCTTTCTCTTTCCCTTTCTCTCTCTCTCTCTCTCTCTCTCTCTCTCACTCTCTCTCTCTCTTCATCTTTTTTCTTTCTTTCACGTGCGCGTGCAAGACTGCATTCGACTAGCCGAAACTGTTTTAATTCCGAACTCGCGCGTGCGATAGCATACCTAGGAGAAGTAGGCTCCATAAAGTCCACAAGCCTCAAGCTCAGAGAGCTAATTAAACGCGTGGTGCTTGTGCGATCTATTCCGGTGTACGTAGCAGCTATTTTCGAACGTTTATCGACTTCTGTACCGGGGCGTTACTGCCGTTCTCACGTCCATATCGGCACACCGCTGGAGCTTTGCGAATGGCGGTAGCCCTAGAAGCGAGATTCGTTCGTGCTTTTTCTAAGAGACGAGTCTTCTAGAAAAATATTGATTAAATATTGATATTAATGATGCTCATTTTTGCAAGAAGCTGGCATTATCAAGCGAGTATCGAAATATTTACCAAGTAAAATATCGCGACACTATGCACTCGATCGACCTTAATCGACCTTGTGTTTTTGGAAATTGTTCTCATGTATCGTGAACCCGTTGATGTGTATATCTGTATATCGCATGATATATACATATGTCGCGTGAGTATATTATTACTGTCTTTACCCACGAAGAACTTGCCGCCAAAATGGATGTACAGAGTACAACTAGATGACCACATTATTTTTTACGATTTTTCTATTTCTTGTGACCTGATATTTAGACTTCTTTCATATATATGTGTGTATGTATAGGGTATTTCATTTTAATTTAAAAAGTCAATTTCTGGAAATTACGAGATTTTAGAAAAAAGGATATTTCTTACAAAAATTGTATGACTTCGAGGGAGACATAAGGTGGTGCCATCGGTTCAATCTTGGAATCAAAGTCGTTTGAAGAACGGAATTGTCTCGCGTCTGTCAAGATTACTCTCTCACTGAAATTGTCGATATTTTTCTGATATTCCTAGAATGCCTTAGAGGAGGAAGGTGGCGTTCAGCTATCGTTTACGATTGCCAAATCGGCAGCATCCCAATGCTTCCACAAATTTTCCACATTGAACGAAGAACTCGACGTGGGCAATTAACTCGCCAAAGACGAATCGCGCCAGAATCGTGTCAACGTTCACTCAATGCTCGTATCATCGCTGTGTTGGCGATGGTACACAATGATCCTCGGATCAGCCTTCGACAGCTCGAACGTGAGCTGGGAGTGTTGCCATCGAATCTGCCTCGTGAATCTCTTATGGACTTCTGGCCATGTTTTCGTCCAGACACTATCTGATCAGAACATGGTAAATCGGGTTGTGTTTTATCAGTGAGCGATGCAACAAACTTGATGCTCCGGAATAGATCATCTTAAGATTGCAGATTAATGCAAATACAGTTGTGATTTCCTACACATGATTTTCAAACTGAAATATACAAGATAAATGTCTCAATTAATGACTGTCTCATATTATAACCATCGCATCTATTTTCTTTGATAAATTAATCAGTACAGGTCTATATTTATTTAAAAAAATGTTTTTACCCTAAATTTTTGCATATTACCGTGGTTTTATTTAAATTTAGAAATAATTGTTTGCTCGGTTTCGATTGATAACAACCATTGTTACAAAGAGTAGAAGATGGATGTCGAACGATGTGCCATACTCCAGGAGTATTTGAACGCACAAGACAGTCCATGAGACAAAGAATCCAGAATTGTATTGCTTCACACGAACATTTAAGCGTCTCCTTTAACATTTGTTTTTTAATTCTTAAAATTTATTTAAATAAATGTTATTATATGTATTACGTTAACATCGCAATTAATTATTTTAACGTTAACTCGACGTTAACTTTTAACTAAGGGTTTTAGGCACTATGTTTGTAGGAATTTTTTTGTTTGTCCTGATGAAGAGAATATACAGTCCAGCCAGTCCATTCTTTCTGAAATACTTTATATATAGGATATTAAAAAGAGCTTTAAAACTTTTAAATAAAATTTATAGTACTTTTATTATACTGGGTAAAAATACTAAATAAAAATAAAAATATCAACCTTTTTAGAGTTACCAAAATTTTTCAATTTTAGTAACACAAGTTTAGCAAACAGATATCTTACCAAACAGATATTATCAATTTCTTTGATTTCTTTGATGTTTGCAAGAGATGTTATACATGTCCTTAATTAATTTCTATGTACGCGTAACATCTTCGTATCATAAAATTGCGAGTTCTCTCAAAAATTCCCGGCTTTCATTGAATCAGTTTAGCTTCAACATCTTAAATTTTCTGACGTATTTTTGTTCATTACTGGATTTCTTCTTATGAGGATATATTGAAAACTTAGTGCACACTTCATCGACAAATAATGTACAAAAATTACATATATCAGAGAATCGAAAATGCAGCTGAACAGATTCGAAGAAGATTAGAAATTTTTGAAACAACTTGGAATTCTGTAATATGAAGATGTCACGCGTGCACCATAGAAACGGATGGTGGTATAGAATACCTTTTGTAAACAATCAAAGTAATAATAAAGTAATGATAAAGTAATGATAAGATACTTATTACTCGTTAAATTTGTGATACTGAAATCAAATAACATTTGTAACTCTGAAAGAATTACTTTCTCAATCTATTTGCTAAGTAGTTTTTACTAAATGTGATGAATACTATCTATCCTGTAAGTTTTCGATCTTTTTTTTTAACGTCCTGTACATTAAATACGTTGCTACTATATACACATTGACGAAGCATGCAAAGAATGTATCCGTGTATAATAAGGTACATGTGTACGCAAGCCTAAACTTAAGGGTCTACGCGTGACATACCGGCTTGCGTTAAATCAATTTAATCGTCACTTCGTTAATTTTCCAGCGATCTAGAGAAGTATTTCGAGTATCAGGGTCAGGATTATATTTGCTCGCGTCCCGACGACAGCGGGATGCACTCCTGCAGTAATCTACCGCCGCTCAAAGTCGGTGAGTGAGTTAACCAACGGTTTATCGCATCTGCTCCCTTCATCATTCTCATCGCGAACTCATCTGAAGCAATTTATTATGACATGTTAATACGTTAGCTTACGATTTTAATTATTTAACACTTAATACATACGACAACTAGGTTATATAACAGAATTAATTACATTTTTTATGTTTTCTGAGATTTCGTTGATTTCGTTTTAATGACAGCCATTTTAATCAATAAGTTTAAGTTTTTTTTTTTATTTTTCATTATTATATTCCGATATTTTCTAGTCTTATTTTGTTTCGGAGGAAGATAATTTATCAAGTGACTACCATAATCGAACGGATCGACGTGCTTTCGCATTTAGGAAACTTGGTATGCAATAGCACCGCCCTGCCGAACAATAACGTCACGTTCATCAACAATGACACTTGTGTTAATTGGAACTACTACTACACCGAGTGCAAGGGACAGGGCAACAATCCATTCCAAGGAACTATTTCATTCGATAATATCGGTCTCGCCTGGGTCGCCATATTTCTTGTAAGTGCTTTATGTATCTGTACTTTCGTTCGGGAGCGAATAATTTCCGCACATATATATGAGAAAAGACGCCTCATTTTAATTGATACAATTGAATATATCGATATGTTCTTCATGACATATTCTTCATGAAGAGAAATAGTTGCTTAAATGTTAAAATTCAATTATGTTTTTTTCTCTCTGTGCGGATATCGAAAGTTTCAGACAAAGTTGTTCAATTTTCAAAGGAAACAATATTAATACAATGTTAACATTGTTATAATTTTGAAATGGATTTTTCAAGATTATTTTAAAATGAACCTGAGCTTTTCAAGAATTATGAATATGGAGATAATGTAGATCAACAATATTAGCATAATCCTAGATATCTCACATCTATTAGATGAGTGCAAAAGTTTTGATAGATTTCGTGATGAAAAACGCGTGTGCGCGCTAGTTGGAAAGCTTCGTATTTCTACATAGTAAAAAGTATAGTATTTATTGTACAAAGTATGAATGTACAAAGAGAGATAAATAAAATTCGCGCATGTCATTTCGATACTTCCAGGACTACATTATATTGATTTACTAATGCATTAATTTGTCGAATAATTCGTCGTTATTTCATTAAAATGTCGACATGATGTAATTGTGTCGTTTTGCGCAGGTAATTAGTTTGGAAGGATGGACGGATATAATGTATTACGTGCAGGACGCCCACTCCTTCTGGGACTGGATATACTTTGTTCTTCTCATAGTGGTAAGTGTCCCATTTCCTACTCTATAACGCAAAGCACAATATGTGAAATGTTTTCGAATCTACACCGTCCTCGAAATGAATGACTTGCATAACACATATGATAATTGTGTTGAGAAATTGACTGTTTGAATTAAAATGAGAGACCGTGCGTGTGTATGTGTGCGCGCGCGCGAAACGTGTGTTGCGAAACGAACGAGAATTGATGTATTAAAAGATGCATGGTTGCAGATCGGTTCGTTCTTCATGATCAATCTTTGCTTGGTCGTAATCGCAACACAATTTTCGGAGACGAAGAAGAGGGAGATGGAGAGAATGCGGCAGGAACGCGCGCGCTATCATTCGACTTCGACGCTCGCGTCGTCTACGAATACTTCGGAGCCTACTACTTGTTACGCCGAAATCGTTAAGTGAGTACTCGTTGTCATTATCGCAATATCCTGCCTTTCCTTCTTCCTAGCCACTAGCCGACTGCAGTCTGACGTATCGCCTCACCGGAACCGTCCTCTATTTCTGTCTGGTCCTTCAATTTTGCAAGACCAGTCCATCTTTCTTAAGACGCGTGAACACGGAACCATCGATGTAATATATTGAATCGGGTTCCCGCTGCTGGGTTGCAACGATATTATAATGGTCCGACATTTCCTTTTTTCAGATACATCGCTCACCTCTGGCGACGGAGTAAACGAAGACTGATGAAGAGGTACCGACTGCACCTGTACAAAAGACAGCAAAAGCGGGAGCAGAACCTGCTCAAAGAACAGAGTCAAGCTTTCCGCTCGAATGCTGCTGCAGGGTCAAATCGAGTACCGGGTGGTAAGTATCGTTCTTTCATATCTCGCGTCATTCCGTTGAAATTCTAGGTGGAGACAAAACTAAAATACGAAGAAGAAGAAGGATAAACTGGATGATATTATTGCTTTCTCTTATGTTGAGGATGTTTGAGTGAATATTTTTCTCACATTAGAAATCGTACAGCTGATATTACAAGTTGCTTGCTAATATCGAAGAAATAATAACAGAATAATAATATCGAGAATTGGAATATTCTCATTTTGCATCAGTTTCATCTTTAATTTGTTTTTTCTTTAATCGGCTACCCTAACGTTTCGCGATAGAGCAGTCGTAGTGGCTGCTGAAAGATGCATTCAAGACGCGCTTCCTCTTTGGCTTGTTCAATAACATACTACACAGCTGAGCTACATGTTTGTTCCGAATATCATTCACGAGAGTAAACTTTGCTTCGAATTGTCGAAATTAATGCACTCAGATGGAAGACTGCATCATGGAAGATGTCCGCGACTTCTCGCCGCGCTAGAGTACGCGGAGCAACAGCAACAGCAACAGCAACAGCAACAGCAACAGCAGCAGCAATTACAGGTGACCGTCAGTGGTAATGGCGGATCGATGGTCATCGATTCCCCGACGATTGCATCCCCCTTACAGGCTGTCGCCGCGACTATTACTATGAACGCCGGCAATAGTGGCAGCGGCAGCGGCAGTGGTAACATTGCGCCTCGTGCTAGCCCTGAAATTTCCGAGGCTGACATTTCGACAAACGTCTGCCATAGACTGAGCGTACATCGCGCCTCCTCAATTTCTTGTAACGGTAACGACAACGTCGTGGGACATGCAGTCGAGGCAAGTTCACCGCTGAACAGACTAGAGACTTCTAGTAGATTAGAAATGCGATCCATTAGATGCTTTTAGAGGCTTCGAAAGCGAGGCTTTTATACAAATGGTTAATGAGACGTTATTATGAAGATAAAAAATTTTAGTGAAAATTTTAAAGTGTCTGATGGATTTTATCTTACAAGTTGTTAGAGACGTGCATGCGAACGAAATTTTCTTGTGCATTCATTCCTTGTCACTGCGAGTGAGGTGATTAATAGTGTGATCGCGACTGAAGGAAATATTAGAGTGATCTTTTCGATATTCCATACGGTGGTCTATACGTTCAATTCAATTCAACGTTGTTACATGTTTAATGTCAGCGCGAAAATTGCTTTACATTTAAAATCCTTCGTATGTGTCTGCTAATAATTTTCTAATAAATAGACAATAGTTGACAGTCGAGAAATTTGAAAATTACTAAGAGTCTTTGTCTTCAGCGGATTTCACGATCAAGAACTTTCCCTATGGCAGACACAGTAATTTCACAGGGAATATACACATCTGCCAGAGATCTCAATTACGTCACTCGACCGACAATGTTACTTCGATAACATTACACGAGTCTTTACTTTCTAAAAACGTTAGATTCGACTAGGATCTTTGTAGAAGTTTTTCAAACACAAACAATTACGTTTTATCTAGATGAACTCGTTTAGTGCTTTTTCTATTCAGCTATTCGCTTCACATAATATTTATCTTGTGTTCTTATGCGCTAGCAGTTGTATTGAATAACATAATACATGTTTTGCATGTGAAAAAGGATAAGGGATTACATATTTTGTCGCATCAGTTTTTCTGCATCATCGATTTCTATCAACGACAGTCGGTGAGCTTAAGATATGATGAAAGACGGTAGGCGAGATTTCGTTTTTCTTTTTTTTTTCTTTATGCGACAAGTCCGAAATGACAGCAGACGATTAAGGGAAAAAAAGGGAGGGAGAGGGAAGGCAGAGGGAAAGAAAGAGGCCGTGTTAACACATATCATACGCACAAAGTATAACACACAAAGTATGCTTGATTGTCGCCTTCTAGACGAACAGCACGTTGTTGAGCCCGCCATGTACGCATTATCGGAGGAGAAGCAGCGTAATGTTTAGCGACGTGGTACTGCTGCATGGCAGCAATAATGTCGGGAATGCGTTGCAGCCGGGGACGACGGTGACAACACCGGGCGAACGTAATGTTTGCTCAAGCGAGAAAATGACGCAGACGGGTGATGGCAACGTTTGGTCTAGTCCGCTGCCGGATCACGTACAGGTAATTTCCACTGTCGCGCTGTCACACAGATTCGGAGTGTGAATATACCATAAATGTTTTCTCGCGAGAAGACGCTCTCGCCTTTTCCAACACAGTCTTCATCTCCTTTGAAGTTCCTTGCGATCAAATTTCTGTGAGAACGAATAAATTTTTCAGTAAATTATAGTGTGAATTTGTTTTAATAACCGTAAAAAGTTTGCGTATTGTGTGGAATACACCAGATTTATTTCTTCATTGCGAACCTAAAGATTCACTTCTATTTGTATAACAGTAGAATTTATTCCGCGCAAGTGAAAAGTTATTAAAAATCAAATGATTCGGTTGTCGTTTTATGTTTCAACTGGGATTCCACTCGAACGACTCGAAAACATCTCTCTCGGGAGTGGCGCGTGGAATTCACCGGTACAACCTGTACAACTTGCAACTATCTGAATGTTATGCGATATGAAGAAAACTGAACATGAAGAAGAGGCTGCACTGCAAATTGCAAGAGACACTCTACTTTCATATTGGCCCTGTGTGTATGTGTTGCAGATGCAAGCTGAACTGGGTGTTAACGAAGCTATGACATGTCAAGAACTGCTGGCTCTCAGCGGTGCCCTTAGTGCCGCCCTACCAACCGGCCAGTTGGCGCTTGATTCGTTTTTGAATTCGCTTACAAAAGGCAAGTCCATATTTGATGTATGACTTAAACCGTGATTAAACATAAAATCAAAGTTTACGATCTTACCATTTGAAAATGCCCCAATCGAGGGCATTTGCGGAAATTGATTCGGAATCTAGAGAGAGAGAGAGAGAGAGAGAGAGAGAGAGAGAGAGAGAGAGAGAGAGAGAGAGAGAGAGAGAGAGAGAGAGAGAGAGAGAGAGTGTGAGACGGAATTGGACGGATAAATAGAGAGAGAGAGAAGGTATCTAAAAGTGAAGGAAGCGTACGGAAATGCGAATGTATTCGGCAGGTATCACGGATCGTCGTATAACGCTGGAAGATCGCACGCAATGGCTTACATCCGACGTTGACAATTGTTCCTGCTGCTGTGAGCAACAAAGCGGCGATCAATGGCCGGAGGATACCGAGAAGTGGCAGAAATTGTCGCGCGCGAGAAGATTCCTGAGAGCTATCGGCAACTGCTGTATCTGCACGTTGCGTTGCATAAGACGGTGGATCAAGAAACTCGTGGAGCACAAATACTTCCAGCAGGGTATTCTTCTGGCGATCCTCATTAATACTTTGAGCATGGGAATCGAATATCACAATCAGGTGATTCTCCACTGGATCATGATCCACCATCTCGTACATTTCGCACATTTCGATCTTGCAGTGTAGCGTAATCAATGCGTTGTTACTTCGCTAGTCAAAAGAAGAAAAAAAAGAAAAAAAGAAATCTTGCAGTTATTTAAATGCTAAAATAAAAGAAAACAAAGAAAAAGAATGCTTAAGAGGAGAAAAAACTGCTGCTGTACGACGCAATCACCGACAGCTAGCTCCTTTCAGTGAGAGAGATTCGTATATTTAGCGACTTGACGATCTTCTAAAATCCAAAAGCCGAAGCATAATCGTCACGTTATTTCGTTGCGTGTGCAGCCGGAACAACTGACGGTCGCTGTCGAAATAAGCAACATTGTGTTTTCGGCGATCTTCGCGGTGGAGATGTTGCTTAAAATAATAGCGGAAGGCCCGTTCGGTTACATCAGCAATGGCTTCAACGTCTTCGATGGCATCGTCGTCGTTCTAAGGTAGAATAGCTCTCTTCTCCAAAACTTTGCATTGATTGCCGGTATTTGTTCTCGCTTGTCATCAGCATCATTATAAACAAGTAATACAAAGTAACTTATATGCACGTATATAAATAACGACATGCTAAAGTATCAATGTCCCATAAACTGCGTGTGTATCAACGCGGTCGTTCAGTTTTACGAGTGCTGAGTTTGAGTTTTACGAGGATGCCATGCAATGCGTATGGCACAGCGCACAGCGACTATAACAGCGTTCTCCTGAAACTCTCTCGCGAATCTCGATATAATCGGGACGTGTGTTGATGCAACACATGGAATGAACTTGGGCGACGTGTGTTTCTAGCGTCGTCGAGCTTTGCCAGGCGGTCGTAGAAGAGCGCGGCGGTAGTTCCGGCTTGAGTGTCCTGCGCACTTTCCGTTTGCTTAGAATCCTGAAGTTGGTGCGATTCCTACCGAATCTACGACGACAGCTCTTCGTGATGTTGCGCACCATGGATAACGTTGCCGTATTCTTTTCTCTTTTAGTACTTTTCATCTTTATATTCAGGTAAGTCGCCAAACTGTTGTCCGCGTCGTCGACGCTGTCGGAATTTTCGGGCGTCGCGCCGTCGCCGGGTCTTCTCTCAGTTTTCATTTTCCTTGTCTTTTTTCTTGCTCTTATTTCATTTCCTTCGTGGTCCTCCTCTTCATGAGTCGCGCCAAGTGTCACCGTCGGATTGACGAAATATTATCTCGATTGATTCGCGCCTGTTATATATAAAATGAGTCTCGAGGGAACGCGCGGATCGCGTTAAAAAGCAAATTATGAGGCGCTGTGGCGTCTTCCTGTTCTAATTATCATTTTCATCAGCCTAGTAACGTTTGCATGTTTGGAAAAGCGGATCAAAGCTACTGAACTGTCGATAGATATTGTCAAACATGGAAAAGCGCTTTGAAATATGAAGCGTCGATGACGATGACGACTCTAGGATTTTGTAACGATATCGTATATATTGTTCGCACGATACGATTATATGAAAAAGCAAAGTGTTCTTTATATGTGCGCGTATAGTGACGATAATATATTGTCACTATGGCTGATACAGCAACGGATACATTTGATAATAATGTTTGACTACCGCTATTCATCAGTTTTATTGACATCAAAATATAATAACAGGAAAAGAGCTCTATAACATTTTTACAACTTGTTTAGTAATGTTTTCAGAGTTGATTATTCCTTTGCTCAAATGCTTAAAAAGGATAAGAATGTGATTGTTGAAAAATATATATTTTTCATAAAACAATTGTATATTTCATGTACAGATTGCAAGTTTGATTTAAAATATTATATTGATACAATAATACAATATTTTTATCTGATTATACATATAATTATATACATATATATATATATATATGTATATGTACTATGTATATATGTATATAATTATTTTGGTTAGAAATTACGAATCATTTACGATTATATAATATATTTAATTGTACGACAATAAAAAGCGATATCGGCGCTCGATATTTCGAAAGTAGCCTCTTGCTCGCTTCTTCGAGCTTTTGCAGGAGCAAATTGCGCTGCTGCTCTACAAGCCGAGGCCTACCATTAGGTGACTTTCTTCTGTTCATACTTCTTCTCTTCTACTTTATTCGCTTTTACTTTTTTCTGCGCGGTGTATGAGCCGCCATCAATTTTAATGCATATATATATGTGTGTATGTGTATATGTATACACACACACACACACATATACAGAATTTTCGAGTTTACAGCAATTGTCCCGTATTTTCGCGTCTCCTAGCGTTTTCCTTCAGCGCCATATTTTCTGACGTTGTTAATGGTGATGATGGTATTTGTCAGCACGTCTATCATGAGGTGGCCTGCTGTCGCCCCTCCTTTTTATGGCTTGAGGCATCGAACGTACTATCGACGTGTTTTTTTTACCTATCATACATATCTATATCTATATATGTGTATATATATATATATATATATATATATAATACACATACGTATATAGATATATATCTTACATGTGTGTGCATGATGCTTTTATGCTGAACGTCTAGCGACGAATACGAAGGCCTATATATATATATATATATATATATATGTGTGTATATATATATATACCCTCCATTATTCATCTGGTTCACATATTCGTGTATACGCATGAATCTATTCCGCTGTCTCCCTCTTCTTCTTTCTCCTTCTTTTTTATCCTTTTCCCCTTCTTTCTATTCTTCTCTCACATTACTCTACTTCTCTTGCTACTTGGAACATTTATATTAAATGCGTGCGCCTCGGTGTGGCCATCGATATTAGAGCAGCTTGCGAAGATTCGATATATACTTCTGCAGGATTGTATATACATGCATACATATCCGCGCATACATCTTATTGTGCTGGATAGGATTTTTCATTATATATATATATATATATCCATGTGTTTATAACGCGTTTTACGACTGTTTAATAACCAATTTGGTGCCTATACAATCACTTTCCTTATTGTAATTTCAATACGTAAGTTGACTATATTTCTGTCGTAAAGTCTGCTACATTTCTGTCATAAAGATGTAGACGCGAACGTTGAACGTGTCAGAATTATGTGCACTATCTCAGCGCATAATCATTTATCAAAATAAGTCAAAATAGTTGTTCTTCTTCCTTGAATTGATATTTCTAGTCCGGCAAGTGAATTAGTAGTTTATTGTCTGAAAAGCAGTTTGAAAATAAACATTTAAAGAAATTTTGAAAGAGCTTAAACATTACTATTTTAGCGATCAACGGAATGTTTAGAATAAATTTGCAGAACAAACGTTCATTGCGACGATATTATTCTGTTGGAATAAATGAGCTCTTAACTTAATGAGTTTGAATATCCCCTAATCACGATATCAGGACTCTTCTCTGATCTCTTTTTCAACAAGCTTTTTGTCGAGAGTATTATTATATGTGAAATAATTTTCATGGACTCTGAGGAGTCGTGAAAAAGGAGAACGACGAGAAAACTTCGATAACGTCGCAGCTCTTGCTGATGCAAATCTCTCCCAGGGCAATTTTCCTCTTTCCCCTTCTCTATCTTTTTCTTTTTCTTTCTGAAAAAGAGCAGAATTTCACTCTTTCTGTATGAAATGGGGGCGAACTTTCAAAAGTAAATATGAAATTCGATGAAACTATACAAATGTTCCCCGCGCTCAACGTCACGCTAAACTCCCACAACATTTTCAAGGCTATCTTAGCCAAATATTTATATTCTTCTCTATGTTAGTTGCAAGAGCCACGTAAATAGTTCTTCGGAAGGTCTACTCTGAAGAATCTTTTTCAATTTTTTACCAGCGTTCACTAAATAAATAAAGAATTTAACTTATACATGGGTACATTTACCACCGCAACAAGCAATCCCCTTTTTTGGCCAAGACTTTAACGCGGCGTGAAAAGTGAGACTTCACGATGACATCGATCCGAGGACATTTAGGTTCTTTCATGCTCCATAAATATTTCCTCGGCGCGTTTTCACCGAACAGGATAATGTGTCGTGTGCATAGATGTATACTTCATTTCTCCATGTGAAAATATCCGAAAATATGCCAATTCATCGATCGATCATGCTCTTTTGTTGCGTTGCGTTGCGATTCTATATATATGATATGTACGAAATTTTGCAAAATGACTGTTAAAAAAAATGAATGTCATTTGTACAAAATAACTGGATGGGTTTGAACATTTGTTTTTGATACAATTGAGAATGCAGTAGAGACCTTCAATGAGAGATTAATTAATTCCTAAGAAATCATTTCCTAATTTCTAGGAATTTTTCAGAAATAAATTCTTTTATCGAAATTGGATAAGAATACATTTTTATAAGTCGTCGAATAAAAGTATTGTAACTTTTAATCATCTGAATATAATTGCAAAATTATCAGTAATTGCAGAGCTATCTAAATGACGAAAAGTTTCGGTGAATTGTATAATTTTAGCTGAGAAAATCTTATTCGAACGCAAATGTCTAGTCTAATATTTCATAAAATGTCCGATGTTGAAAAATGAAAACTAATAAACAATTATCGTTTCCGTGGCTAAAATAGATGCATTCCAAGTAGGTCGTTGAGTTTGTGGCTGGTAGGACATGTGGTGTCTTTGAAACATTTCGTATATTTGCATTGTGGCAGTTAGTTACTTGATCGAGTTACGCTTTATAAATGATGTTTTTTCGAGTTCTCTCCTCCTCTTTCCCTCTCTCTCTCTCTCTCTCTCTCTTACTCTCTTACTCTTTCTTCTTCTTTCTCTCTCTTGCTCGCCCCTTTCTCATCCTCTGCTCATTTTCCTTTCTTTTTCTCTTTCTCATCGCCACTCTTCTTTCTTTTTCTTATTTTATTTTAGCTACGTGTATATACATACATATATATATATATATATATATATATATATATATATACACACACATATATATCTGGATAAAGAAGTACAGTGCACGTTTCGTTGTGTTGTAGTATTCTCGGGATGAACCTGTTTGGTTGCAAATTCTGTGAAACGATGAAAGGCACCTCTGACGTCGAGTGTGATAGGAAAAACTTTGACTCGTTACTCTGGGCTATTGTGACGGTGTTTCAGGTACAAAAAATACTCGGATACTTTTCCACGTATCTTCTCGAGGGCATTTTTGACTTCTCTCTATATATATAGTGTATATTACCTATATTATATTTATATTTGTGCGCATATATATATATATATATATAATATATATATATATATATATATATACGCTGAATATCTTACTTACGTACGTACCATCACATTTGATTTTCCGTCAAGCTAAACTTATATGGTCACGAACGACCGTCTACTTTATATGATTTCGTGGGGCTTCAGGTAACGTATACATTGGGAGATGAATGCTTTTCAGCATGTCGACGTATTTCGCGAAGGGGGGGAGGTAGGAACTGGTCACCGGTACCCGCTTTAAGAGGATGATAATGATAAAAAAACATTTCTTTAATTCACATAAAAATGTCAATTCAAAATAAAATGTTAAAATGTTAAAAGTAAAGCGATTAAAAATATTTTTAATAACTTTTTTCTAAGAAAAGTTAATTTGGTGTTTGATCTTTTAAATTTCTTGTAACGAATGTGCGTTATTTGAGATGAATCGGGAGGGATATTAAAGGAATGGAAAGGGTAGGGGGTAGGGAAAATGAAGAAAACCCTAATTCGAAAAACCTAATTGAAGTCGGTACCGGGGGCTACACACAAGGAGAGGACATGCGGATCCGGACGTAGGCATATGATTGCCGGCGATAATTCAAGCGTTCCTCCACTTTTGTCTATTTGCAGTTTGTTGCTTTTCATGCGCAACGCGCGCTATTAACATACTGCCTCTTGTGCGTCGTCTATAAGCGTGTCGAGCTGTCTCCCGTCTCGCATGCTTTCGCTACACTGTTCTCTTTCTCTTCTTCTCATTTTTTTGTATGTGCCCGCGACGACGAAATCGTCTCTACCTTGCGAGTGGTTTTTCCTTCACGTTATTGTTAGACAAACCTTTCTCCGAGT